AAGTCAGGTTCTGGGCAATACAGTCAGAGCAATCTTCATGGACCTACTATGTGCCCAACACTTCTGACAGACGATACATACACACAAATGTGCAATTGTAAGAACAATGAAGAAAAAGCTCAGCAAGCTAAGAATAATGAGGTGCAGTGTGGCTATTTGCCATAGGGTGGGTAGGTGACATTTGAGGTAAGACCTGAATATGAAGGAAGTGGGCGTTGTCAGAATTCTGGACACTTCAGGAAAACCAACTCTGCAGCAAACAAACTGGTTCTTTTTATAATTAAATGTAGAAACTGGGCCAGCAAGTGAGCACATTGGTCTTGGTTTGTCTTGGCCCCCACAGCTGCAGAGTGAAGCTGGTGCAGTGGTCCTAGGGGCAGTCAGGCAGGACGTGGCCAGAGCAGGTGAACTTACGCCCTCTGACCCACTCTGGTAATTGGTCTGAGAAGCTCTCACAGAGGGCCAGGAGGGGACGTGTCCAGGGATGTATGTGACAGCTCTGTGCTGTGGGAACTGGAGGCAATCTTGTGGGTCATTACTAGAGGATCAGGTAAGTAAAATGTGGATGCATTTTATGACATTCTGCACCTCAGCTGGGGACAATGGACTGTTGTACACACAGCAACATGGATATATGTTTAAAATACTGAATGGCAAGCAAAGCAATAAAATCTATTGGCCAGTATCATATATGTAAGTGAAAAATACATTCTCCCAGAAGAACATCGAAGCCATGTAAACTAAAAAAAGCAAATATTGCATCATAATGGTTTTGGGTTGGGGGGGCAGTAATGGGAATAGATTATTATTGCTTCACAATTCATCCCCCAAACTTAGTGGCTTAAAATAGAAACAATCATTTTATTATTTCCCATGACTTCCGTGAGTTAGGAAATTGAGAGGGGTTCCCATGGCCGCTTCTGGCTTGTGGTCCCTCAGACAACTGCGGTCGTGACAGCGTGAGCTAAGGCAGGGCCCTGGGGTGGCTGGGGGCTCCCTGCGTCTCTTTCCCTGTGTTCTCAGAGCTCCCCCACGTGGGCTAGCGTGTGCTTCCTCACAGCATGGTGACCCTCCTGTCTGTCTGAAAAGGTCTGAAAGCGCAGCCTTAGCTATTTCTGAGGTCCCAGCAAAGGATCTTACAGTCCTACCCTGATTTGATTTTTTGCACGGGAGCTATTTCATAATTTGAAAATCAGTTGCCATACTAAAGTCTGGAAATAAGAAATAGTCCTGGCTCTTTTATATGTAACAGCTTATTATTTTTTCCCCATTTTTTAAAATTTTTCAATCACGTTTATTCTACTACAGTTGTCTCAGTTTCCCCCCCCGCCCTCCTCCACGCAGTGCCCCCACCCCCCTCTCCCACAGTCAGTCCCCACCCTGCTGTCCATGGCCGTTCTTTCGTTCACCTCTCTCCTCTCACATTTTGTCATAGCCGCAAGGAGCCGGGGGGCACTTCTCATATTCTACCTACTCATCTCCTTGGATCCATCACCAGTATATTAGGTACATTTCCATGTGACCATGACATCACTTACTTGCCAAACTTTCCACCCCTACATAACAAGGGGCCCCCTTTCTCCTGCTTCCAATTGTGTTTCCTCACTTTCTTTCATCCCTCACCAGAAGCATCCTTGAGGCCCATCACGTTTCGGATGGCACTCTCCTGCAGGCCCTTAAGATGCATGTGTTCATGAATCTAACCCTCCTCAAGGTCCTTCCAGCCAGTGCCACATGGTTTGGATTTATGTTTATTTTGGTACTTCTACTTCCTTGAATACCAGATGTAGTGACCAGTGTAGCTCCTCACCAAGTGCCATTATGTTCTCCACCTGTGAGTCTTCCCTACCTCTATGAAGGGCACTATCTCCCATCCAGGTTTTTAGACCCCAAGCCAATTATCCTTGATTCATTTCCCCAACTCTCCCGTATTGTCATCACTAAGTCCCCCTGGCCCCAGACTTCAAATTTCAATGCGTCTGACTCGACCGCCTTAGTCCAAGGCACCGCGGCCTCTCACCTGGACCACTGCAGAAGCCTCCGAATCACTTGCCCGTTCCGTGTCAGCCATCGTCCACTCCTTGCCTATTCACACTGCAGCTGGAGGGGTCTTTGTAAACGGTCGCTGGACGAGGTCTGAGAAACGTGGTTAGGGCCCCAAAGGATCTCGCTTCCTTCTGCCTACCTCTGAACCACATCCGCTAACCCGACCTCCCCTTTGCTCGCTGTCTCCATCACTACTGGCCTTGACTCCTGGACATGAAGCTCATTCTCACCCTAAGGCCTTTGCACTAATTGCATCTGCCCATAGCCCTTTCTCTTTTTTAGGCCTCTGCTTAAATTACCTTCCACGAAGACTTCCAAAATACCACTCCTCTCCACTTTCAACTCTTACCCTGAATGATTACTCACAGCAGATACCATGATCTGAAATTGTATCTGGTTTTGTTTCCCTAACTAGGCTGGAAGCTCCCTGAGGGCAGATGTAGCCTATTACTCACAGCAGTTATTTCCCAGTACTTGAGAGTTGCCAGCAAATGGCAGGAGCCTAACCAATTTTTTAAATGAACTGATCTCTAAACTCTTAAACTAGAGGAAAGATAGGCAGCAAAGGCTCTTGTAAGTTTGCCAACTAGTAAGTAGTCTCAGGCCTCCTTAGTTTCTATGGACTCTATTCAGATACTGAGCCAAAATTTAATAGGTAACAATATTACATATAATCAGGAAAAAAAATCATTTGCTGACTGCAACAGCTGATTTATATCCACATTATTACTTTCTTTTTTTCTTAAATGTTAGTTCATGTCTTTTATTAACCCATATACAATTACTTGTCTTCTGGTTTGTTGAAGCACTAGGTCAGACAACGTTTGCCACAATAGTGTCTGTCAGAGAACGTGGCTGGCCATAAAAACTCCAGCACCACATTCATCTGGGGACACTTCCGACGAAGGCGACTGATTTTGCCATTCTCACCCACTTTGTAGTATTTCAGGAGCCAGCTTAACCCTCCTTCTCTTATGCTTATTCTTCTTGGGAGTAGTGTAAGACTTCTTCCTTTTCTTAGCACCACCACGAAGTCTCAACACAAGATGAAGAGTAGACTCCTTTTGAATGTTGTAGTCAGACAAAGTACGCCCATCTTCCAGTTGCTTGCCAGCAAAGATCAGTTTTTGCTGATCAGGAGGAATTCCTTCCTTATCCTGGATCTCGGGCTTCACATTTTCTATTGTATCCGAGGGTTCAGCCTCGAGAGCGATGGTCTTCCCTATAAGGGTTGTCACGAAAATCTGCATCGTGACTCCATCTCAGATGGCAGATTGGAAAGCTATTACTTTCTTAACGACACCTATTCCTATATTAATATTTTTATATCTCTTCAAGTCCAAAGTTATTTACTCAAGTCATGATATATCAGTTAACTACTTAAACTTTTTGAACTGTTAAGTTTCAAACCAATTTTCCTGAAAACCTGAGTTGGTCAAAGTATAGGCGTCTGTTTAGGTACATAAAATGAGTCATAAATCTAACTGAAAAATTCTTGACTCAGGACATAAAAAAAATTGTACTAATTTGTACCACACCTCACTTGTACTCACTTTTATCAGACTCCCTGGATCACTAGGTTAGCATTGCAGTCAGGAACATTTCTGTTCCAGCTCATGAGTCCCAGACCATAGTTTCTTTCTCAGAATTGAAGCTTTTTCGTCTCCACAGATAAAGAGTCCAGACATTCTGAAGACAAGCAAAAAGAAGTCCACAGGATGGGAGGAAGGCAAAAGTGAAACTTGGAAAATATTTAGGAAAACAGCAATGCTTCAGTCTTTAGTGTTATCAGTGTAACTGTATTGATTATATCTTGGTTTACTAAAACTCATGACATTTGTCGCTTTAAGAATGGTTTTAGTCACGACTACCCCGAAGATTGGAGAAGGTAGGATTGAAGAGCTAAGGAAGCGTTTCCTCCCCACCCTTGGGACTTTGTTACTCAGTTCAGTCCCAGCTGTGTCACTCCTGACGACTGTGGGTTGAGGAGTCACTTGTCTTACGTATTGAAGTCACTCGACACATAAATGTTGCATTTTTAGAAGTTATACATATTTTAAAAGAACAATTTCCTTTCTGTTACTATTAATTAGAACATTAACTATATAGTTTTCCCTTATGATAGCTGAAACCAGTACTTCGTAAGACAAAAGCAATGTGTAATCTTTGCTTCAATAAGAGATGCATGGATTCCTGAAGATTGTATTTCCCATTCCTCATTAAGAACATTCAAAATCCATCACAAAAACTCAGACACTGAATTTATTTGACTAATATAAGTTTATGCATTTGGTATAGTCTATTTTTTATTTGAAAAAGCACATGCATGTTAAAATAGTTCTGATAGAAATTTTTTATAAATGTAACTTAAAAAAAATCAAACCTTGTATGGTTAGTGAGGGATGTTTAAAACATTCAGCATACATTTCTCTTTCTTTAAGTTTTTAGATTAGAAAAGCACACGTTTTGGACTTCTCTTCTGCCAAGTGATCTCAGTTTAAGGCTACATTAAACTCCCATCCTCCACAAAAATAAAAGACAAAATCCAGTTTTTCTCAGTAACTATAGAAGTACTGCTGTTTTTAAAATATTGCCCTTTTTCTTAAAATACCTCCTTTTCAATTCCATACATATTTATGGCTGGCAATACAGAGAATGCTTCTTGTTGGATATCCATGTCTTTTATAGAGGTTTAGCACTAATCCTAGTATCAAGCATAGAGAATAAAGGCAGGAGTCCTATTCATGCCCATTTTTTTTTTTAAGTTCATAAATACCATTTCTTACAATACACTGTATTTTATCATTCTAAGAAATGCCTTTTTGAACAACTCTGTGATCAGGATGTGCTTTGTAAGTGATGCCAGCTCACCATCAATAGGATGGCCTTTGGCTCCTGGCTGTCCTCCCGTGGGGCCAACCCCCACCCCCATTCCCCCAGCCCTTCTCCCTAGCCTGGTCGGTAGCCCCTCTGACCTGTGTCCTCTCAGCCCAGCCAGGCCTTGCTCGCTCCTGGACTGAACACTGAGGGATTTTAAACCAGGCAAGCACGTGACAGGTCAGGGTGCAGGAATCTGTTGTAATCCATTTCTGACACAGGTAGGCGCTTAGCTGCGTGGACAACAGTTAAGGGCTGACAGAATGACACTGTGTCAGAGCTGGTGATGCTTAGTGCTCCGTAAAAGTGTCACATAAAGAGCATCTTAAATTTGATGAAACAGTAATTAAAAGTAAAGTCCAAATCTGTGGTTGTATATCTCCAGGGTTAAGAATGACCTGTACAGGGATTCTGACCAAAGCTTTCAGAGTCCTGTGTAAGTCCCTCATAGTTCATAAGCAGAAACCTGATAAATCCACTGTAAACTGGTCCCAGTCCACAGACGGACTGTGCACCCCACCTCTACGATAAGAATGTCCTATTCTTGAAAAGCAGAACTAAATATAATCAGGGGATCAAAACGTTTATTTTCATTCTTACAAATTCTATAGAAATGAACCCAAACAAAACAAATATGTACATGTATATTATGTACAAAACTTTACTTCTGAAAAAGAATCTATAAAAGTAGATGGTTAAAAATAAAACAAAGAAACAAACAAACTGAAGTTTAAAACCAGTACTATGAAACTGATTTTCTCAAAGTAAAGTAATAGTAACTTTAAATTGCTGGTTGTTGTTGCTTTGCTAGGCTTATTTACATATTTTATTGTGGTCGTCTATATCAAGGAATCTCTTTTAGAATATCTTTAGTTTCACTTTATTACATCAAAGAGTCCTGGATTCTTTTCCCTTTACAAGGCTTTCAACAGGAGGACAAGTCAGCTTCCATTTTCTTCTTCCTCTTGAGTCACAGGTCGGAAAGGCAGTGTCATCTGTCCTCGTTCAGGATCAGACATTCGAAGGATTCTGATCAGTCGACTTGATGGAAGTGAGCTAGAAGAAGAATTCATTACTCAGATTCCCAAGAAAATTTTTTGCATTACAAGAAAATTCTAATACTCCTCATGAAAATATAAATCTAAATGGCTGTTACCTGATAATAGAGGGGTATGTCTAATACCTGAAGTTCCAGAAGAAACATAATTTGCAATAAGGACATAATTTGTTTTTATTAAAAAAAATTAACTTCCTGATAAATGCTATGAGCTTTCAATTTGGAGGAAAAAAAAAATGAAGATTTATATATCAACTATTTCTTACTCTTGTTCTTCTTGTCTAGACAAAAAGGAATTACCTGATATTTCTAATAACAAATTTAAATCCCCATATAATCAAAGCGGCTACTTTAGAGAGAGAGAGAGAATCGACTCAGTGAAATCATGCCTGCCACCTTAGAGGTGTCCAGTTAGTGCTGCGACAGCAGTGAGCTCTTTATTTAGAAGGACTGGTACTTGTAACCTACTAGGAAAAGAGCCAAGACTATGGAAATCACGAACTGTTTCTTTAGTCTGAAAGGAATTACTAAAACTATTTTACATTAGTTGGCCATGATAACCATAGAAGAGCAGATTCAAAATAGAAATAGTAGCAAGCCAATAATCACATTCAAATCAACTTGATTCTGTTATGGAAGGGAGATGACACAAACAAAATTTTAAATATTTACAAAGAAAAAATTATCTTAAATCTCTGGAACTAGTATGGAGACTAATTTTTCCTATTATGGGTCACGTGTGCATTTGCACTTTAAAAGTTAAAAGATTCCTTTTTCCCATTTTACATGCTTGACACATATATATTCCGAGTAGAGTTCTAGAAGTTACCTCATGCTTTGAGGAGTAAGCAGGATAAACTGCCTGAAACGCTGGGAATCTGCCATCTTGAGTATCATGTCCATTGCGATCCTCCGGTTGACCATGTCCTGGGGAGCAAAGGCCGAGGTTAGGTCACTCTTGAGCCAATCACGTTCTTCTGAAACAGTACCTGCTGGCTACTGCAAACTCCTGGATTTTTATCCAGGGATCATCTACTACCTTATTTCTGATGCCAAGCATAAAAAAGATAATATCCAAATTATTCAGGGAAAACAACCAAACACATCTATCTTCCAGGTAATTTCTACAATGAAAGTATTTGTAAGTATGGTTCCCTCCCCAAAATATACTTAGAAATTCAAATAATGAAAAAATATTCCAAAGACACAAGTAATTATTACAGAATGAATCTAATTTGTACAGTAATAGTCACTCATATCAAAAGTGACTAAACTGCAAACTTATTAAGTCTCTCAAATTTTCCCTCAATGAAGGTGTTTTAAAAAGTTCTGCCTCCTTCACCTTCTACAGTTTGTACAATGTGAACCAATTTGGCTTTACAGACTAATTTCTCAAATCTTTAAAATAGGTTAAACAGCACATTGGTGTATAGAAAAAAAATGTTCAGTTGTAACATATTTTGAAATAAAATGAATTAAAACTGTGTGCTTACATTTTCTGAGTTAAATCATAGAAAAATAAAAAATCGAGGTGCCCCTCCCACCCTTGAAAGCTGACAGCGTAGGCAAATGAACGCAGGCATGTTAAAGGACGCTTGGAAATCCTGTGGAGGCACCACATGCTGGCTTAGAACGTGGGTTTCGGAGGCAGATGGGGGCCCAAGTTCTGCCCACGCCACTCAGTGGCTTGCATAATCAAATCCTTCCATCAGGCGTATCTGTTAAGTAATCTGACGTAGAGTTAACAAAAATAACCAGAGCTTGCTCAAATGGAATATTCTCCTTTCAAAACACTGCCCCAGGGAGGCCTATCATTTAGTAACAAAGCTGCCAATGCACCGAAAATATTTATTCACTTTTCCTTTCTTAGAACTTGGGTACATTTTTCTGAATAATTCCAACAGGGCAAAATGCCATTCTGATTAAGACCCTCTAAATTTCTGAAAGAGAAAGACGTTGTTCTGAATCAAATATGACAAATAAGATGGGTGATGAGATGGCATAATGGCACTTTGGATTAAAATAATGCACAAAAGAACGATCACCTTCTAAGATTTGTGAGTTAGTTTTGAAGCAAATTCTTAGACGAATTTCTAACATCATCAGTAATGATATCATGCTGGAAAAAAATGACACTTGAAAGATTATCTAGCACTCACAAGTATAAATTCTGATTCATGAATAAGCATTTTTAAATGCTTATTATGGGTTAGGCATTAGGAGACAGAAATATGAAGAGAGTTTATAACCTCAAAAAGATTAGATTGGTGAGAGGTTCAGACATGATAAGAGGGACTGCAACTAAATAAAAAAGCATAGACAAAAAATGTAATAGTAAAAATATGTATCATATAATAACATATTTTATGACATAAACTATAAAAATAATAGTATGAGTTAATGTGAGGTAATGCTCAGGGTGCTCTGAGAGGGTCCTCACCGATTCTGCCCGGCCGGCAAAGGTCCTGAAGGCCACATAAAGGCAACACCCGAACCACGGCCTGAGCAGGGGTGCGAGGCGCCGTGAAGAAGGGTGCAGCAAGCAGGGGCACAGTGTCCGGGCGATCGCAAACAGCTCCACGTCACCCAACAGAACTAACGGTTATCCCAGACAGGGTAAGTAGCCAACGAGGGGTTTTACACCACTGAAGGACCAAAACCCAATTTACATTGGAAATACACACCTGCCAAAATGGTGAAGGAGAAGCTGAAGGAGCGGCAAGGTTAGAGTCTGGGAGTCTGGACAGGAGGCGATCACGACAGGTGAAGGCGAGGAGGGGACAGCGATGACAGGTAACGGGGAGAAGAGGGCAGAGATTAGGGAGACATTTTAGAAGAGGAAGAGGGACACAGAGAGGTCAGACTTAATGTACAGGAGGAATGGAAAAATCACAGATAAATCAAAGTTTTGCAGTTACAAGATATGAAAGGTAACGGCAATTTGCCACTAATCGAGGTAGGGAACTGATGAAAAGGAAGAGGCTTGGGATGGAAGACAAATTCAGTCTCAGACACGACAAGCTGGAGAGATGCAGGCCGTTTACTAGATTATGTCGGATAGGGAGCAGCTGGGCCTAAGGGCAAGGGAGACGTCAGGGTGAGACACCTAGATCTGGCAGGTTTCCAAATGCAGGTGGCAGTTTTGGGAACTATATGTATGTGCGGTGAGGGGGAGGTACACAGGAAAATCAGTAACAGTGTAAAAAATAAACAACAAACAGAAGACCTCAAACATTTCAGGGCTGGCAGATGGAGAACAAAGTAGAAGCACCGGAATGAGGGAGGAGGAACATGGAAACCAGCAGAAAGATCCAGGTTAGGAGATCAAGGATAGGTCTGTGGTAGCAGCTACTTCAAGTAAGATTAAAAGTTCATTTACGATTTTTGCAGAACCAGCTTTGGTGGAGGAGTCTAAACCCAGATTACAGTGGATATGGGAAAGAACAAGGCATGAAGAAGCGAAGAGAATGATTAATAATAGCTCGTTTGGGAAAATGACTACGTGCACCATGCAGACAGGAGCCTCACTAAAACCCTGCATGGCAGGAAGGATGAAGAGCTTTACTTTACAGATGAAGAAACTGAGCCCTGAAAAGGATAAACGCTTTGCCCAAAGTCACTTGGGTAACTGGTGGCAGAGGTAGGTCTCAATCTTTGGATTTTAAGCTTCAAAGCCCAATGTTCCTACTCCCTGTGTCACGTATGCAGCGCTCTGAAAAGCAGCTGTGAAGGAAGGGAAGGACCGAACAGGGCTGCAGGGGGTCCAAGCAGGGCTGGCGACCCCTTACAACTCTGTCCAATCGGAAGATGGAGATGCACCCTGGGAAGAGGCCGAAGGGGAGTCCATCCGGTGGGGAGGAAGGACAGCCCGACGGGAGAGAGGGCGCAGTCAGGACAAGGACAGGATCTCCGAAGGTGCAGTATCGCAGCGAGAAAAGAAATACTACTCTTTAGTTTAATCCTCCCTGATCACCAATCATAGGCTAAAGTGCCTGGCAGGATCTTTTCTATTTTGGGTAAAACTAAAGAGAGAATTGCTTCCATTCAAAATACATATCCATGCCACGCCCCAAAATGAGAGAATTTCAAATTTAACACTACCATGTAGACATCAAACTCATCCAGGCATCTGAAAGGAGACTCAGCGATGGACCACAGAGAAAGAATGAAGCACACGGTGGAAAAAGAGCGTTCCCCGCCCGATAAGGCTCTCATGTCGTTGAAGGCGGTTCTGTTTCCCTCTCCAGGCTGCACCTTGAATGAGTTAACAAAAAAAAAAAAAAAGTACAGAAAAAGGTATTAAATTCTTTACAAAATGGTTGCCTAGCATTAGAAAGAAAGGGTTTATAGTTTAAAATAATTAGAAAGAATAAAACCAGTTGTGTGGAAATAACATCTAATCCATTTAAAATATTTTAAAGTAAAACAGTGAGCTATGACAGCGGTTTTTGTTTTACTGTAAGGAAAATCAAATTGAAACATTTCCTCACTGTAACTGGATCTAACATACCAAAATTCTGAAAGTTTAATAAAAAAAAATGCCAATGTTAGGTAAATGTTACTGATTAAAATAATTTAAACTAGTCTTTCCGGTGTTTTTATAGTTTTTTTTCTCCCCTCTGGCTTTAATGAGCTAAAACTGACATATAACATTGTGTAAGTTTAAGGTTTACAATGTGATGATTTGATATATGTATATATTGCAAAACGATTACCACAAGGTTAGTTAGTTAACCCATCCATCAATTCCCAGTTACCTTTTCTGGTGGTAAGAATTTTTGAGATCTACTCTCTGAGCAACTTTCAAAAGTGAGAATGCAGTATTGTTGATGAGAATCATCATTTTGTACTAGCATAAAAATAGGCGCCATAGACCAATGGAACAGAACTGAGAGTTCAGAAACAAATCCATGAATACATGGTCAACTAATATTTGATAAAGGTGCCAAGAAAACACAAAGGAGAATGAATAATCTCTTTAAGAAAAGGTACAAGAAAAACTGGGTATCCACACGCAAAAGAATGAATCTGGACCCAAATGTTAAAGCCACTCACGAAAGCCAACTCAAAATGGGTTGAAAACCTGCAACTATGAAGCTTGAAGAAGAGAAGAGAGACGAACCTCTTTATCTTACACAATCTGTGCCCTCTAACCACCTTCACCTGCTCCCCCACGCCCTACACCAGGCGCCCGCCACTCTACTGCTACCAAGAGTTTGGCTCTTTTAGATTCTACATAAGTTATGCCATAGAGTATCTGTCTTTCTCTGTGTGACTTTTCTTTTTAAGTATATTTTCTTTTTCTTTCTCTTTATCCCCCTCTGCCTGGTATCTCCCTCCGTTCTTGCCAGCACTCCCTCCTTAGTTCATGTCCATGGATTGTACACATTAAGTTCTCTGGCTTCTTCATTTCCTATACTATTCTTAACCTCTCCCAGTCTATTTTGTACCTACCATCTATGCTTCTTATTCTCTGTACCTTTTCCCCCATTCTCCCCTCTCCTCCTCCCCACTGTTAACCCTTCATGTGATCTCCTTATCTATGATTCTGTTCCTGTTCTAGTTGTTTGCTCAGTTTGTTTTTATTATTTTTGGTTCAGTTGTTGATAGTTGTTAGTTTGTTGTCATTTTACTGTTCATAGTTTATTAGATCTTATTCTTTTTCTTAGGTAAGTCCCTTTAACATTTCATACAAGGACTTGGTGATGATGAACTCCTTTAATTTTATCTTATCTGGGAAGCGTTTTATCTGCCCTTCAATTCTAAATGATAGCTTTGCTGGAGAGAGTAATCTTGGAGGTAGGTCCTTGCTTTTCATGACTTTGAACACTTCTTTCCAGCCCCTTCTTGTTTGCAATGTTTCTTTTGAGAAATCAGCTAGTAGTCTCATGGGAACTCCTTTGCAGGCAACTCTCTCCTTTTCTCTTCCTGCTTTGAAGATTCTCTACTTATCTTTAATCTTTGGCAATTTAATTATGATGCATCTTGGAATGTTCCTCCTTAGGTCCAGCTTCTTTGGGACTCTCTGAGCTTCCTGGACTTGTATGTCTAGTTCCTTAATCAGACTGGGGAAGTTTGCTTTCATTATTTTTTCAAATAAATTTCAATTTCTTGTTCTACTCTTCTCCTTCTAGCATCCCTATGATTTGGACATTGGAATGTTTAAAGTTGTTTTCCAGAGGTTCCTAAGCCTCTTCTCATTTTTTTTGAATTCTTGTTTCTTCATTCTATTCCAGTTGAATGTTTATTTCTTCCTTTTATTCCAAGTCCTTGACTTGAGTCCCATTTTCCTTCCTTTCACCATTGGTTCCTTGTATATTTTTATTTCACTTTGTATAGCCTTCATTTCTTCCTTTATTTTGCAATCATTTCTTTGAGCATCCTGATTTCCCAGTGTTTTGAACTCTCCATCTTTTGAATTCTGCATCTGATTGACTGGCTATCTCCTCATCGCTTAGTTCTTTTGGTGGAGTTTTGATCTGTTCTTTTATTTGGGCCACATTTCTTTGTCTCAGCACACCTGTTACATTGTAAGGGGCAGAGCTTTAGGTTTCTCTAGGGCAGAGCAACCCATTTCCCTGCGTTGTGGTGCTGTATGTGGGAGAGAGGCCAGAGAGGGAACAATGCTCCTTGCTGGGCTCTCTCCCTGCTGTCAGTCACTTTCCCCACTTCCCAAAAGCAAATTGCGTCCCTGTAGGTGCTTCCCTGGTGCTGATTCCTGGGTGGGTGGGTTTGTGTATGTTCTAGGACCCTGTGGACTCCTCCAGCAGACTCTCCTGTGAGAACAGCAGCTTCTCCTGCCGCTGAAACCCCCACAGGTTATTAAGCCAGAGGTTTTGAGGCTTTATTTCCCCAGAAGCTGGAACCCTGGGTTGCATGTCTGACTCACTCCCCAGCTGTTCCTCTTGGAACACGCAAATATGGGACCACCTGCTCTGCCAACTGCCGCCTTTTTAGGTGTCCTCTCTGCCCTGGCTGCCCATCTTTGCTGCTCCTACCAGTCTGGATAGATGTTTCTTCTTTAACTCCTTGGTTGTTGGACTTCAATACAGTTTGGTTCTCTGGCAGTTCTGGTTGTTTTCTGTCTTTAAATTGGTTGTTGTCCTTCTTTTGGTTGTGCAAAGAGGCCATGTGTGTCTCCCTATGCCTCTATCTTGGCCGGAATTCTGTGTGACTTATTTCAATTAACATAATATTCTCCAGGTTTATCCATGTTGTCATATGGATGTCAATTCCCTTTCATTTTTATGGTTAAATTACAGTATATTCCTGTGTATGTATTACATTTTGCTTATCCATTCATCTGTCAATGGACAGTTAGATGGTTTATATGTCTCAGCTACTTTACATGATGCTGCCACAAGAACATGGGAGTATAGATGTGATTTCATCTCCTGTGGATGTACACCCAAAGCTTGTACTTTTGGTGTCAAATCCAAATAATCATTGCCAAGACCAGTATCAAGGAGCTTCTCCCCTAGGTTTTCTTCTAGAAGATTTCAAACTGTGTTAAAAGTTATAGTAATCAAGAAGTGTGACTGCTTCCAGATTTGTACTTTTTTCTCAAGATTGCTTTGGCTCTTTAGGGTCCTTTATGGTTCCACACAAATTTTAGGATTTTTTTTTCTATTTCTGTGTGTAATGCCACTAGAATCTAGATAAGGACTGAACTGAATCTATTCAGGCTTTGGAAGGTATGGACACTTTAACAATAGTAACTCTTCTGATCCATCAACATGGATCTTCCCATTTACCTGTGTCATCTTCAACTTCTTTCATCAATGTGTTCTAGTTTCCAGTGTACAGACATTTCACCTATTTGGTTAAAATTTACCCCTAAGTATTTTATTGTTTTTGATACTATTGTAAATGGGATTGTTTTGTTTGTTTCTTTTTTCAAACACTTCTAAGTGCTCAGATAATCTTTTGTTATTTGAATTCCAGTGACATCTAGTGGTTAAGTTGCTTTAAAAGTAATTACTGAATGTCAAAAAGACACGGTACCAGCTTAAATAGGCTCACACTGGAGAGAATGCAACAGCAGTAAACTAATATTCATAAAATATTTTTAAAAATCCCCTTTAATAAGTAACTGCTCATGGGAACAATAAAATAGCAATTAATAAATTTGATAGTACACTGTCACACAATTTCCTGAGAAGATAGTACATTTGAACATCAGAAAGCGTTTCATTTCATTTTGACAGAATTCCACATGCACATATTTGCTACAGAAGGTGAATAAGCAAAGCACCAGCCAATTTTGTATCATACCATTTTAACATACATGTTTTGGCAGACATGTGGCTTATCATAAATTCTGAATTCAAACATACACTAAAATTTTATATTTATCATCTGTAAGTCTGAATCCTCCGTGAAAATCTAAATGAAAAAGCAATGCTAACACCAGCAGTAAAAAGTCAAACCAGATAAGCAACAACAAAAACACATATAAAAGAACTAAGCAACGGGATACAATCTTTTGCTCCAAAACTGCATTTTGTACCAATCTAATGAATGCCTTGGTTGAATTATGGAGATCTAAATTTTACTTCTGGTTTATTACTAACTTATCATGGGACTTCAGTTTCAGTTTCCTGTTTTGAGAAATGAAGACTAAATTATTAGATTCTTAAAGCAATATTATTCTTTTGAACAACAAGGATGACAATGTTTGAAAATCTAGCTTTACTTGTCTTGTACGATTAGCTCTGGAGATATATTACCCAAACACACCTAATACTTTCTTTTTTAAAAATTTTTATTAGAGTATAAATTATTTCTATAGTAATGAATAAAGCTTAAGTGTTTAGCTCAAATAATTTTTATACAAACACAAATACACACACAGAATATCCACTACTCAGATCAGGACAGAACATTTCTTGCATCTCAGGAGATTCTCTGTGCTCTCTCCCGGTCACTACCAATCCCTGAAAGGCAACCCCCATTTTGACTTGAATCACAGCGCTGAATTTTACCGGCTTTTGAAGAGTGGAGGTGCTTTAACAGATACTGCCAGACGAGTTTCCAAATTCATTCGACCAAATTACACCGCCACTGGCAAAGTATGAGAGTTTTAAGTCTGCACCCTCAGCAACACAAAGAATCACCAGTTTCATTCATTTTAGTCACACCAATAGTGATGTGACAGTAACTTATGATATAAATTTGTATTTCTCTCATGACTGATGATACTGAACATTTTTTCATGTGCTTATTTGCCATTTGGACACTTTAATTTATGAAGTCCCTGTGTAAGCCTTTTAATCATTTTTAAATGTGTTGTCATTCTTTTTCTTAATTATTATTATTCTTTAAAATTTTAAATGAGTCCCTTGTATTTATGTATTGTAAATGATTATTTATTCTAAGTATTAAAATGGAAGTATAAAGTTTATGGCAACTAAAAGTAGTAAGCAATTACTTGAAAATTTTGCTCCCATTATTTAGAGTGGGTAGCTGCTCCTGACCTCCCGACTACACACACAATTTTACTGCTGTATCTTCCCCTCTACCTTTCAGTGCCATGTGACTGTTAAAGAATCCATAAAGGCAGATTCCACAAAGTCAAATGTGGCGGCTCTCTTTACCGAAGACAGGCCAGATCTAAGTACACGTTAATAAAATAAGTAATACAAACACAATCACATAGGATAGAATATACTCTGAGAAATCTTTTCTTGGCTTCCTATAGTGAGACCAGAGAAAATGGACCTTCTATAATGGTCCACATAATTTAAAAGAGAAACTGATAGAATAGAAAGAGAAAGTAAACAGTTGTCACTGAAATACAAATCCTAATTTTCATCTTAAGAAAATCATGTGGTTATCTGGAGAGAAAAATATTTTTAAAAATTAGAAAAAAAAAATGGCAGCTTTAGCTAATAATTTTCAAAACTTTGGCAAAGCATCTCCTAATAATTAACATGTAAAGTTAAGATACTTACTGATATAGTAAGAGTTTCATTCTTGTGGTCAAAATTCATTTTTCCACAATAGGCCCGCTGAGATAATAAGTTGTCAAAGTACAATTTACATCGTAAAGTCAAACACCTTAAAATAAAAAAATTGAGCGCATTAAAAAGAATATAAAGATACAGAAGTGTATATTCAGCATGATCTTTAAACTGGAATGTAAGACCAGACAGAAATGTGGCAAAATATTCAAACTGCTTGGCAATTTTATAGGTGGGATATTAGGTGACTTCCCCCCCTCCCTTAATATTTCATTTGTGCCTCCACGTTTTTACCACTAACATCTATAAAATGAATAAAGATGTCATCTCACATTTAATATACCCCATTATTTCAGCCAGTCCATATGGATCATATGGATGTATCAACCCATGACCCTAACACAGAAGATGTAAATCTTGTGAGGACTGAACTCTAGTAGTGTTGCTAATGGAGAAAAGACCTATTCACCTGCTTCTGTCCTCTCAACTTTATAGTTGCAAAAAGAAGGGGTAAGAGCAACCTCTTCATCACTGTGTACCTGTAACCCCCTGCGCAGACCTGGCCCCAGTACAAATGCCCCCAGGTCCATCTCTGTTTATCAGATGGCATTCTACTGTCAGGAAGTCCTCCTTCAAATATTTATTCACTTATCCACCTTTCTATTTATCAGAATGGAACTGCAGGCTCTCATTTTATTCACTGGGTTACCATCTATTACTAACCTCACTTATTTTGATCCTCAAATTGTTCCATATTTCACCTGTAGGAGCCCCTTCATCCCGCCTCCTACATTTTCATCACGACTCCACGTTTTTTGAGCATCTCCTTACTTTCTTGCACAGCGAGAGGCTCATCTGTACCTTCCCTGCTCAGCTCTGGAATCAGCCATTTCTCCAAGGAGCCTTGATTCCTTTTGGGTGGGGAATGGTTATTTACCAAATAAGATCTGGATGATAGGTAACTAGCTGTATTTCTTAATATTTTTGCTCCTTAATTAATCTAAGGCTCATTTCTTCAGAGTGACTATCATTTATTCTTTTCTTTCCTAATTTCCTTTCTAAATTGCATTAAATCTCCACATGAGAAAATATCGATAGACTGAGTTTTCTTTTGTGCCACAGCGACCACTGTTGGTTTGTTTTCAGAATTTTCTGTTAACTTTTTTCTTTTAATAGAGATACATATTTTTCAACTGCTTCTACTCATGGGATGTCTAAAAAGAGGCTTTTCTCGTAAAATGGCAAGGTTCTCCAGTGTAAACAAATAAATGATTTTTAAAATTTGGTAATTCTTATTTTACTCCTAAGACTGAATAAATAATATAAAACATCAAAGAAACATATTAAAAGTAATAAACTATAAGACCGCTACTTTTACAGAAAAATATTTTAAATAAAATTTTTCTAGATAACGATAAATCCTACTGCTTCTGGAAAAATATAGTAATATGCATTGGATTTTCCCTTCTGCCTGAAACAAATAAAAAGAACTGGAAAAAATGTATGAAACAAGTTTTCAGACTCCAGATATCAAACAGCACAGGCAATTCCAGTGAAACTCATCTCCCAAAGATGGGACGCAAACCGAGCCTTATGGTTGCCCCAAATTACTACTTACGGAAAGAGTAAAGGGGATGGGGCGGGGTGGGTGGAAACCTACGGGGAGCCCGGGGCCTCCCTCAGGGTGGACCCAGAGCAGCCGTGTGGGGAGGCCACGGCGCCGCCAGGTCACGAGGTGGAGTCTGTGCAAGGCCGTGCAGACTGGAGGGCCTCCGGAGGGGCCTGGAGGCTCATGCTGCGGGTGCCACTCATCAGTGCATGTGGGTGGGGAGATCGTCCCTCCGTGGGGAGAGAAACACCAGGAAGCAGTGGAAGCAATTCCCGAAGGCCCCTCAGAGCCAGGACAGTTCACGTTCCCACCGGCAGGAGTAGAAAACCTTCTAACTCACAGGGCATCGGCAGGGTACTCAGAAGGCCACTGCTTCACAGGCAGGAAAAACTTAGTACTCGACTAAAGGCTGCTCTGGTCCCGCCTAACAAAACTGAAACACAAATTTCAAAAACTGTCCACAGTTCAAGAATATGGTAAAACATGCAAAGCCTGTTGCTCTTTATGGTTTTATCTGAAATTCCATGTATGCACTAGAGCTAGATATATTCTTTTATTTCTATTGTCTTAAGACTATAGAGTTTGGGTATAAAGACAGGTAGAAAGCATGTGGCTGAGGGAATTCCTCCTGGGAAAATAGAGGCTAAGTGTAAAGACTAGGGCTGCCTTGGATCCAAGGATATCAAGGACCATCCCTACCTTTAATTGGTCCTCTGGTTTATTTCAGTTGTTTGTGATTTGTATTGGAGTCAATTTGTCGCTGTGAGCCTGTACATTTCTGGGTACATTAATAATACCAGTTTCTCTAATTCTGCATTGACTCACGCAACCGATATGTATCAAGTTCCTACTAGACTTCAGGTTCTGTAGTGGGGCCTGGAGAAAAGGCAGTGAACAGAGTAGAGACTCCGCTTCCATCAGGCTATCTCATCTCGCTGACCACAGTATAAACCAACTGAGATGCGGCCTTCATGGGTCCCGTCAAAAACTTGCATGTCGTAAGAACACATGACATCCAAGACTGAAAGGGGCTGTTTCAGAACCAATGAGCTCCCATCCACAGGACCTCTGTAAGCATCCAATGACCGGGCATCTACGAATGATCTAGTAAAGGATGGCTAATGGAGTAGAAATGGCGCAGAAAAGCTGGACAGGCTTGCTATACAGGTCCTTTCAAATCCAGAACTCTGTGTAAATCAGAGGATTGCAAGTACCAACTGACAAGGTAGGCACTGGCAGCTCTTCACTATTTGAACCATATAAAGTTCTTTTAATATTTAAACAGGACAAGTAAAAACAAAGAGAAACCAAAAATATGTATGCAGTAATACTTTTTCAATGCGCTTACCTTCTAAATTGTTGGTACGTTTGATATCTATGGGTCATTATTTTTTCCAGTAATTTAATAAACCTTTTTAAAGTTCTTACTTTAGTGTCCAGGTCAAGATAGACTTCTTTTGCTTCTTGGTACTGCCTATTTTATGAACAAGATATTAAGTAAATAAATGCCATTCAAAGAAACATAAAAAGAAGTAAACTCTCAAATATATTTAATGGGGAAGAACAGGGCGCAGAGGAGTGCTGAGAGGCCCAGCAGTAGGTTTCATGACGCTCCAAACAAAGTCCGCCCCCAGAGCGGGCGCGGGCTGCCCTGGCCTGGGGAGCTGTTAGCAGGGCTGGGCGGGAACCAAGTCCTGCCATAGGGAAAGCCCAGAAAGCACAGGAGGAAAGTACCCAGGTGGGGCCCAGAGGTGGCAGGCCTTAGAGAAGCCAGCAAACATACACCTTCGAAGAGTGAGGGGTTGTACTGGAAGACAGGAAATGTTTCCCTCAGTGACAGATGCCAGTATGGGAATGGAGAAACAGAGAAATTAGGATTCTTCCCACCCCCCAAACCCAGCTGAACTAACAAAGAGGCAGAGCAGGCATGGCTCCTCAGAGGTGGTATTACAGAGGGCAACAGCCACTTCTGTAGAAAGGGAGAGAAAGTTCCTGCAAAGTATGGAAGGCAACCCTGGCCAAGACTCCCACAGCTACTCGTCCCATCCTCCTTCAAAGGCCCAGGCCAGGAAAATCCAACTAATTAAAAAATGAGTAACAAGAGAGGCACCAGCACTGCACCCACACAAAGATATCTATGGGGAGAGGGGAGAGCAAAACTCCCCCTATAGACAGAGAAAACATTAGAACGATGTTGCAGAGCAGAATAAAACTGTGATTGAACAGTAAGAATTAAAACAAAACAAGTGCTATCAGGAAGGAACCTCAACACAAAAATGAAAAAAAGGGAAAGAATAGTTAGACAAACAACAGAAGGTGATCACTAGACAAGAGGTGAAGTGAGAATTTGCAGTATTCAAGGAAAGAGGGCAGGTTAGACCAAAAAAAAAAAAAAAGGAAAAGAAAAGAGAGAGAGAACAACAGGAGAATGAAGATAAAGACAAAACGAGAAGCTGATACAAAGGGGCAAACACAAAACACCAAAGACAGAAATGAGAAAAGAAAACTAATTGGGTGAAAAACAGATAAAATTGTTAGACAAAATATATGGAGAAGACAAAGGATATACAACATATGTATAAATGAAGACTTCAAAAAGAAAGTTAAACAACAGAATAGAAAATATTTACAAGTAAAATACAAGAAAACACTTAAAAAGTAAGACTTAAATCTACACACGGAAAAATCACATTGTGTACCACAGGAAAGAATCACAGATTCTGACATTCTGGATAAGTTATAGGAATTAAGAGACGAGTACTATCATAAACAGATATTCAAGAGACAAAAGACTTTATATTAGGCTAAACTATTCTTTAATTCAAAGTTAAAGACAGATAGTTTTGAACACGTAAAACATACAAAAAATATTATTCGTGTAGCCATTCAGGAAACAATTAGAGGACATCTTTCAAGGACTGCACAGTCATATGAAAAAAGACAAAAAACATTCCTCATGCCCAAAATATTCACGGGACAATGAAAAAGCATGTAAAAATTCACAGGAAAATGTCATTCTGTAATGAGTTTTGTAATAACTCAGAAGAAAAAAGTTAGATTATTAACAATACATGTGTGAAAGAGTAGTTTGGCTATAAACCATATACCACAGCACCATTTGATCCAAATTTAAAATTTACATGTAAACATTTTTTGTATTGATAATATATACGAATAACATAATAAAGTAGAAAAGCTACCAACTACTTACCTTGTTATTTCCTCTCGATCTCCATGACTAGCATGTTCTGCCTGTATCTTTTGTCTTAATCTATTAATTTCTTTGTCTAGAGTTGATGCAGACTTTTTTACTTCTATTCGCTCTGGGCAGATTTGTCTTGCTTGTGACATTTTCTCCTAAGATAAGAGATGTTTAATATCTTTAAAACTCTTCTTTGCAATAACAACTCATTGTACTACTAGTGCAGACCAAGTAAAATTCTAAACTTATGTCTACAAAATGTATTTTAATTACAGTTAGCATCAATGCTATTTCTACAAATTTTACATTGAGAATATAGTCCAGAGTCATTATACATCTTCAAGAGAAAATCACTTTACTATGCGTATCTTTAATAATTTGTAAGACCTCCACAACTTCCTAATGAAACACATTTCAAAGTAGCAGTTATGAACTTTGGCACCCTGGGTACTGAGGTCAGAGGTAGCTTTCTGTGTATTTTAGGATGGACTCTGAACACTAAATAGTATTGAAAACTCAAAACAAAAAGACCCTCATGTTTGTAAAATATTAAACTCAAAGCACTTTAACACACAGTGCTTGTTTTTTATTTACAACATTCCACACAGTTTAAGTTTTGAATAAGTAAGGCAACAGATTACAGTTTCAATCATTTCCTAAGGTAAATAAAGGTGAAGTTGGAATCCATCTTTTCTAGGTGGACCAAGGGTGCCTTCAACTAATCTCCTGCAGAAACAGGAACATGTGTACAGCTGTCCACATGGGTGCCCAGAGAGGAGGAGCTGAACTGCAGCCCAGGCCACTCCCAACCACGAAGAGGCAAGAGGCACTTTTCTGACAATAAGGCTGCCATCTACTTGCCCAACCAGGCATCTAAAGGAGCTATGTTAGCGGAGCGCGAGTGCCACTCTCCACCATCACTCAGAGGCACTGCGTCCGACTGGCGCAGTCCTGCCTAAAGTCCTCTTCGTGTTGGTCTGTTTAAGTCCCCACTCTCTGAGAGTCCCTTAAGTCTCTTTTACTCTTAATTTACCAAAACAGCTGTTACTTTATACAAAACAGATATTCATTAGATAATTTGCCTTGTTTGCAAACATGACATTAAGGAAAACGCACTTTAAAAATCAGGACTAAAGCTGTAATCAAAAACATAAAACCAAAAATGATGGATAACCTCTAGTTCTTTTTGTTTCATATCCAGTTCTCGTTTCTTTTTATTTAAAGTATTCAAGTGTTCTTTTTGTTTTTCTTCATAATGCTGTTTTCCTCGTTTTTGGGTATCTACTTCAGAATCAGCAAGGTTTAATTCATCCTGTTTAAAGAAAGCCAAGATAATCTCTAAAGGAAAGATTGTTTAAAAAAAAAAATACCAGCACAGCTATAAAACTAACTGACAACTCCACAAAGCGGATAGTACTATGCTGCTTCACAAATGTTAAGAGTTCGTATTCAGATGTGTCTGAATAGAAGTGAGGAGTTTCCCAAAATTAAGAAGTCACATTATTATATTCAACTTCTTATATGAAGTCTCCATATATCATGGTGTTTCCAACTTTGTTTTGGTAAACAAAGTAGTCTGTGGGAAGTCACGTTAGCCTGCAAGGACGTAAAGGAGGGACAGCCAGGTGAAAGGTCAGGGGTGGCCAACCTTTGGGCATCTCTGGGCCATACTGGAAGAAGAGTTGTCTTGGGCCGCATATTAAATACATTGCAACAAGTAATCACACACAAAAAAATCTCATAATGTTTTAAGTAAATTTATGACTTTGCATTGGGCTGCATTCATTGCCATCCTGGCTGAATGCGGCCCACAGGCCATGGGTTGGACACCCCGGATGCACACAGTCATTAGTTACAGCAGCCTTCTCAAACAATGATCTACGAGTTGACTACGTTATAGTTGATTTGGACGTAATACAAAATATATAGATTTTCAGACTCTACCATGGAGATTTTATTTTAGGTCTGGAATCCCCAAATCTCAATTTTTGAAATGGCTCTTGCTGTAAGACCGCTAAAATAAGTTTAGACTCTCAGAGAATTTGCTCATTTGGTTTGATATATGAACATAAATGTGAAGAGCAATTTATTTGTAATAGCCCAAAACTGGAAACACATGTCCATCAATAGGTAAATGAATAAACAAACTCTGGTACATCAAACAGAATGGAATGCTATTTGGCAATAAAAAGGAATGAATGATTCAGGTAAAAATATGGATGATCACCATTATCAAATAGAACGGTTTATTGTACTCACTCTTTCTTTCAAAACATAGAGTATATGGTATGTGTTAGACAGTGTGTGGTAAGTTCTGAAAAAGGTCAAACCCCTCCAAAAGTAAGAGTACATAATGTGTAATTATATTTTATATAATTCTAGAAAATGTGCAGACTATAGTAAGAGAAAGCAGATTAATGGTTGTTTGGGAATAAGGAGCAGGGAGTAGGGAGGGATGGATTACAAAGGGCTATGAGGAAACTTTTGAGCATGAAGAATATGTTCCTTTTTCTAATTGTGAAGTTTTACAGGTATATATATACATGTCAAAATTTATGAAATCATACACGTTTGTGTATTTACTGAATGTCACTTATATCACAATGAAACTGTTTTAAAAAGGATCCTGATTTAAGAACCCCCAAATTAGATTTTAGTTTGTTTTTTGAGCCTAGCACTGATCATATATACTACAATGATCACGTTCAGCATCAAGAGTTGCAGTTATAAACAGAGAACGAAACAAATACCAAACGAAATAGCAGTAATAGCATCATGAAAGACAGTATAGAGATATCCTGAAAAGGAAAATGGGTATCTAAACACTGAAAATATTTACCTCATATAACAAAAGATTTAGGCTATTTCCTAACCTAAGAATACAGCTTATTCTATCTTGTTCATACTGATAAAAATACCACCTACAGTAGATGTTTGATATTATATAGCTTTTATAAAAGAGTTCTATTAAAAATAAAAACATTATTACGTGAAGGATGAAGATAAGCTGTTCCTTTACTTCAAACAGAATAAAAAAAAATGGGTGCAATTTCCATAGCAGGAGATATTACAATTAGAAATTGGAACAGCTTATAAAATAAAATGGTTGTTTTCTAATCGTTTCTGGTAAGAACTGTCAAAATAAATAGGCCCACATTTGCTTTAGGGAACCAATTTAGCTTTTGGGAACTGAAGAGGTAAACCATATTTGGACACATTTGTGATGGTTAATCCTCCCTCCTAGCAACTTTTGGAAAGGGAAAGACTTAACTTACAAGACAAAAGGAAAAGAACTATAGATCTTAATAATTCCTTTCTCCACATTTACCAGGGCTGTTTGATTTGTCTTTGTATAATGTCCTGGGTACCATCAAATTTAAAACTAAAAGAAAGCAAGACAGTATTTCATTTAATTTCATGTTATTGATGGTGAAACAAAGAACTAGAGACGTTAAAAAGAAGTTAATGACATTCATCCTGGTTTTGGGGTGAAGACTAGGATGGGTTAGGTCTGAAATGAAACTTTGATGCAGCCCTAAACCTGCAGTGTTTATAAGCTGTAAGAAGTTATGGCCTTTAAAAAATAAGCTGAGATGCTCCAAGGGACAGGATCCTTGAAAAATTTTATTCTCTTGGATACCAAAACAACCAATTATAGTTACTCAGCACCACCGGATAAATTGCTACTTGTTTCACATAAACCTACATTAACTATGAAGTTTTGAAAACTATACAACAAGAAATCTTGGAATTTCAGGAGCACAGTTACCCTCAATACGAATAAACTCTCATTAGCTGTATCAAAAGCACTCCTACTCCAGTAACGCTCAATGGGAGTCACTCTCCCTGTCCGACAAGTTTAATTTGCAACTAAAGCATTTAGTTTGTTAGTTTGCACGGTAATTAAAAGTAAACCATTTAGGCCCTGGCCAGTGGCTCAGTTAGTTAGAGCGTTGCCCACAATATGCCAAGATTGCAAGTTCGATCCCCAGTCAGGGCACATGCAAGAGTCAACCAATGCATAAATGCATAATTAAGTGACACAACAAATCGATGTTTCTCTCTCTCTCTCCCCCTTCCTCTCTCTCTCTAAAATCAATCAATAAAAATAAAAGCAAATAAATTGTTCAAAGTGAGAAAAATATTCCCTATGCTAAGATTTCAGCAACTGACTACATATTTCAACTCTATTCTTCACCACCCCTGTCATAAAATGAACAAATGCCCTGACAGCAAGAAATCATGTCTAGAAGCTGTTAATGGATAATGACTGCAGTTTCTCGGGAATTATTTTGTTGGCCAACCCCTGCTTGTCCTATAGTTACTGATGGCTGTGTGATGTGACATTGCCAAGGAAAACCTCTTGGCTACTTGCTGATTGCATGCAGGTTAACTGAAGGACTCACCTCCTAGCTTTCAGTTATTTGCAGCCAAGGCAAAGAGCTAAGATCAAGAATTCTTACTGCCTTCTGCCCATATTTTCTGCTCTTGAACTTATTTATGGACTCCCAATTCCAGGAGTTGCTTTAGCTTAGAGGTCCCTAAAAGAACAGAACACAGCTTACTCTTCATCATTTCTTGTTTTTAATTTCAAACTGTTTGGGATAAATAATTTAGGCACTAATCTTTCTTTTTCTAAATCATTTTAGCATATTTCACCATTTTGATTTTGTCACACTGTTCAATCCTTTACCCATTTAAGAAAATATTTAATCTTACCTTTGTTGTAACTTTACTGCTCTGATTCCTGAGTTCTGAATTCTACCTTGTCTATTAGCAATTTTTGTATTATTTATTCTTATTCTATTTTCTTTTAAAAGCTAATTTTGCCTTCTTTTTTACCTCTTTGTCTTTTAAATTCTTATTCCCTGTAACAACTACTCACTTATTTGTCTTTCTCAGTATTTAATGTTTCCCTTCCTCATAACTTTAGTATTTAAATTATATATTCTTCTTCATCAGTTAGTCTATTTTCCTATTTTTTATTCTTCTATGAAATAGGAAAAAATTAATCCAGCTTAGGTTAAAGCGACAGGCAGGAATCCCAGCGCCATGGATAGCAACTACAGAGAAATGCACCACAAACAGCTACCCCTCTAATTTCCTTTTGTATTCTCTTAACTCTTTATTATTACATTTTTAAAATTTTCCAATAAACACAAAGGCTAAAATTTTTTTATACATGCAAATTCTATTAAACTTTAAAAATATCTAAATACATTTTGATTCACAGGGGGTAATTTATTTTCCTGCAAAAAAAAAAAAAAGGAGTACGTTAGAGTGATATCACATACCCCACTCCTCTTAAAACATATAATTCATTCTTCTCAGTGTCTTATGCATAAAATTTGAAGTTCTGAGAATAATTGAGCTATTTATAAAAATGATAATGACAATAAAATATCGATAACTAAGCTAATAAAGAACTTGGGGAGATTTATACAATTTAACTACTGAATAATTTTATTTCCCTCAATTTGATTTCAAAAAACATGTGTTAAAATACCAATAGAATTCAAGCTGGAACATAACTGAAACATGCCCATAAACAGGAACTGGGTAGCACTTTGTTTTAATTTGGCCTGGGTTATGGAAGGAAAGGTGGACAACAGAACAGGTAAGCACAGAAGCAGTGCAGACAAACAAGATGTCCCCGGCTCTGGCTCTAAAAAAAGAAAATGAGAAAATGAAGAGGGAACAAAGGCTACAATCTTTTGGGAGAAACAAAAACTTGGCGATTTATTCTCATACATGCATGAGCAGGAGAATTAATTTCTCAGAGACCTAATGAGAAAATTTGGTTTACATCCTATTTTTATGTGGTTATATTTACATTTAGCCATATATTCTGACAGGGCAATATCTAGTGAGTACACTGTAGATATAAAACTGAAACATAAGATACATATAGAATAACAGTAATATATACCTTAAGTGGATCTGCTTGCTCTGATAGCTGATTAACCTTCCGTTTAATTGCATCATACTTGCTTTCCGCTTCTACTTTCAGACTTTTAAGATATTCCATCTTTTCTTTTTGTTGTTCCATATTTTTCTCAGCTGCTTTCATTTTGTTTTTATTGTCTTCAGCTTCATCTTCCTGGTTACATTTACAAAGCATAAACAGTTAATTAAAATACCTTTGTTATCGGACACAAAAGTAGTAAAAACAACTCTGAGAAGAGAAACTACTGGGTATAGGCAAATCAGATCGAAGACAAATTCAAAGAATACCAGGATATTTTCACACTCTTAATGGTGAGTTAGGAAGTAGAAATAAACAGGTTCAAAAATAACAAGAGATAACAGTTAGGATGCAAGTTAAAAGTATATTGTACCTGAGATTATAATCAAAAGTAATAATCTTTATTCTATCTACTCACTTTTTGTTCAAAATATAGTGTATATAAATAAATACCCACCTTGGCCAGACAATGGGTTAGAGGCTGAGTAAACAAAAATAAATAAGACATAGCCCATACCTTTAAGAAACTTAAGTCTATCAATGAAAAGAATTAAAGCAGAAAATAAAAAGTGGAAAACAAGATTACTAATAAAAAATGAAGACAAATTCTCATGAGAGTAAAACTCCACCGATGCAGGGATTTTATCTGTCTGGTTCCTTGCTATACCCTCAGCAGTTAATACATTATAGCACAGACACTAATTAATATTTATTTATTTCAGTAAGACTCTGTAATTTATCTAATCTATTGTTTACTGTAACTGAGCGAAGCTCAGCTGAGTATCATAAACAGTTGTTTGGAAAAAAAATTCGAGTAACAAATATCTGGTTCATTAGAATGAAAACCATTCACCTGAAAAAAAGAAACAATGCAAAGAGGCCAACTACAACTAAGAGATCATCATTAATATTGATACTGATTAACTCTGAAAAATACCATGCTAAGCAGTTTGATTTAAAATGCCACTTTAATTTTAAGAGCACAGTTAAGCTCTGATAAAGTTTTGTTTCATGCAGTGGATGACACAATCTATTACTATGCATACAAGTTATAGAGTTAAAACATTAAGGAACTTGAAGACTATATACCAGGTAATTTCTACCTTATCTGTAAATGGAGAAAGCAATCATAAAAAAGTAGCCCTCATGAAAAGGATTAAAAAAAAAAGTGGAGCCCTGGCTGATGTGGCTCAATGGTTTGAGCATCGACCTACGAACCAAAAAAAAAGTGGAGAGCAGACGCTATTAAACTAAATTACTGTTTTGTCCTTTATAACAGTAAATTGAGGAAAAGAATCTTACCAAGGTTGCAATATCTACAGACTGGTGTTCTTCTATATTCTCAAGTTCCTGAATTTCAGAAATATTTTTTCTTATTTTCATCTGAAAGAAAGTATTTAGAATTTAGTGATAGAAAAAGAAATAAAAAAATAAACGCCCTGGAAAAGACAGAGAGAGAGGGAGAGAGAGAGAGAGAGACACTCTTTATGTTACAGAAGGATTCTGTATTTGACAAAGACACATTATTATTAAATGAACCAAAGTAAGTTATGTATTAAGTCTGCCATGATCACCCTCATTGGTAACCCATTCCTACGCAAAAAAGATGTAAGTACTCCATCTTCACATTGCAAATGATGACAATATTGAATCCACAGAGAAAATATTTTTCTGAAATATCCAGACTCAAGTCATGGGAAGATTACTCTAATCCAGCAGTTCTCAAAGCACAATTCAAGTATCTCCTGGGTGCTTCCCAAACTCTTCCAGGTTTTCATGAGGTCAAGTCTAGTCTCCTAAAAACACTTGGACATTATTCACCATTTTTACTATCATTTTCTCATGAGCGTACAGGAGGTCTGTAATTCTATGGTGTGTATGTAATATTGCCACAGACTGATTGCAGAAGCCGACATGATAATTCAGCTGAGTTCTATTAAGCCAGATAATAGATACTTACCACAAAACATAAAAATGTCAAACTTCTTAATAAATAGGTTTGGTTTAAGAGAAGTTATTTTTCATAAGAACATTAGCTATGTTAACGAATAATTTATTATTTTTAAGTGAACTAATACTCTCAAATTTTAATTTTTAACAATGTAAGTACTGATAGATAAAACCCACATATGTGAAAGCTCGATTAAGACTGTACAGAGGCCAGAAAGTTTGAGAACTCCTCTAACTAAATAAATGGTAGAGTTTTTAAAAATAGCTTGTAAGTGATAAGTTGAAAAAACAAAATGACGGATTTTTTTTTATACCTTTAACTCTTTATAATGTAGTTGGTACCTTCTATAAAGTTCTTCATTGTGTTTAATATCCTTTTCAAGGGTAGACAAATGGTGCTGAAGACTTAATATCTGGGCCTTCTTATTTTCAACCTCGTTCTCCAAAAGGCTTGAGAGAGGGGAGGATAAAAATACTTTAAATTTATTTCTGAATATTACAAGTTCTTTAAATCTTCACAAAGAAAAGCTTGTTTTTAATAGCTTATTTGCAAACCCTATTCAATCAAACCAGTTCAATACTCCTGCCAAGTTAATAACTTGAAAATACAGATTTCAAAAAACATCTAAACTGGAGTCAAATTTTACTTAGCTCATTAATAAGTATCTGTGATACGCTCTGTGTGACAGTCGTTGTGCACGCTGAATGGTAGGGGTAAAAACAGAGTTAAGACATGAAGGACTCAAACAAAAAAGAAAAAAAATCAGGAAATAAACCATAACATTAAATTGTGAACAGTACACTATTTTTCCATAGTACCACGGGACATGAGAGTCTGGGAGAAGTGATGGTTGCATTGTAGTCTGAAGTTTTCAATAGCAGGACCAACTAGGGGAGAGGGTGGAAAGAAATGCACAAAGGCACAGGGGGATGAGAAGAGAAAATTGACAACTCAGCATTTACTACTGGTGAATAAATGCTTTGAATGTTTGGGCAGTAAAAGCGAAGGGGCGGGGACAATGCAAAGGGATGGAGGATACAGTAGAAAGAAGCTAAGGCCACACAGGCCTCCTGCCAGTAGCTACTGTCTTCAGAAATGATCTTTTCCTGCCTCCCCAACCCAAGCACCTGTCTCCCCAAGTTGTGTGCCTGGTGGAAGAGAACCAGCTCGGCAGTTAAGAGAAATTTCTTTGACGTAGAGTGTATGTCATATTTCAGTAAGATGCATATTTTCCCACACTTTAACATCTCGAAATCATCTTTTAGTCATGGTTCAATTAGCAGCTTTTTAAAAAAACTGATATATAAAATAACACAGCATTTTAAACTTGATGAAATAGTATAACTGTGTTACCTTGCTGTAATTCTCAAAAGTAAAAAATAATCAATAGCCCTGGCTGGTGTGGCTCAGTGGATTGAGTGTTGGCCTGAGAACTGAAAGGTCACTGGTTCAATTCCCAGTCAGGGCACATGCCTGGGTTGTGGGTCAGGTCCCCAGTTGGTGGCATGCGAGAGGCAACTGATCGATGTATCTCTCCCTCTCTTTTGATCGATGCATCTCTCCCTCTCTTTTGCTCTCCCTCTCCCTCTCTCTAAAAGTAAATAAATAAAATCTTATTTAAAAACATCAATAATTGTTAGCTGAATAAATGATAAATTTAAAAAATGAGGAAAGGAGAATAATTGGGGTATTTCTGGCAAAAATGAGGTCAGATGCCAAAAATTTAAGATGGCTTCTTAGGATTTAATAAAAAAATGTTTTATCATACATAATCTATACTTTTATTAACAAATAGTCATTTTGCTAGAAATAGCAAAAAATTCACCAAGTAAACAAACTTTGAAACTTAGAGCCTAAAGTAAAAACCAACAAAGAATATTGTTATTAAACATTTTTCTGAATATGTAGAATAAATTTAATGAATCAATATACCTTATATAAATAAAATGGCTAAATTTTACAACTTCTTTTTTTCTGGGTAGAACAAATTTTGTTGCATACTTGCAGATACTGTTTCTCCTTAGTTTTAATTACTTTCTACATGGTGAAGGACTTCGTGCTACCAAGTAAAATATGTAAGAAAACTCAGGTCAGCAAGTATGAGCTGTTGGTGTGGGATAGACACACGTTCCTGGCAAAAAGCCTACCTAAATAGCAGTCCTGACTCTCTAGCCCTTTACTTGGCTGTATGTGCCTCCTCACCATATGACCTGGTTAGCACCTGTTTATAGTCTATCTCTTCCTCCTTAGTATACCACTAGAGGAGAGGAATTATTTTGTACTTTGTATCCTGTTGCACTTGTGCCTAGATCAGGGCCTGGCACATTAGGTACTCATTTAGAACGTGTTTTAAAGACATAAAAAAATAAAATTTGGACAACATACCCCAGAAAATTTTATTAAAATCTTCCAGTATTCTGAAAGTCCAAAAGTTTACAGGTAACTTTTTTAAAGATATTTATTGATTTTAGAGAGAAAGGAAGGGGGGGAGAGAGAGAGAGAGAGAGAAACATTGATTGGTTGCCTCCCATATGTGCCCCAACTGGGGACTGAACCTGCAACCTAGAGATGTGCCCTGACCAGGGGACCAATCCCCTGACCTTTTGGTGTACAGGATGATGCTCCAAACAACAGAGCCACAACCGCCAGGGCCACAGGTAATTTTTAAAAATGATCTTGTATAAAGCAATAACCACACTGATTATTATTAGTCTGAGGAGTTTACTCCCACATTTCTTTTGCACCTTATGTGTACTTTTGTAAGTACATATAATAATTATGGAATAACAAATTGATGTTTTTCTTTCTCGCTCCCATTCCTCTCTCTCTTGAAAATCAATTTTAAAAAATTAATAAAAAGTATAGAACTTGAGTAAGAATGTAAACTGGCACACTTGCACTCTCACTGACAGAAGTCACAGAACTAAACAACAGGCATGTTTATCGTGGGTTACCCGCAACAGTCATGTGGCTGACTTATATTCGGACTTCTGGTCCTTATCTCCTGGCAGACAGGTAGCAAGCTGGTCACGGAAACACACTTTGTGTTCTTAGTCCAGAACACTTATCAAAGTGATGATGGGAAAATAGCCATCCACCTGGAGTTCTACATCCAGCTAACTAATCTTTTAAGGCCAAACAGATTATTCAAAATTCTTCATAAAGTAACCACTAATACAGTAATATGAAAGTAACTGAACTGCAAAGGAAGCAATAGAGATAATATAGCAAAGCTGTACTAGACACCAACCTTATTTCAGAATCCACATCCTTGCTTAGGAATTTAGGTCTTTTATATTCAGATGAATAGTAACGTCCTGCAAATACTTGATCACCATCAGCAGTAAAAGCTTCTCTACAATTCTTGGGCGGCTTTTGGGACTGCATTACTGCACGAGCTACAGAATTATTCTAAAAACAACATAGGAAAAATACACTTTAAGTTGTGTCAAAGCATTTCTGATACACGCAATTTTAAAATTTTACCTGTCATTGTTTTAAGATTCAAGTATTTTTATTTAAACATTCAAGTAAAATAATTTCATAAAATTATATAAAAGAATTTAAAAAAAACGAGTCGAGATACAAAGAATTAAAACTATTGTTTAAAACAACACAGTAAATAATGCTTTATGATAAACTGATACATTTTATTTTTAAATAAATTTTATTGCCATCCATTTAAAATGAAAAATTATTTTAAGTAGCTTTTCACATGAAAATATTAACTTTAAACCAGTTCATACAAATCTTATTTTTTTCTAAAGGACTTTTACACCCTAGAAATGGTGCAACTGAATAGCAAATTCCAATAATGACTAAGATACTAAAATATGTTGGAAAAGCCTAGAAATATTTAAGCCCTGGAGGAAGTAAAGAGGGAAATTAGGTTTAACAGAGGTCTCATCAGCCTCTCAGCATAGACCTCTACAACAAAACTTCATTGTTTTCTTTCACACATCATTCTAAAATATGAGAGCGCCAAGCCCACAGATAATTACAATGTGAACTTGCAATACACACATGACGCCTACCAGTGCAATTACTTCTCAGTTACCATTAATGAGAAAAACAGACACTATTGTGTTTGTCTTGATTACAGATTCTGTTTTAAATTTCCTTATTCCTTCCCAGCAAATTTATGCGAATAGCTAAAACACAGCATGGGGACTGAATCCAACAAGTATATAAAAATGCACATACAGATAAAGAGTAAATATTGATTTTACATCACTTTAACTTTTAAGAAAATAGATTCTTAAAATATCAAGTCAAGTACTTGTTTAAAAAGTAGAATGATAATATTATTTATATCTGTAAGGGTAAATAAAAAATATATTTGGCAGGCAATCAAGAAAGAACCAACGAAAAATTTTTATAGCGTCATACATTAAAAAAACATATTGTTGAAATTATTTTTGAACAATAGCTACAAGTAATAAAGTTCCCTGGGGCAGAAAACATATAAACCACCAGCTCTACATTATTCTATAGATTTTCCTATGAGGTTAAAGTACAATGATGAAACATCGACAACTCCATGATATAGGAGACCAGGAATTTATATAACCTACTTGAGTTCTGAAAACTTTTAAGTAACATAAAATACAGCAAGCATCTGGTCTTACTTTGATTAGCAGTATTGTTTCTATGCTTCTCATGTCGATTAGGCTATTTGCAACAACTGCATTATCTATTTCTAAAGCTGTCAGAACCGTTGGGAAATCTGGATGATAAGCAGCTCTAGGAGACAAAAATATATAAGAATTAATACCAAATTTTAATTATATATATACAAACCTATATATTAACAAGTAAGTAGATGATAGATAATGATAAGGCAATGAAAAATATCTGATAACATTTGAAAATATTTGATTAGGTTAATTTTATTTATTTAGCAAACATTTCTATGATACATGATAGGCACTGTTATACAAATATTACATGCTCACCTAATCCCTACAGCAACCATGAGACAGATAGTAGTATTCTCTCCATTTTTTTTTTTTCATATGAGAAAGCTTCAGAGTTTAACAAATTCCCCAATGTCACAGAACTAGCCAAATGTTTGGGCTAAGATTTAAACCAGGCAGTTCAGCTCTAGAGCCCAGAGTCTTTTCCTTTTAAATTAGAGTTGGCATATGGTATTGTATTAGTCTCTGGTGTACACCACAGTGATTCAACACATATGGAGCCCAGATAAACATTATGCCCTGCTGTCTATTATAATAACTGCACCTTCCTTAAATCTTCTATGCTATCACACATATATATAAAAGTCAATTAATTAAAACGCATTTTAAAAAGCTAAACAATTTTCCTTCTGAGACAAGAAAAACTAAAGTACAGATTATTAGGAAGACAGAGGAAATGTGAGAAAATAGATATTCTTATGAATAGTAATTTGGGTTCCCTTAAGAGACATTTAATCTTTCAACTAAAATTTTAAACATCTGTGCTGTTAACAGCACTGAAGAATGGACATACCAAGAATAGTAGGTACAGGAGCAATGAATAACTAATGGGAAAATGGTCATGGTATTCTTAGTGCTTTCCTCGTCCTAGAGTTCTAAACAATGAAAGTACCCTTTTATATATAGGGTGGGGCAAAAGTAGTTTTACAGCTGTGAGTAGGCGAAACAGTTTCTTCTTGTATTATTTACTATTGTATTATTTTCCATACAAACAACTGTAAACTAAACCTACTTTCCCCCCACTCCATTCATTCATTAATTTGACATACATTTACTGAGCACCTACTATGTTCACAGGATGAGACAGGAATAAATAAAACACACGATATCCTTCTCACCATGGAGCTGGCATTATACTGAAGGGAGACAGAGAATAAAGAAAAAAGTGATTCAGTGCCTTTCCACACAAAAACCGTTGCAGGTGACACTGGGTAGACACCTGAGGAAATGAGAGCATCACACTGGCACCCTGAAGAGAATTCTGGGCCAGGTGAACAGCATTTGCAAGGGCCCTGACAGGTGTGATGGGGAAGCCAGGGGGCCAGGGCGCTCTGGTGGACAGAGCAGGCGGGGAGGGCTGCCGCAAGAGCAGGAGAGCTTCGCGAGGTCCCAGAGGTCGCGGCAAGGCCTAAGCAGGATGGGAATGTGCCTGGTGCTCTGAGCAGAGGAAGGACACGACCTGATGTCACTCTGGCTTCACTGCTGAGGGCGGGGGTGGCAGGGAAGCAGGCGCAGGAAAACGAGCCCACTGCATCACTCAAGTGAGGCTGGATACTGGCCTGAACCAGGGCGGTCCCCGCAGGAGCGTTTAGAGCTCTGTCTCCCCACCTCCATATATAGAGAGATATAAAACCCTATGTATATGTGTGTGTGTGTGTGCGCGCGCGTGCGTGCGCGCGCATGTGAGCATTTTTTGAAGTTAGGCCATTAGGATGTGGAGTGGCAGAGAGGAGTCAAAAATGACTGGGGCTTGGCTTAAAAAACTGGAAAATGAAGATGCAGAAGACACTAGGAAGAACAGGTTTTGGGAGAAATCAGGAGACTGGCTTTCACACATACGAAATTTGAATGTCTACAGGACATTCTCCCACTCCAGATGCAACTAACCTGTCGGGGTCACTGTTACCATGGCAATGCTGTCTGGTAGCAGAGCTGAAATACCACTTCTACAAGGTTTTAGAAACCAGGGATCAAACTAGAAATTACATTAAGGTCAAATTCTCATGGAGACACAGAAAACACTCTTAGCTCCCAATCCTTATTTCTAGTATAAAAGCTAAAAATCAACAATTCCAAAAGAGGACTTAACTACTTTTTGACAAGTCCATTTTTTTGTTTGGCCCATCTGTTGGGTAGTGACTCCAGCTGAAAACCTAGCAGTCATACTCAACTCTTCCTTCTCTTACATTCAAGGAGCAAGGGTTACTGGTTTTCTCCTAAATCACCTTTAATCTACTCCATACTATCTATAATGCCAGTGCCGTTTTTTGCAGAATAATTCATGATGTCATGCCTCTATGCATTTTGCACATAAAATTTTATTTGCCTAGAAGGCATTTAACAAACTCATTAGTTCGAGGACTAATCATTTTTCCTCTCTCCTCTGATTTCTTCCCTAACCTACTTACTAACATTTAATTACTCCCTCATCTCAATCACAACTACACCTTGTAATCCAATTTTATCACAGCTAACAGAGAATAAATTAGAAAACATGTACGTACTTAGAAGGAAAGTGGCGAGGCAGCCAGCAGCTACTGAAGAGGCCCGTTTAGGTACTGCGTGCCTTGAAAAAGGTTTGCTAGGTTCCTCAGAGACATTCACAGACAGCTCTTTACGGAACCTCTGAAGCACCATGAACCACGAGTGCCCAAGTTCTTCCTGAACACCCCCTTCTTCCTTTGGTTGGGTCTGCACCATTTCCCTCAGCAGCACAATTTCTGAGCCACACCACTTCTAGCTCACTCTACTGTCTCCCACAACAGCCCTCATGCAGGGACCTCGAGGGTGGGGAGCATCCTTCCTATCTATCTGAAATTAAAGGGGCCTGATACAGTTTTACAAATCAGCAGTGCAGACATGGTTAAAATAAAAATATTTTAATTCTTTGTAATCTGGCATGTGATTTAAGAAAACCAGAAACAGCGCTTAATTCCTGATGCCTTACCTGTGTCTTACATCATACATGTCATTCCGAAACTCAGAAACTATGATCTGTGGCCGCGAGGTCCCAGGTAAATAAAACTTTCTCATCAGTGCCTGCAGTACTCTTTCATCAGAATGATTATGGCAGCAATAGGCTTGCATAAGTCCCTTTAAGCAAGATTCAATAGCCAAAGCATGTTCGGGGTCCCGAAGATGAATGCAAGATCCTAAAAGTGAGAAAATTTTATTAAAAGGCTCATAAATACTTACTTTAAAATATTAACGTAACTGCCTTTCTATAATAGTTCATAATGATTTTACAGTAGTTTTATATACAGCAGCTTAAATGGTATTGCAAATCTTACTTTAACTGAATGGGAAATCCCACATATCCACTGACTTTACTAGGCAGAAAACCCACAACCCTGTAGAAAAACCTGTTCCACTCTAATGTAAATCAAGTGTTTTTTCTATGTAAGTTGGTAAGTATTCTAGCCTTTGAATGGTGTTTTGACAATCAATCAAAAGATTTATAGGTTATTATTTTTTTAGAAATGATTAAATATTGGAAATGTAGACTAACAGCAGGGAAAAAATGCCTCATTCATTGAGATGGATCCTAGCATAGAGGTACATATTTAAAGAGACATTGCTATAATACTTAATACAGTACATAATACTGTACTTATACAGTAACACAGTACTTTACTAACAAAACATGTTTATATTTATAGCACATTTTTATCTAATGATATATAGAATTAGAGATAACTCCTTAGAATTCAATGGAGTTTTTTAAATCTCATGTATATATGGAGATAATTAAATAACCCCAGACTTTACAGTTGGAAGAGGACTTAAAAACGATGTTGTCCATCCTTAGAAACTAAGAAAAAGTCATTTTATAAAGGTTACACAAACTCAGGTGGTGAGTGTGCTTTCAAATATATCTGATGTCACCGGATTTTCCTACTTACCAGTTACATTCAAGTTAGTTCATTTATTCATTCATTTAAGAAAAAAATCAGACTTCGATTATTCAACCCTATAGTTACTTTTTCTATTCCTAAGTTTTCTTTCTTTTAACTATTTTATGCTTTAAAATACAAGTTACAGTTTAAGTTGACTCATCACTAGTTCTTAAAATATGTACAATGAAAGTCCACAATAATTATATAGCTCTTTGATAAAAGTTTTAAAAACTAGACTCAAAAGACCCTCTCCTGAAAACAAAACTTATTTCTTATGTTTTTTATATCCTGACTCAATAGTGACAAATACCTAAGGGGCCTACAGGTTTATAGGTAAACTGCCCACGTCTGTAAGCATCATCTATTGCTTCAAGGAGAGCTGGCACGTGAGGGCCAAATCGCTTCAGTCGATCAGTTTTACTATCTCTCAGTTCTTTCAGTTGCCTCTGATTATAGATCAGTGTTTCCTTCACATCTGATTCTTCTTTCCTAAAGAATAAAAGTGGAAGAACAGAGCAGATATGTGATAGTTATACAGAAATATTCAGCCTTTTCCCTTAACACCTGTATGCCAGTGACTAAAAGCAGATGGTTTTATTTGAAAATAATTGTGTTACTAGAGAAAAATAGTCAGAAATCCTCAAAACTTAGCATGAAAAACAAGATGCATTAATGACTCAGACTATACATTCCAGAGGTTATCCAACTCTACAAGTGTAAGAAGTCTTGAAAAAGTGATTTTAAAAGATCCCTTAGGTAGAAGAAACACAAAAACAACAAAACCCCCCCCATGTTTTCTCTCTTCATATAAAAAGCAAAATTATATGATTTTCAAGTAATTGAAAAAATCATTTGAAGCATGTTGAAACTTACTTAATTCTAATATATTCCTCCTTATCCTTTTCTATGGCTTGCTGAAACTGTTCGATCTCTTGGCTGATGGAGTTTTCTTGATCCTGTAAGGCCTTTCCTCTCTCTTTTAACCAAGATATTTTTTTTTGCCTTTCCAAACGCTCAGGTTCCAAAGACTGGTCAGCACTAACAGTAAATAATCCAAAGTGGAGAATGTTAAATGAAAAATCTAACATTTCAAATACAAAAAGCAATGTGATAAAATTCCTTTAACAATAATACAGAAAATACAGTACTGCATGTCACCTAGAATACTTTGTTAGAAAATGAGGTAACAATAAAAACTGCAAAGTAACTATCTTACCTTTTTTTTAGTTCTTCAATTCTCTTGCAAAGCTGTTCATCATCTTTCTTTAATGCTTTATACTCACTTAGGGAACGGGTATATAAAACCTAACAGAAAATTTGACACACTTAAGTGAAATAAAAAAATAAATATCCCATCCAAGTCCACTTTGCCAAGTCTTCAAATCAGAGGCAAATATAAGCAGGAATATATATAATATACATACTATATATTATATATATATTATACACACACACACATATGTGTATATATACTTTAAGGAATATATTTTTAAAATAAAGTACATAAATGGCCAAATGCAACCACTGCATTTTTTAGTCTTGAAGGAGCACACATTTCTACACAATTACAAAACTTCTATTTAAAAAATGAACAAACAGTGTTTCTATTTGACATGCAGTTTTTAATATTCCAGGTTGGCCAACTGCTCTCACCTCAGCTTCATTATAGGCCATTTTCTTGGTTGTAAGGTCTTCTTTCAAAGCCATACATTCTGGGGCTCGTGCATTTGTCTCTTGACTAATCTTTTCCAATTTATCTTGAATATCCTTATATTTATTTTCTGCTTCATTAAGTCTAGCCTTTAAGAAAATAAAATTGTTGGTTATATTTTATTTTTCTTCAATAAAATGATAGATTTTTATGCATCAGTATGTTACATATATCAATTAGCCCACAAACACTTAAGTGCTAGAATTTTATTATGCAAAGTTGTTTTTACAACTTTGAGGGGAATAGGTAAAATTACTTGTCAGACATTCAAGCCTCTTAATCAAAGCTTCAGACAAAATACACGTTTTCAAAACAGAGCACCTTTGATATTTGGTAAGATTCACTGCAAACCTTAGAACGCCAGTCACAGAGGGGCTGTCTCTCTGTGGTTTAGCAAGGATCTTACTTTTTGAAAGTGACTGTGACTGCAGAAGAGAAAGTGAAGAAACAGCTGCCGGTAGTGATCGCTACTTGAGGTAGTTTTTAAAAACTGCCATTCCCCTCCCACTCCCCAGATTATGTGGAATTTCTTTTATCTTTGGAAAAAAGTTGAGAAGATAGTAAAAGAATTAGGAATTTAAAATTACAGGGAAAAATGTGTATGTGAAAAGCAAGAAATATTTTGTTCACTTTGCTATCAAGATATTCACTATCAGATATTTATTATACAGCAGCAATTTATATTTTTAATCATTGCCCATTAATAGATGGGCACAACCCAATAATAAGCTTAATTTCACTCTAAATAAACTCAAGACATCAGGCAAGTAAACACAATTATATAAAATACTAAAATGTAATTAAATTTTAATTCCACATTTCCAACAAATGAACTATCTTCTGGGGATACAAAGATGCTATAACAACTGTTTTCAAGTAACACAGAGAGAGAGACACACACACATACACACACAAAACTGTAGCAGAGAATAGGCATGCAAACTGATTCTATAGTTTGAATACGATAATGCTGAAGTCAGGTATGTTTATTTATAATTGTAGAAGCATAGAGAAAAAACCCATAGGTTTGCCAGAAAAAGAAAGGCATGCCTTCAAAGAAGGAGTTGCATTTGAGCTGAAGCTTGAAAGATTCATCAAAATGCACTGGGAGAAAAGTTGGGGAAATGTGATAGAGGCAGATGGAAAAGCATGCAGAAAGGGATTAATGCCCACTTTAAGAATTATGAATACTCTGGAGATTAAACTGAGAAGGTAGTGGTGAGAGATGAGGTACAAGGTACAAGGTACAAGGTCTTGACAGGGTACACATGTCTTAAATTCCACAATGATCAGCTAACAACTTAACCCTCTCAATACAGGGAGACAAGGTATAACCAAATCTGTACAATAAGTCTCTTTGGAAGCACATGGAAGACAAAGTAGAGGGAAAAATTAAAGGAAATGATTTCAGTAAGAAGTTAATATATATTCTGAGGCAAAAATAATTAGGGGCCAGAATGGGGAACTGACAATGGGAATGGATTAGAAGGGGCTAATACAAGAACAATTTAGGCCAGGGATCAGCAAACTTTTTTCTTGAGTAAGCCAGACAGTGTCTACCAGGGTTTGTGAGTCATATTGTCTCTGTCACAGCTATGCAATGAGACATGCTAAGTTTAAAGTGCAAAATGCATGTAAAGCTGTGAAAACATGTATCTGAATGAAATTTTGAGGATAAAGTTTTGAATAGAAGATATAGATTATGGAACTGTCAATAGACAGGATATTTAAACAAGTTTAAAGTCTGCTTTAGACACTACTCAGAAGCTGTCTATTCAATAATCATTCTATAATCAATAACGAAGCATATATTATGGGAAAGGTTTTATGTAAGACAGAGTAAGAAGGACATAAATATAAAATTAGATAGTGCTTACTGTCAAGAAATTAACCACTTACTACATACAGTGCTCAGCTAAAGTGGAACAGACACCGACAGATGTAAATATCACCCAACCTCAAGATTCTCCTTCCCACATTTAAAAAAAAAAAAAAAAAAAAAGGTAATAAGCCATCTATTGTTCAGACTGGACTCCATTTTTATACTGGTGAATAAAGAGGAAAGTAACTTAAGGCTTTTCCCTATGACAAGCTAACAAATGAGGCCGAGAAGAATAGTGACAATTTCAGAATATTCTCTCAGAAATGAAAACGAGAGGTGAGACGAGTGGCTGGGGTTGAACTTCCATTTACTACCTGAAGAGGGAGTAAGAAACTCAACCTAGAGATCACTAAGTAAACGGGCTACCTTTACCATTTGTTATTTTTACGTACTCATCTATCACCTTTGATGGATTAATGTCACAACCCTTGAAAGAAAAAGACATATTGGCTTAACTTAGAGGAATACAGAAAAAAAGCAGGTCAGGAAAGATTACATCCTATACTACACCCAAGCTTTGGGGGCAAATCCTAAGTAAAACAAAATACTCAGAGGTAAGTCAGATACACTGAGTACCGGGTGAGGGAGAAGAATGTTCTGTACAAAAAGAAAAAGCTGGGAGCCCGACCTCTGGTATGACGGTGTAAGGAACGCCACGGCTGGCTGCACACCCTTGTGAACATACTAAAAACCCACTGACGTGTAAATTTTGCATGGGTGAATTGTATGGTATATGAATTTTATCTCAATACAGCTGCATACAAACAAATGAAAAGGCGAGTATAAAGAATGGATCTGCTATATGGTGGAAAGGTCCACAATGGAAAATGACTGCCTTTATTTAACACTCAACCAACTTCTATCTCTAGGCCCAAGTGGAAGACTCCGGAATCTTAGATAAATGACATCCTTTCTACCTGGGCTCTTAGATCTCAAGCTGAAATTAACCCTATCAGATCTAACAACTTATCCTATAAGTGTTTTACCCATATGAAATCCTCTGACAGTTCTGGGCCCTAAAACTCCATTCTCTGCAAGTTCCATGTTCAGTTCTGAAGTCTTGTACTATATGGCACTTAACTTTAATGTTCTAATTGAATATTATCCCAGCACTCTTTTATTCCTCAACTCATGTTTCTATTCCTTAATGAACCCAAAAGTAAAAGCTTCAACTCTAGCATTTCTAGTCGGTAAAAAAAGTACCGCTGTCCACATGTACAAATTTAAGAATTCTTCTGCGTTAGTTTCCATAGGCTGATAACATTGAAATAGCATACTCTTTTTAAAAGAGAGTTCCACATTAGTCCTTGAACAAAAATTTAGGTTGGCTTCACCTGAGTAATAAAGTCAAACCAGATAAACATATAGGTTGAAAATGCTACTTTTGTAGGTCATAAATAGTCTAATATCAGCAATCTCATGATTCAACCTACTAAATCTGCAATAAAAAAACTATAATTACCTGCTGTTCTTCCAGTTTCCTTTGAAGTCTAGCAGCACGATCTTCTCCAATTTTGATATTATCTCTGATAGCATTCAATTGTTTTTCAATTTCATTGACCTAAAAAGAAATAATATAGCAAATCACTCTGCAACCCACATACTCTGTACAATACAAATATATGTGAATAAATAATTAAGTGAAAATTACCACTGCCCAAGCCATTTCATGTTTCAAATATTCTAAGTTAGTCTTCATTGTACTTAATTCAGCAATATTTTCAAAACGTTCTTCTTTCTCTAAACACTGGCGCTTCAGTTCAATAAGTCGCTTTAAAACAAAAAGGATATATTTCTTACTAACATGAAGACAAGGCTTTTTACAAATGTATTTCTTTTGAATACACTGCTTAAATACGTACTAAAAAAGATTTGGTAGGAAATGATTTCTTTAAGGTGAAACTAAAAATATTTTTGTTTCTTTGGTATATTTTATTAGGTGCAATAATTCTGTTAATTTCTACACTATAAAAACATTCAAATACTCATCGGATGAAGAACAACAAAGGAATAAAAAGGTTAAGACAACTCAAGTATAGACAAATCACAAGCATTTACTATTTCCTCTCTACTCCATACTTGATTCACAGACTGATATGTTCTTCTGGGCAAAATACACCCCATGCCCATTCCAAACATAGTGAAAGCTCAGAAGAAATTTATTTCCAAAACTCAAATAAGATATAGTTTTTCTTATCCAAGTTCTCTCTTAATGATTAATAAACAAAATCATCAAATATTAAATATGACATTAAAACAGCTTCTGAAGTGGCTCCCAGACTTTATACTCTGTACATGTGGGTAGACAGCCTCTGCCCTTCATCCATGCTTACACATTCAGTAGGATCTTACACTGTTCATCTACCTGTGTTTGCCCATCCAAGTCACTTTTCATTCTCCAGGATTATTTCATTCTATCATTACTCTCTTCAAACCTCATACACCCACCACACTAATCCCTCATGCATTCCCCCTGCCTCCTACTTCTGAAAATTTAATAGCCATTAGAACGACATGTCCTCCAGCTCCCAATTACCTCATCTATAAATCTAACGCAGTCATCTCCTGCTGCTGCTGCTGCAGCTGCGACAAAAAAGGTGGCTTCGTTATCCTTGAGTCTGGTCCCCATCGCCTTCCTAACCTTTGGATTCTGTCATCCCCTTCTGCCTTCTCAGATCGCCGTTTGTTGAACTGTCATCGCATCTTTCCATCTTCCACTTCATCCTCTTCACTAACCCCCTCCCTTTATCATATTTAAATCTTTCCTTGTCTTTCCCACTTACAAACAAAACCACCGCTTATCCACCCCTGGGCACCATCTCCCCCTCTAAAGGACTCCTCCTTCAATCCATGTTTCATGAAAATTCTCTCTCTCTGCCATTTACTCACATTTTTAGCCCCACGAATCTGGCTTCTGTTTTCACCACTACTGAAACCTGTCTTGCCACGGACATCTAAGGAGATTATGTCACTAAACGCAGGGGCCTACTCGTCAATCCTTGTGGTGTCTGCCCACTCGGTACAGTCGTAACTACTTCCTTCTCAAGTTCTTCCTTCTCTTGGCTTCTATGACTTCCACAGCATTTCTAAGCTCATCCCTGCCCTGGGCCCACTTTCTTCAGTTCCTCAGTCTCAGGCATTATCTGCGGCTTGGATACCAACAACGTACCAATGACCCCCAACTGTTACTGAGGCCAGACTTGACTCTTGTGTGCCCAACTCATACACCCAACTTCCCACTTCACATTTCTATTTGGACGCTTTATAAGCATTCCAAAATTAATTTGTTCAAAATGGAATTCATCTTTCTCAAAAGAAAAAAGAACAACGAAACACTGGTTCTTCCCCCCAAGCTTCCCATCTTAAGAAACTTACTCTACTGCTCGGGTCACTAATGCAGATGTCATTCTGCCACCCTTGATGTCTCTTCTGACTCAGCTTTACTCCTTGTACTACATGACGTCTGCCCAAATCATTTCAAAACCCTTCTCTCATTGCTGTTGCCACTATCCTACTTTACATCATCATCATTTTAGACAAACACCTTCTTTATTGATCTCTCCACATTTACTCTTTCAGTACAGCAATATAGGGCATTTAATTAACTAGAAAAAGAAGTTCTTATGATGTGCATACTCTGTATAAGGAACTCAGCTACATAATATAGGGAAGTACTTCTTAAACTTCAAAATCAAAATATCTTAGATTGCTGATGACAAAGTATACCATGAAGAAAGTGGGTATTTAACCCCAGGCTGTCTAAAGCAAAGTTTTTCAAAGTCCTGATTTATTATTTTTAAAATAATAAATGTAACATAGATCAAGGACACGCAAATATTTCCTTTCCCTAATGTTGGGTTAGCCAAAAAGTTCATTTGGTTTTTTCCTTAAGATGACTCTAGTAGCACTTAGTTGGCTTTAACTTCATTTGAAACGATTTTGTTAGACTGTATTGTGACAGCTGTCATATCAGAGTACGTTTTTAAAAAACTTATCAAAATTGGTGAATTTTTGGGTAGTCATTTTAATATTGAAAATGGAAGAAAATAAGCAACATTTTCAGCATATTGCACTTTATTATTTCAAGAAAGGCAAAAATGCAACTGAAACATTAAAAGAGATTTGTGCAGTGTATGGAGAAGGTGCCGTGACTAATCAAACATGTCAAAAGTGGCTTGCAAAGTTTCATGCTGGAGATTTCTCCCTGGACCGTGCTCCAGAGTCAGACAGATCAGTTGAAGTTGACAGCGATCAAATCAAGACGTTAACTGATCTCAATCAATGTTACACCATGCAGGGGACAGCCGACACACTCAAAATATCCAAATCAGTAATTATTGGTGAAAATGAAAAATGTGTCTTTCATTTTATAGAAAAAACCATAAGGACTTTTTGGCCAACCCAATAACAACACTGAAACTCCAGAAAAGTGTGCTCTGTATTAGTCTTGTGGTCCATAGTACCTCCTTGCCCACTACCAAATATTCCAAGTTTGAAGGACTGATGTGGGAAGTAAAAATAAATATGCTCATCCTTGCTTTTTGAGTTTTCACTTAATGAACCATACAACTATAGACTTAATTTTAACATACATTCCTCAAAAACTTGGAAGTAAAATCTTGAAATCAATGTAACAACCAATAAATTTGACCTGAGTCAATCATTAATATAATTCTGTCTTGAAACAACAAGCCAAGAAGTTGCTAAAAGCTCAACTGATTGTATAAAATCGACTAAATGACAAAAGAACAAGATAGAGAATCACACAAAAATTGGTGAGATTTAATTTCCTGGATGAACAGCTAAAACAGAAACCTTACGACTTTTAAGATTTCTGATTATCTAACAGAAGGCTGGATATTCAGGAATATGAAGAAGGTGTAAGAACAAAAAAATATCACAGATGTAAAAACAAACTTAAGTAAGTCCCATTGGCTTCAGTGGCTTCTGAAGTCAAGCAAATTTGCACAGCTGCCAAGCTAGGAGTGCTGATGTGACAGCTGCTACCAGCCTGTCAGAGCTTAATAAATGTTATCACTGTATTTGTGTAACTAAAGAGTCACCTACCATATACAACTATGAATGCATAGTATGTTTAATATCAGCTTGAAGCCTTGCTTATTTTCCCATCAAAAGAAATATTACAGATTTTAAGCTACTTATACTGGGAATTAGTGATATCTTATTGTAGAACCAATCAGTCATATATCAAGAGGTAAATATGTGAGATATTGCCCTGTCCTTTAATTTATAGTCTAATAGAGGAAAACGTGTACATACACATTATTACAAAACAAAAAGTAAAAGTTAATACTCTGAATATAAAAACCATACTTCATATACTTCATAGTGTTTTAAAATGTTATTACTTTTATATAGATGGATATCTATATATAGATCTATAATTTTACAATACCATTTATAAAACCTTACAGAAATTTGATCTCAAAAATAACTGCATTAAGTGTTTACAAACCTCTTCTCCTTGACTTATCTGTTCCTTTGTTCGTTCTTTTGTTTCCATAATGTATGAATAATCTTCTTTCATCTGTTCCAGCTGGGTTGCTTTCATGAAAAACTACATCAACAAAGAAAACACAATTAAGAGTTTGTAAACTTCTGTGGAACTATAAAAAAAACACTTTTAGACCAATTATGTAAATAAGACATGAAAAACATACTTAAGCAAATACACATAAGCACAAAAAAAAATGTCTATTTTAGGCTCTATGTTTACTTAACCTATATGTTCATGACCACATGTTCATTTGCAATAGCTGTGTTTTAAAAAAATCCTCACCCAAGGACATTTTTTTCATTGCTTTTTTTTTTTCTTTTTTAGAGAGAGGGGAAGAGATGGAGAGAAATATCAATGTGTGAGAGAAACATCAATTTGTTGCCTCTCACACTCCCGAAACCGGGGACCTACCCCGGAACCCAGGCATGTGCCCTGACTGGGAATAGAACCGGAGACCTTTTGGTTCACAGGCCAGCATTCAATCAATTAAGGCACATCAGCCAGGGCTTTTCTTTCTTTCTTTTTTCTTTTTGTTTTTTTTAAGAAAGTGAGGAAGGATGAAAGAGAAACACTGATGTGAGAGAGAAACATCAACTGGCTGTCTCCTGTACATGTCCAGATGGGGGAATGAACCTGCAACTTATGTATGTGCCCTGACAGGGAATCAAACCCATGACCCTTTGTTCATGGGACTACACTCCAACCAACTGAGCCACATCAGCCAGGGCTCATTTGCAAAAGCTCTTAAAAGCCCATGAAAAGAAAACACTTTGCTGTGATAGTAATACCATTGTGAGAGCTTATTTTCACTAATTCTCCCATTCTTAGGCAATTATGGAAACAGAGAAAACATTTGTATGTTTGACCTTAGTGCATTATAAATTTTAAGAAAAGGAAATACTTAAACCTACTCAAAAGTCACACTGTAAGTTTTAGTAGTAGTCACAATTTTGTTAGCTTTTTAAGTTTTAAATAATTTAAGGTATAAAAGTTATTGTGTATGAGTGGCCAATTATTCCCTTGCATTTCCTTAAGATTAATTTGAGAAAATAACTCTTTTCTCCCTTAGAATTAAAAGCCAAAAAGTGGATGCAAGGATTTACCAAAAAATTAACATCTTTGGTAATGTTAATTTACCATCTTACTTAACAATTTCCTAAATTAGTCCTACAATATTATGTTAAAAGGTGGCTTAATAAAAAACACTTCAATATTTATTGTATGAATGAAAATGATGGCCAGAATATATGCTTAGCCTATGAATGTGCTCTTTCAATAAGTTACATTTACTTGGTGCTCCTTACTTTGTATTTGTCTCCCTCATTTTTAGACTGTAAAAACTGCTTGCTCATCTCTTGTGTTAAAACAGAAACTGGATTATCCACCTGAAACAAACAAAAAAAGGTTATTTTTGAATAAGTCGCTTTACTGTCTTAAAGATAACTGAACTGAAATATACAATACAACTGACCTATGGTCCCATCAAGCAGGCTAAGTAGTAGCCAACGGTTAGAGCATTAGGATAAATATACAAAGAAAAATGTTAAAATGCAGAGAAAATGTTTTAGTATTTCATGATACTATAGTCAAAATTAAATATTCTGCTATTACATGAGGGCACAAGCACAAGAATTCTCTGAACAGTGTTTTTATTAGAAAGTGTTCATTTCTTTCGTCTGTTTTACAGAATATCACTGCTAGCTACTGGTGAACCATTGGACCAGAGTGGGAACAGCTGCAGCTTGGGAGCCAGCTGACCTGAGGTCCATTTAGGCCCTGTACCTTCCTATGTAGCCTTGCCCAAGGGAGTTAATTTCTCCAAAAACAAAAAGTCCCATTCAGATTCTTTTTAATCAGAATCATGACAAGTATTATTTATTTTTCTTACAACAGCTTTTTCAGATTTCCCATTTATTGTTATTTCTCCATAAAGAAATCGTGAAAGAAATGGAAATACTGGAGTCATTTCTATCTTTTGGAGGGGGAGTTATTTTAAATAAGTCATTGCTTGCATTAAACCACCTTTGGCCGCTCAGTTAAGGTAAGAGTAGAGTAATATTTCAAAGTAAAGTTGAAAAAAGCTTTATAAAAAATATTACTTGTTTCAAAAAGATTCAGGATCTTGTATCTTTGGTGTTAGTAACAAAGCAATTGGTATGTTAGAAAATAATCCTGTTTCTAAATTATAGAATATGTAAGGCCAGTTTAAAGGAAAAAAATAAAAGTTTTAAAGTCCTTCATTTTACCATCTGTAAAATACTGACTGTACTTTGTTAGTATATCAATGGCTAAAACCTTCCTTTTAGGTAACAAGTGGGGTCTTGTAAAATAATTTTTAAAACATTCTATGCAGTTATAAAGACACTTCCACATATCACATTTTTCTTATAGGTAGGCCAGACTGACTGCTTCATTTTTTTTACAAGGTCTGCTCTGTATCTTAATTTCACACTGCATCTGACTTCTTCAAAGTAAGACCTGAGGCACCAGCATTAATGACAGACATCTTACCACCAACTTTGGATTAAGAGCTTCCTCAAAGTTTGTATTCTTTTCTCCACATCCTTTTCACTGTTTCTGAAATGGGGTTCCTAGTTCCTACACTACTCGAGGAATTACTTAAGAATCTTGCAGTTTTACCTTTGAGACCCTAGAGCAAGCACAGATGGGTAATCTTAAGAGAAAATGCAAGGGGAGGCACAGGGGACAAATACAATCAGATACCTAAACACAGTAAATACTCTCCTCCCTCCTGGCTATTCTAGACCAGCACTGTCCAGTGGAAATATGACACAGACAACACATATAATTTAAAAATGTGTAGTATCTACATTGAAAATATAAAAGGAAACAGGCAAACTAATTTTAATATTTTTAATCTCATATAACTAAATTTATCATTTTAACATGTAATCAATATAAAAATTGAGTTATTCCCTTGCTTTAGGTTTCAAGATCCGCTGTGTATTTCACACCACACGTCTCAATCTGGAGCACCCACATTTCAAGTGCTCGATCCGCACAGGGCTAGTGGCTGCTGGAACAGTAAGTACAGCTCTAGACTTTCTGTATTTTGATCAATGAACTGGAACCTTTAGAATAATATGAGAAGAGGACTAAAAGACTTATAACAATCTTCAAATATTTCAAAAGAGAATAAACATGTTTTACCTTCCCACAGAAAGTGGGAGCTTAGAGAAACAAGCTTTATTCAACTTTTCACATAATAAGAGCTTTCTAATAAGCAAAGCTGTCCACAGAAGGAATCAGAAGCCTCAGGCAGAGAAGATTTCCCCACCAGGTAAGGACAGAGTATGGTAACTGTACTGGATGCACTTCAAGATTCTCCCAACACCCATGACTTTATAAGCTCTTAACTTCTGGTTTTCCCGATTTTGTTTGACAAATTGTTCATATTCCAATCTCAAATTTATTTGCATCTGCTTTTATCCAGATTTTAATAATTATTTTTCTAAACCTGTGTTGCCTGGTACACAGGCTGCTAGCCATGTGTGGCTTTTTACATTTAAATTAAGTAAAATTAAATAAAATAAAAAATTTAATTTCTCAGTCATACACTTCAGGTGCTCAAGAGCCACACATGGCTAGTGTCTACCCCACCAGATGGCCTAATACAGAATATTTCTACCATCACAGAAAGTTTTCCGGACAGCTTTATTCTAAAGCACACTGGGAAAGAGACCCAGACTTGTAATTGTTCTTTTTCCTTGGTGACTAGTCTCGGTGCGCTTACCCCTGGAGTAAGGCAGGGTGGCACCATGGACAGAGCATTAGAATGCACAGGGAGGCCTGGATCCCAGCCCAGGCACTACCAGTAACCATGCCTAGACGACTGCAAGGGCACCCTTTACTTTTTCCAGCTCCCAATTTCTCACCTACAACATAAAGGGCCTGGATTAGGTGACCTGCAAAGATAATTCCAGTGTTAATGTTGTAGGACTGTATGTGCCCTATTTCCAATTATTCAATCAAAATGTCTTAGCAGAAAGGACTCAGGTCTTGTCTTCTATAGGTATGATCAATATCTCCAAAATACATAAAGAAATGCTTTATCTTTCTGGAATAGATTTCCTTTCTGTGAGAATTTAGCAACTGAGCTCAAGAAACTATGATGCTATTCTGACCAGTAGAGCAGAAAGCAAAGGAACATTCAGACTTTATGAACATAAATTTAGCACACACCACTACAGACTAGATGCTCTCGACTGCTCTACTGAATTAAAGGTGTCATAGTACCATGTATTGATAATTCCTGTTGAATGACCAAATTTTAAGGAGCTTCACTAACAATCGTTTTACATATTCTTCCTGGAGTCAACTTTAGTTCTTTCTACACCACAAATGAAATTTTAAAAAAGTAACCAGGTACATTAATTAATCTGAAACAAATTTAACAATTACCTGTATGTTAAAATGATCAAGAATTGCAATCAACTCTTCCTTCTTCGCAGAAACCACAGTACCTAGTTATGAGAAAGAAAAAATGACCAGACTGCTTCTAGTGCAATAATATAAAACAACAACAACAACAACAAAACCATGCAATTATTTGTAACTATAAAGAAGAATTACTTTTCACTGCCACCCAGAGGTGCCATTGAGCACACATAAGCCGGAATGAACTGGGGTGACACACTAGTCAGGACAAGCTCACACAGGAGGAAGAAGCCCAGGCGCAGTGACTGTGCTTCTCCCCACAGCTAAACATTTTCTGTTCCTTCTCATCCATCTCTTCAGTCACTCTGAACACGCACCTCCTCTTCCTTTGTGTCCTTTCCCACCTGTTGCTAACCATTTCTTTCCACATGTGATAGAAACTATGGGGGCGAAAGCAGGTCTGCAGATGAGAACCAAGTAGCACAGCCTGTTTCAAAAAAACCCAAATGCAGCTCACCGTGGTTCTGCTGGTACAACCACGTGTATATGTATATGTAAATATACATGTATGTATGCATCTATGCAACCAATGAAGATGCTATAAGAAGGCGGTCTCAAGAGATAAGCAGTGCCCTTTCAATGAATACTAGCACAATAACTTAACTATTTTGAACTAGATATTTAGTAATATTTTACATGAAATGGAAAGAAAATAAAAACACATAACCAACCTGTGTGACTTTTTAGTTTGTAAGATCGACTTCCATCCATGCTAATGTGCTGTTGCACAACTATGGAGTCACCGTACACATTTGCTCTATAAGCATCATCTCCTCTGTTCCTTAATGTTATTGAGATATCTGCTGAACTAAAGTGATACGGTTAAGTGACATGAAGGCACAGTGCAATCCCAATTACACATTACTATAATGTTGCAAACTTCCAAGAATTTGGCTCATTCATTTGAAAAGCCACTGTACACTGGAGGTTGATGGTGGACAGTCTACTACAGAATATGAAAGACATTACACCTAACAAAAAATTAAAATTGAGAATAAGGGAAGACTTAAAAAAAAAAAAAAGACTACTCTACCAATAATAGAAACACATTTGTTAAATAATCAGAGCACACATTCTTCAGATAATGAGAGAGAGACAAACACTCCCCGACACCCTTGTCATGGGCGAGGTGGCCCAGTGGAGTAGAGCTTGGCCTGAAGGAAGGGAGAGGGACACCAGATGCCTAGAGACAAAGACACACAGGGAAAACCAAGGACAGAAGACACTGGCTCTGAGGTTTCTCTTTCTGGTCACCTGTGACACACAATTGTACTTCCTCCTGGAAGCTTCCAAGATATATACCCCTGCATCTTTACAATAAATCTCCCTTTCAAAAGCTACTCTGAGTATATTAGTGTACATGTTTTCTTTAATTCAGAAATACCTAATGAAGACAGATATGCTCCTGCCAAGCTGTAATTAACAGCATGTTTACAAGCTCCCCGAGTTGATTCTAATGAAGACTCAAGGTTGAAAACCATTAACTAAAGTATAATGGGGGAAGGGCAGTTGACCTACAATATGGAGCAAAAAAATATTTATTTCATTAACTAGTATGATTACCTGCTATTAAAAGAATGTACCTCATGAAAACATTTTAAAATAAAGTGACCACATATGTTCTCCGAATTATCAATCATCTCTCTTGATTAGTTAACGTCCACTTTATTAGTTTCATTCCTAGCTACAGCTTGCATTTTAAAGCTACCTTTAGTATTGTGAGAATTTTTTTATAATAAATATAGGAAAGTCGAGTTATTAAAAAATTAAGGCTTAAGAAAAAAGCCTCATAGTGACAAAAACAAAAACAAAAAAAATCTGTATAAGGAGAAAGAGACAACTGAGCTGGGTACTAACTGCTACCTCCTAACCATAATGATGTGGCTGATGCTGAATCTGGGTCAAGGGCCATAGAACCCAGTGTCTGTAAATACAGGAGATGCTTAAGAGAAAAGAGAGACAACTGTCAATGAGAGCTCTTTCAGAATGACAACGCAAACAAGCAGTGCCACTGTAAGAAGGTGGCTTCTTTCTCTGCACAAAGGTACCTGGCAGCACACACCGATGGCATGTAGTAGGGAAAAAGCCATGTAAAAGCCGGATGCATCTGTCCCTTCTCTAGGTAGCCAGCTCCTCCGCAGTGAGTTATGTCACCTTGGGTTTCTGTCCCCCCATAACTCACTCCCAATGTCTCAGCTGATGGCAAAACAAGACTGGTGCAAAGACCCCAGCACCACTGGCGCTGGATCCGGAAGGCTGAGGGCGGAAACGGTGCAGGAGACCCGGGGGTCACTGTGAGAGGTTTCCGTGGGAGGAGATGGATTAGAAGAGCGTGGATTCACTGTCCCCATATCCCTGAAAAGGGGCTGGTGGGTGATCAGAGGGCTGAGTCCTAGGTTAAGTGTCTTCAGGAGCAGTTCTCCGGTGTCCCCTAACCATGCTGGGCAAGCATCTCTAAGACAGCCCAAGGCCCAGGTGTCACAGATGGAGGGTGTCATGTTTGACACAGGGGAAGCTGAGTCCCAAGGCCATCTCACACCTGTCCAAGACTGACAGGCATTTCTCAGGCACAGTGGGAGAGCCACAGAGATTTCAGACACAGAGCAGACTACAAACAGGACCGAAAAACTCAGTGAGTTGATTCTGTAAAAACCTAATTGACAGAATCAGACACTATAAAGGAAGGGGAATTTTACAGGTACCAAATGTTTCAAATGAGGAAGGAATGAAAGGAATAGTAATGAGTCTGGAAAAGCTGTTTATAGCTACTTTTTCAGACAAGGTCAGTAAAAAGGAGACCGAGCTCACATTAAAGCTTTTAACTGTTATTAACTCTGTTTAAAATATATTGATGTTCCTGTCTACAGGCAGCTGTGTTTTCAAAAGCTGATGATTTGTGTGAGCTAGCCCTTTTCTTTCTTCCTTGCAATGGTATTCCAAGGGCAAGTCTCAGAGAAAGTTTCTGCTTTGGTCTAGGTAGTTTACAAAGGGGAAAAAATAATTTAATTGAGTCATAAAGTATTTGATGATATAAAAAAAAATTTCTTCCTGAAGCTTCTATTTGAAAGAGCAACATGTTACCTGGCTAGGTAGATGAAGTGATTGGACAACTAAAAAATGTAAGATTAAATATAATAAATTAAAACTGAGTCAGGACAATTAACTTAAAAGTGTTAAAATAACTAATTTTTTACTACAGACATAATTCTGTTTGGGGGCTGTCGGGGAGAAGACCTTCCTGGGCTGAGGCCCAAATAAGAAAAGCAGAGACAAAAAAATATGCTAGAGAATTCTTACCAAACAGTTCTTTCCCAAGGCCACACAGCATGGGAAATGATTTTCTGTGTTATCTTTTCCCTGCTTCTCCTGAGTCAACTTGCAACCCTGGCTCAGGGTTAAGATTCTTAAGGTTTCTGAGAGATACACGAAAAACCTGCAATCATGACTCACACCCCTCCTTTTCTATTTTTTAGCAATAAAATGGAAGATAAATGAATACGGCACTGAGCAGAGGAAAATCTGTTGTATGAGAAAAAAAGACGCCACTGCTAACCATCCCAGTTCCGGATGTTCTGGGCACTGGGCTCGAGGTGGGAAGGAGCGGTGGAAGCGGTCTCACTGGTCTCACTCGGAGCTGCAAGAGTCTGGGGCATCTCGTTGCCAGGAGAACTAAGGTCCCTGTGGAGCTATCTGGGGCGGTATTAAAAAATAAAGACCTCCTCTTGAAGAGAGCTCCTAATAGGCAAAGGGCACAAGTGTCTGATGATGTAAACCAGGCAGTTACGTGAAGGCAAGCTATAATGCAAAGAGATATAAACTTGAAGCCAAAATGGGTAGTTATATTGGGTTGGCCGAAAAGTTCATTTGGCTTTTTTCATAAGATGATTCTAGTAGCTCTTAGTTGGCTTTTACTTTATTCAAAACAATTTTGTTAGATTGTATTTTGACTGTTGTCATATCAGCATGCATTAAAAAAACTTAACAAAATCGGTGAATTTTTGTGTAGCCATTTTTACTATTGAAGATGGAAAAAATATGCAACATTTTTAGCATATCATATTTTATTATTTCAAGAAAGGTAAAAGTGCCACTGAAATGCAAAAAAAGATCTGTGCACTGTATGGAGAAGGTACTGTGACTGATTGAATGTGTCAAAAGTGGTTTGTGAAGTATTGTGTTGGGGATTTCTCCCTGGATGATGCTCCACGGTCGTACAGACCAATTGAAGTTGATAGCGACCAAACTGAGACATTAGCTGAGAACAATCAACATTGCACCATGCAGGAGAGGGCCGACATACTCAAAATATCAATAAAGTTACTGGTGAAAATGAAAAACGTGTCCTTTATTTTATGAAAAAATCCATACAGACTTTTTGGCCAACCCGATAGGACCATTCACCAAGGGTCTAAATGGACCAAAATAAACTTGTGACTGTGATCCTCAAATCAAACTCACTGGCGAACCACCTAGGTAAAGGGTGCATTGTAAAATCACAGACAGAGAGTGGAATGCTCTTGGGATTTTTAAAGAGATGGAGGCAGAAATTTTGTGCAGGGACACCTTGGCTGGTCACAGGCTCTGCCTTTGCCTGTGTTGTACCAACGTGGACTTGCCAAGGCTGGGTTCGGAACAAGGGTCGGGAAAGTCTAATGTTTGTAATTATTGCTTTAAACACGAGCACACAGATTTATCACTGCTGGTTCTTCTAGAAAGGTAACAGAAACAAAACTGTAGGTGGGCAGGCACACAGCAATAACCTGTACAAGCTTTCTGTCTGCAGAGAACAGGCGGCAGTGGCCAGGCTGGGATCAGGGACAGGGGACAGGGATGAAAAGATAGGATCCCTCTGCTTCAGTTCCAGGAAGTCCATTCATTTCCATAATGTCTATGTGAAGTGGGAATCTAAAGTAGCTGCTTCTTACAGAAAAACTGAAAAATACATGTAGAAAGTAAACACTTACTTCTGTCCATCTTTCACAAAACCTTTTAACGAAGATCCTCTATTAGTAGCGACTGCTTTTCCACCAAGACCAACTATGAGAGCTGTGAGTACTGCACTCTTCCCACCTAAAGAAACAGGAGTTGAAGAAGACAGTCATTAGAGAGAGAGAAAAGGATTTGTTGTAGATATTTTTTTAATGGCATTTTTCTTTTCTTTCTTTTTTTAGAAGATTTTTAATATATTTATTTTTATAGACAGGAAGGAGAGAGGGAGAGAAACATCAATGTGCATTGATAGGTTGCCTCTCACAGGCCCCCAACTGGGGACCTGGCCCATAAACCAGGCATGTGCCCTGACTGGGAATTGAACCAGTGACCTCTGAGTTTGCAGGCTAGCACTCAATCCCCTGAGCAATACCGGCCAGGGCTGATCTAAATATTTTCAGAATGAAAATGTGAATTGGCCTAATCCTCTAAGTGTTATACTTCAATTATAATTTCCTTCCAGTGCCAAAGCAGCAAACTTAAAAAAAAAAAAAAAAAAGTTGTATATACAATATTTAGCTAATGTTATTAGGAAAAAAATAGTATATTTCAGGCATTAAATTTTGGCCACTAACAAGGAAATGGAAAGAAATGGCTCATACCTTTCCAACCTAAAAATCCCATTGTATCTTGGCTCATCAGCCTATTAAGTGAACTAACTATACATACATAATTAACTCAAGTAATTTTTATTACATTCTAATTTAATTACAATTTATTTTTTCCATAAATTCTTAGAAATCAGAAACTATTTTTAACAACACTTGAATTCAAGTTCCACAGGGACACAAATGTTGTCTACTTTATTCAATGCTGTATCTACAACATTTGCCCATAACAGGCACCCGCAAATGTTTTATGTAATATTTGAACAACTATTACTACTAATTTGAATATTATTCATTTGTTAGTTCTTTGAAAGTGTACTTCTTTTTACCCAGCAGACATACCATTTTATGAACTTCACGATCAACCAATTTAATCAACTCTCATCAGCCCACCATATTGCACAATGTAGTCCAAGTTAACCAAAGTACACCACTGCTTAAACTATTTAGTTTCTGAAATGCCTTTCAACTCCCTATTCTCTCTTCTTTTCCTCCACTTCCAAATTCACTGCCTCCAGTACTTGCACTTTTCTTCTGGCATTCTTTCACCTAGTTTAATGATAAAATTAGTTTTGAAAGTTTAAACTAATAAAGCACCTAACTGCAGGACCCACTGGTCTTTCCTCACTTAGTGTCCCACGTGACACCCCTGTAGCACCGATCCCTCTGTCCATTCTCTTCTTTTGAAAACACTTTCCTCTTGACTGAATACAGAGTAGGGAAAGCAAAGAGCCAACCAGACTGTGGAACTACACGTACCTTGTTTCATGTCCTAGCTGTGGTACCAGCCGTAGCCTCTGATAAACTTCCTCTCCCAGTGTACTGGCTCAGTCAGGCGGGTGACACGTCCTGCCCAGCTGGTCTATCCCAAAAGCTACCTTCCTGGTCTTCCTAACTCCTGTGTCTCCCCCCTTCTAATCTGTTCTTCACAAATGTGGCCAGTTTGTTTTACAAATCTCGATCATGCCATCATCACTTTACTCAAAAATTTTATTTGCTTCCCCACTGACTTCTGAATAAAACTTCAAAATCTCTATCACAGCACTCAAAATCCTCAACAGTACCCTGGCTCGTGCGGCTCAGTGGATTGAGCCATTGGCCTATGAACCGAAAAGTCACCCGTTTGATTCCCGGTCAGGGCACATGCCTGGTTGTGGGCCAGGTCCCCAGTTGGGGGTGCACAAGAGGCAACCAGTCGATGTTTCTCTTACATATCGGCATTTCTCTCCTTTACTTTCTCCCTCCATCCCCCTCTCTAAAAATAAATAAATAAAATTGTAAAACAAAAACAAGATCCTCAGCAGAATCCCCTACGATATGACGTTCCAGTGTCAGCTTTTGTCCCTTCCTACCATGTATAATGTAATAAAGCCACACAAGGTTGCTCACTTCTCTCCACATACATCTACTCCTACCCCTCTGAACCTTCACTGATGAGCGATCTCTGCCTGGAACATCTCAGCTTATTCTTCCCCAGTGAGACCTAGTACCCGCACAAATATCTCCTTTGGTAACAAGAGTGAAAATAGTTTCTTTCATGTTGGATGCCCATGGCACTTTACTTATGCTCTGTTACAACATTTAATAGGTGTAGACACAGGGCTGCTCAATTACAGTAAGAGCAGCTTGTCCACTCTTCTATGGTGTGAATTCCCAGGGAAGTAGATTCAAAAGAACAAGCAGGAAATGTTTATCTCTCCTGCATAAATAATAAATCTAGAGTTAACTCGTTATTTTCTTCACGTGTAAAATGGCAGCAAATACTGAAAATATTCATGACCGCGTAACAGATCTAAAGCTTAGATTTTCAGCACTAATGGTCACCTATTTGAAAAAATTAATGCATTCTAATCTTAACCCAGTTCTCAGAATCAAGTATGAAGGAAAGCAAAAGTACTTACTTCCATTGTTGCCAACTATGAAGTTGACATTAGAGCCAAATTTAAAGGGTCCAAGCATTGAATGACACATGAAGTTTCTTAGCTGAATACTCTCAATTATTCCGACTTCGGCTGCAGTCTATTAACCAAAAACAATGGGAGAAGACAATCAATCTGTCTAATTCAGTCGCAATAATCATCGAAACGTTTGCTGGCAGGAGAAAGACCAGCAGTATTAATTACCAAAGAAAAAAGTTACAGAAAGTGAATAAAGTTAACTTCAAACAAGTAAAACAAAATTAAATGGGCATCTTTTATAAGTAATTACTCATCCTAAAGTTATTAAAGAATCTAAGAAGTATATCACAAAGTTTCTTAATATAAATACTACTAATAGAATTTCTGAGTTAGATAATTTTTTGTTGGAGTGGATATATTGTTTTATAGTCCCTCCAGCAATATATGAATGATCCAGTTTCTCTGCATCCTTGTCGGTAGTTGGTGTTGTCATTGCTTCCTGCTTCCCCGCCCCAATTTTAGCCAATCTAATGGGTGTCTAGTGATACCTCATTGTGGTCTTACTTTGTATTTACTGGATGACAAATGTTGAACATCATGTCATATGCTCATCTGCCATCTATATATCCTGCTCTTCAGTGAAACGTCTCTTCATGTGTTCCCATTCTCAAACTGAATTATTTGCTTTTCACTGTTGAATTTTCAGAGTTCTTTATGGATACGAGGTACAGCTTTGTCAGATATGTAACCTATAAACATTTTCTCCTAGTCTGTGGTTTGACTTTTCATCCTCTTCACAGGGTCTTTTGCAGAAAAAACATTTTTTATTTTCCTGAGGTCCAATTTATCCTTTCTTTCTATTTTATGGTTTTTGGATTTGTTGTCAAATCTAAGAATTCTCTGCCTAGTCTGGGACCCCGAAAATCTGTCTTATATTTGTTTCTAAAAGTTTAACAGTCTTGTTTTACAGTTAAGTCTGTTACCCAGTTGTGAGTTAATTTTCACAGAAGGTGTGAGACTTAGGCTGAGGTTCATTTTTTTGACTACAGAAGTCTTACCGCTCCAGGACATTTGTTAAAAAGGCAATTTTTCCTCCACTGAACTGCCTTTATGTACCTTCGTCAAATATAAGTTTATCACAATTTGTGTGGGTCTATTTCAGGACCCTCTGTTTTGTTCCAGTATCTGTGTTTATCCCTCCACCAGTACGACACAGTCTGGTTACTGCAGGCCTATCACAAGTCTTGAAATAATGTAGACTGACTCCTCCCGCTTTATTCTTCCTTTTCAAAACTGTTTTATCCACAGTAGTTCCTTTGCCTTTTCATGTAAGTTATAGAATAAATGTATCAATATCTATAAAAAAATCTTACTAGGATTTTGATAGAAATTGCATTAAACCTATGTTATCACTTTTAGGAAAAACTACTATCTTTTCTATGTCGAGTTTCTAGTCCATGAACACAATATGTGTCTCCATTCATCAGCTTTGTATAGTTTTCAGCATATAAGTCCTATACATATTTTGTTAGAATTAGACCCAAGTATCTGTTTGAGCAATAATAAATGGTATTATGTTTTGAATTTCAGTACCGCTGTATTCAATGCTAGTATGTGAAAGTTGACTTTTTTAAGAAAATGTTTCTTTGTATCCTACAACTTTGCTAAACACATTGATTAGTTCTAGAGGTTCCTTAAGATTTTCTATGTAGACAATCAAGTCATCTGTAAATCATGGAAGTTCTTTTTCCTTTCAAACCTGTGTATCTGTTTTGTTTTTCTTTTTCCTTAATACACTGGCTAGATCTCCAAGCACTATGTTAAATAACAGTGATGATCAGACACTGTTGCCTTGTTCCTGAGCTTAGGAAGAACCAGCTCAGTGTTTCACCACCGAGTATGGTATTAGATGCAGGTTTATTATCCATGCTCCTTGTCACGTTGAGGAAGTTCCCTCTGTTCCCACTTCCTGAGAAGTTTAATCATGAGTAAGTGCTGATTTTGTCAACTTTTTTCTGCCTTGAATGATATGATCGTGAAATTATTCTTCTTTAGCCTGTTAAAATGGTGAATTACACTGACTGATTTCCAGATATTGCATCAGGCTTGTATGCCCAGAATAAACCACGTTTGATCATGGTGTAGAATTCTTTTTTTAAAAAGATTTTATTTATTTACTTTTAGAGTAAATAAATCAAGCTTGTATGCCCAGAATAAACCACGTTTGATCATGGTGTAGAATTCTTTTTTTAAAAAGATTTTATTTATTTACTTTTAGAGAGAGGAAGGGAGAAAGAGGAGATAAACGTCAATGTATGAGAGAGACATCAATAGGTTGCCTCTCCTATACCCCCAAATGGGGAAGAATTCTTTTTTATATATTGCTGAATTCTTTTTATGTAACAACATGTTTGGGATTTCTGCGTCCATATCCATGAGTTATACGGGCCTGTAGTTTTCTTTTTTAGTATCCTATTTGTCTGGTTTTGGTATCAAGATAATGAATTGGAAAGTGTTCCTTCTTCTTCTATTTTCTGGGAGTGACTGTGTAGATTTCATATTAATTCTCCTTTAAACACTTGGTACAATTGTCCAGTCAGAACAACTGACCCTGAAAATTCCTTTATTAGGAGTTTTTAAACAATAAATTAAGTTTCATTAGTAGTTGTGGATTGATTCAAACTATTTCAAGTTGGGTAAATTTTGGCAGTTTGTGCTTTTTCAGGAATTGGTTTGCTCTATCTAAGTTGTCTGATTTCTGTGTAAAGAGCTGTGAGCGGTACTCCCTTATTACCCTTTTGATGTTTGTGGGATCTGTGGTCTTAGCTACCACTTCATTCCTGATATTGGCAATTTGTATCTCCTTAAGCATATCATAAGGTTTCTTCATATAAACAATACCAATATTGTGAGTCAGATAATTTTCTGTTGGAGGACAGCAGGCTTGTGTGTTTTGGGAAACTATTTCCCAGAGTGGCTATATCATTTTACAGTCCCTTTTTTAGTCTTATCAGAGGTTTGTCAGTTTTTATTGATCTTTCCAAAGAACTAGTTTTCTGTACCATTATTTTCTCTATTAATTTTTCCTAATTAACAAAATCTTTAAAATTAGGTTATTTTACCTCAGTTTTTTAAAAAGTCATATTGCTTTTCCTGATACTGAATTATCAGGAGTATGACATACAAACCCGATATGAGAAACATGCCAATCAAAAACTGTATTTCGTAATTTTTTTACCTACCAAGGTAGAGGGACCATTAGTGAAATCTCCATCACCATCTCGATCAAGTTCCTCCAGCTCCTCTAGTCTTGGTCTTTTGGCATTTTCAGGAGAGCAGAAATTATCTTCCTTTCTTTTGGCCATCAGGTCTAAAACGATATTAAAATATTATAGTAACAGTGAAGTAAATCTAGTATCCATATGATTGTTCCGCATATACTAAACTAACTAAACAAACCAGACATGGCTTAAGTTTTAAGTACTAAGTTCATTCACTTTTACTTTAAAAAGGTAAAAGTATCACCTGCATGGAGAAAGAGGTCTGCAAGCTAAAGAGTGCAGGAGGCCCCCAGAGGCTGGAAAGGCAAAGGAGCACATGCTGCCCTTCGGCCTCCACAAAGGGACACAGCCCTGCTACTGCCTCGATTTTAGCCGAGACGTGCCCAACTTCTAAATCACACAAGCATTAGATAATAAACGTGTGTGTGCTTAAATCGTCTGCATGTGTTATACTCGTTGATTTTACTTCCATTATTCATGGCCAAGGCTTTATTGATATGGGCCAACCTAAATGCTTTGACTCCTGAACTCACAAAAGGTGAAAAGATTTTGTGTAGCTGTGGTTTCTAGTTTCCTGGCTCTACTAGGGATGGCATAATGCCTTCTGAAATTATTCCAGACCAATCATCTCAGACTTTTACAAGTTACAGAGTAACAGTCAATCAGATAAAACTTTTAAGTTATTTTCCCACGGAAGGTATGATGAAGTCATGTTGCCTACCACCAGGACTCCTTTGAACAGTTCCCTAAAGAAAGCCCATGCTGATCAACTATGTTTTACTCAGAGACTAAAATTTTTACCTGAAAAATTAATATATGTGAAATCACACAACTATTTTCTAAACATATGAACACTGCACCTCAAGTCAAAGTTGACAGTTTATGACAGAAATTAAATGTGATGTCACTACTCTAATTGCCGCTTCCATTTTTCTCTTTAAAATACATTTAAGATCTCGAAAGACAGATACCTAGTAAGAGTTTGCTGAAAAAAATAGAAAAAAATCCTTGACACAGGTCATTAAAGATTTCTAAGACGCAAGGAGAAAATAGGAGAATAGTTCTAGTCTCAGTCCGTTTCAGCCCCTCAAGTACTACCCATAGCAACCCGGTCTGTACCAGGCAGCTGAGCAGCAATACATTAAATGAGATCTTCTCTTTCATGAATGTGGACTGAAAGAGTCTAGCCAGTCCTTCCTCACAGAGATGACACAAACACAGGTTGAGAAAGCCAGTCCCAAGTGTATGTGTGTGCTGGGGGACGGGGGGCCGGTGGAGCCCTGTTATAGAGAGCATGAAGCAGCTGCGCAGAAACAGGACAGGGACTCTAGAGGACAAATGTGGGAGACAAAAGGAGGGCGAATGAAAGACATTCACAGAGTGACTCTTTTTTTTTAATCATTTTATTATTTTTTTTACCACTGCTTTTGCAGCTTATACTGACAGAACCAATTTCAGAAATATAATACCTGTACATATTTTTGGAAGAACTGTTTTGGAGAACAATCTTTGTTGTCAGTTATTATGACAATTCCTTAAGTGAAATGAGTAATTCTCCCACCTTTTCAATGCTCTGAAATCACCTCTGTAACATGACATTTAAATTGTTTTTGAAAGTGAGAAAGAACTAGGCTTAAAGCTAATAGATAGTGAAGACTAGTTAAAGTTAACTTTATGAAATCATTCTAATTTCTATCTTGTCTATTGATTTTTACGGGTTCACTATATCTTCCTAAATCCATTTTTCCATAATTTTATTTTCCCAAATATTGATAATATAAAGCCCCAAATTTACTACACAAAAATCACCTTATGTTTTATAAAATCTTCAACTATAATCATGCAAATTTTATTTCATTAAATTTTTTAACATTTTTTTTGAAAAACTAGTTCTTTGCTCTATCACATCTAGTTTTTCTTCAACAGGAATATTTTAAATATTTGTTCATATCTTTATATAACCAAATATGAGAAATATGCAGTGGGACTAGAATTCCCACAGTGCAAGTTTAAAAAAGCAAACAGAGACTGCCACTTCCATGAAGATGGAATAGGTGGTTTTTCTTGTCCATTCCTCCTGCTTAGTGTAACTAAAATCCTTGAAAATTATATATAAAACAAACATGAGAAGACTCTGAAAAAGGAGGCAGACTGGCTAGGGGCGTCGGCACCTGAGGTTGACACACTGGTGAGTTCCCTGAGTTTTTGTCTTGCTTCAAATTTCCCAGATTTGGAGGAGATAGCAACTGGGGAAACACCAACAGGTGCAGTGCAGAGCACATGGGGGGTGGGGCAGGGCTAGTGAAGGCTGAAAGCTGTTCTCTCAAGTCAAAGGATCCGGAAAAGGGCAGCCTTCAAGACAGAGGACTCTGGGTCGGGGGCGGGGGGGGGGGGGCGGGGGGGGGGGGATTGTTCTACTCCAGCCAAATACACTGAAAAAGCTGTGTCCCCCTTCGACTCCTCTCTGCCCCAACAAAGGCCAGGTGGGTAACCTGGACTTCCACCCTGGCGAGGCTGTGAAGAGTCGTCTCAACGTCCCGATCGGGCTCCTGTCAGAGAGGCTACGTAGGCCAAGGAGGGAGCCAGGATAATGGCTTCGAGGAAATGTGTAGACAGCGGAAACGCCCACTCCGCCAGGCAGGGTGCTGCTTCCTCCCACTCCCCTTGCACGGTGCCAGAGGAGGCCTTCTACCGTGGCCCAGAAAGGTGCGGAGGCCGCCCCACTGCAGTGTCTGTGGTGGCCCCGCGGGGAGCTGGATCCTCGACTCTGGCTCGGCAGTCACTGTCACTAAGGAAGAGCTCTGGTAAGTTCTAGATCAGAGTCTCTGTCGATCTAGACTGCGGCCCAATGCTGTAGGGCAGCAGTTCTCAGAGGCTGTGGTCTCTCAAAAGGTACTGCGGTATTCGAAGAGCTTTTGTTTGTATCTGTCAATATTTACCAATTATAAATTAAAGTTGTTAAACTTTTTAAACAACAGACAAGTACACATTCTATCAGTCGTCAGAGTGATGACATGATCACATGTCTCATAACCTCTGGGGAACTCCAGTGTACAGTCCATAAGTGACTGAAAGTAAAAATGGGAAACATCTTACTATTATTATAAAAATAGTTGTGATCTTGTACAGCCTCTGAAGAGTCTCATAGATGTCTGGCCCACACTTTGCAAACTGCTGCTGTCAGGGATACTGTAAGCAAGTCCGTGATGCAGTGCCATACGTTATAAGGCACAGCTAGCAAACAAGGAAGTTAGAGCAGCGGTGAGCCTGACCACAGGATGACTTGCAGGCTTGATATTCAAAGTGTAGTGCAAGGACCAGCAAGCAGCATCTCCATCTCCTGGGAACGCGTTCTGGATAGCCAGCATCTCAGGCCCCATCCCAATCCAAGTGAATCAGAATCTTCATTTGAAAGAGATTTCAGATGATTCATAAGCACATTAAAGTTTGAGAAGAACTGTTATAAACAACATTAAAGAACTTAAGACTTTATCCTAGCCTGAAGGCAATAAAGAACCTAACTTATCATGACTAATTATGTATCATTCAGAAGGTATTATTAGGTAACATCCAAAGGATATTTAGCCTAAACAAATGACTTCAGAAACAATATTAGCATTATACAGCCACAATTACATAATAGTCAACATCTTCTTTTACAACAAATTTAATGTTTATCGTGAATCTTTTATTACACAACTCAAAACTTGAAAATCAAATATATTCCCCAAATTATTTACTAACAAGAATCAATTTGTATTAGTTTCAGCTTGTCACTAATTTAAATTCCCTAGAATACCACCAAGCCATTTTCCCTCAATGCTTTTCTTCTCTCCCACCCATCAGCTATTTCCCTTCTCAATTACTGAGCAGTTATTTATTTATTATAGAAAAACAATGAAGAAACATTACTTTTGGTTTTCACAACATTAAATGCCCTTCGGACACTGTTTTAAATATTGCCTAATACATGACCTCAGTTAGCAGGCATTCAGGTATCAGCCGACTGATTTTAGTATTTTACCATCCATAGAAAACAACAGTAAAATTGGGGGGAGTTTTATTGGGGGGAAGGAAGTGCACAAAGGTAAGTGCGATAGGCTTCTTACAATGAATGTGAGATTCTGCACTACACAGAAGATAGTGCACTATATGACGACAACGTTTTTTATTTGCTGTGTGCTTAGTCTGGGATTTGCAGTTTGCCATTACGTTGCCATGGCAACTTGCAACTAACAGACACTGAAGGATCCTGCCTTTTAAAATAGGAATCACTTTGTAATTTAATGATAACAGATATAAATGTCTTGAGAGTCAGATACAGATTAAAACAGTAAAACTGTTTCCAATAGGCTAAAGAGACATATAAACAGGGACCCCCCCCCAAAAAAATACTTTTAAATATTCTAGAATACACGAAATTGGAAAAAAGAGCTCCTCTGGGATTTTCAATATATTTGCAAAGCTCTTTGTAGTTTTTAATATTTATTTACAAGAAAAATATCAGAATTAAGGAATATATCATTTCTTCCTCACAGAAACCAAGATCAGGAACAGTAACAAATGTAGGTTTCAATAAAAAATAAGTTCAAGAAGAAAGACCAATGACCAAGGGTTCATTACAGCAAGTGTGTGCATAGGAAATTTGATAAAACTCAAATACATTTTAACAGGATAATAAATTTCTACATTTTAAATTTTACTGTGAACATCTAATAATTCATACTTCCCACTTATTGAAGTTGGAACTAACAGCAGGGAAACTAAATATAACAGAATTGAGGTTCTCAATAAAAAATCACGGTTATAAAAAGACAAACTGCTACTACTTTCCAATCTGCTGTGGACTGTTTACTTCATCCCCAATTCCATTCCTTCTAAACACCATGGACACGCTCATTCTGCATTAAGTAAACTTAATTTTGATGTACTCAATTAATTAGGCACCCTGGGCTATATCATAAAATCATATGAGATACAATAGATAATAATATATTTAAGTTAGAAAATCCTTAAGTCCATCCATTAAAAAATTCCAGATCAGTAGAACTAGGAAATACCACAGAATTGCAGATAATAATATTGAACACTCTGATTTATGTTTTAAAAAGATCCCTGGGGCCTCAATGTAGAGGAGAGATGAAACAGAATATGGGCAAGAGTCCAGTCTCTAAAAGATAAGGGGCACTGGACAAAAAAAAGCAATAGCAATATCAGAGATAACAGGAAGAGATGAAACCAAGAGCTTTAAAAGACTGGGCAATGTAGGGGGGAAGAATTAAGATTACTGAAAAAACCACTTACTACATACATACTTAGCTTTTGAAAGCAACACTTTATGTATTTCCTTTCATCCTCAACTTCCTTACCAACTGTCCTTATTTTACAAAAAGGGGTACTGCGGCTCTAGAGGAGACTTGCCCAGGCTTATACAGCTACAACTTAGCTGAGCCCAGATCCAAACTCAGGTTTGTCAAAACCCAAAGTCAATCCTCTTTAATGCCCAGCTTCTGCCTGGCATGAACAACTGAGTTTAACTAACACTTTAATTGTTTATAGGCTGTGAAACTGGCTATTAATCTGTTCATTTTCTTGTTTATCCTTTGTTAATGCACAAAAGTACAAAAACAATTCCATTGTGATATGTCCCCTCCAATGTTACTATGCTTTATAAAGTTTTATTTTGTGTTTAATTTTCAGAAACTATTTTCACACTTAATGCTAAACATCGTTATAAGTAGATGAAGCAGGTTTGGCAGGGAGGGAGGATAAATAATGCATTTATTTTGTTTGAAAACACTGAGTTTGAAGAGCTCCTAGGATACTGAGATGGAGACGCCAAGAGGCAATTAAACATACTCTGCGGCACAGTTGATTGGAGACTGGAGCTAAGAAAGCTACAGAAATTATTTTGAAATTGGTCACCAGCAAAAGTATGTTGAGTGAGAAAAGATGTATTTCATTAACTAGTGAGTCAAAAATGCTAACGTTAATATAAGTGACTACAGTTGACCCTCAGTCATCGGGACTTCTGAGTATGTGTGAATATAGAGCTGCAGCATTTAAATATGCCTTAAATATAATGCATATTATAATGGTAAGTTTTGTTATGTGTTAATTCCTGAAAACAAGCCAAATACAGCTTTGATTAATTTTCCAACTTAGGTCTAAAAGTGATAGTCAACATTTAGGCAGGTTTTATATAAAATTCTACATCTAAGCATTCAGGAAAGTAAACCTTTGGAGAATAAAATCTGTTTTTCACTCAAACAACTTTAATATACCAATTGTACTTACTTTTTGCCAGGCTCAGTAAATGCCTTATACTAATTATAGATAAATGTAGAAATATAACTATAACTATCTCTTTCACTCTACCCTCCCCCCATTGTATTTAAGGATCTTGTAAATTAGGTATTATGTTATTTTCTCCAATTGCCGAAAAGGAACCGAAACTTAAAGAGGTGGTACCCATATGCTCAGGTTCATACAACACTGCTTCTGTCTTACACAAAAACATGTTTTTAAACAAGTCTAGGGATCACCAAACTTTTTTGTTCTTACACCCATTTCCAGAAAAGAAATTCTGAATACACAGTTCAACATAAAATTAGTACTCTGTATACTTCACACAGTAATAGAATGAGATAAAGTAAATATAAGTAGGTCTAACATGCTCCCCCCACCTCCACACTCAGGGAACTATCCACAGGCCATTGCACATGCTACTGAATATTTTAAAAGACTACATAACAGCCTTCTGAAAGTCAGGGAGTTTGGACTTTCTTTTTTTCTTTTTAATATATATTCCAGAATAGCTTGTCTTTAAAACACTCGCTTTTAACATCCTAGTCATGAAATACACTCAGAGTAATAAGCGCTCACACAACTTGTCTTCACAAACAGCTGCTTTACCTAGGAATTACCGCAAGCCCAGTGGGTCCTACAGCCCTTTCTCTACCCTTGAGTCCTGTGTTCCGCAATTCTCAATTGGGAATTCTGCTCCAGTTCATTGCCACAAGAAAACAGGGAAAAGAAAGGCTATCACGAAGGCTCCAAACATCACAATTTCATTTTCCTAGATGATACAGTTCGCATTTTCATGAAACTGGGATTTAACCACAAATCCAGTTTAAGTGATAGTTGCATACATCTCTTAAACAAACATACTTGATTTGCTTCTGGTGAGGCGATCATCAGATTCGTGATAAATGACCAATTTCCGATCGCAACCTCACCTCTTTATCCCCATGCACCTCAAGCTACTTCTCAAAGCCAAAGGGCCTTTTGGGGCCGGAAAAAGGGTCCCACAGCCGGAGCCGGGACTGGCACGGCTCGCTGCCACGGCCGCCGCAGCAGGGGCCCAGCGCAGACGGGCAAGTTTCCCGCGGCAGTGGAGACCCATGCCGGCTGCAGAGAGGGCGCGAAGCTCCCCGCCGGCCGGACCGCCCAGGCCCACGGGGACCACGTTGGACGCCGCGGAAGCTCCAGTGACCAGGCGGCCACCAGACACATTGGGGGATGCCCCCGAAGGTGTCAGTGACAGGGGGATGGACCCGGAGCAAGGGAGAGCGAAGGCGCGCACCCTCTCCCTACCTCGAACAAGTCGAAGTCTCCCCAAGGAACCCGATCAGCGGGGCTGTCGCTGTGCAACCAGGGCGCGAAGGCCACCTGGGGAGCGTCTCTGCCTCGGCTGGCCGCCGTTGGCCCGCCGGGAACCGCGCGCCTGCAGCGGGAGAAGGCAGGAGCCCGGCCGCCCCGGCGCCCACCCCGGGACGCTGCGCGCCTGCGCCCCGCCCCCCCCGCCCGCCAGGACTCCGCCCGCGCGTGCGCGGTCTGGAGTTTTCGCGCCACAGTAGTGTAAAGGAGGGGCCGGAAGTGCCCCTGGGCGGCCGGTGAAGCTGGTTGGAGCCAGGGCAGGACCACCGCGGGACGCTGGGTGGTGCGTAGGGGGGGTGTTGATTTGCCTAAGTGAAAGGGAAGATTACTCGGAGGCCCCGGCAACAGCTCTACGCATGCGTATAGCGGACCGGGTGGGAGCCTGCCGCCGGGTCGGGTCCGCGGACTGTCACTTCCCGGAAGAGGCGGAACCGTGTGTAAGAAGGCGCCGAATTTGAAGTGCTTCTAGGAGCTTTCCAGGTCACGGTACTTAAGCCCCATACGTCTTTGCTTGGGAAAGAAGACATTTCCTTTCCTTTTTATTTTTGTTTCTGTAGAAGATTAAATTCAGAAACTTGGAAGCAGCTACAGTAAGGATTCAGGACAAACTAGTACCACGGAAGCGCGTCTTCCAAAACCAAGGAGAAAGGGTTTTCTGGGTAAGCCCCACGGAACCGTGGAGAGGCGGCACCGCCACGGCCCTTCCACTCGGTCCTTCGACGTGTGGATTAGGGACGAGCTCTGTGTTCGCTTTCCCGTCGCGTCCGCCCCTTCTCCAAAAACACCATTGGCGTCTCCCGTGTAAGTACAGTGGGAAAGCCGCTCTGCCGCCTCGCGGGCCCTGCGTCTCCACGTCCCTGCGCTGACGCCCGCCGGCGGGGACTCGGTGTCTCCAGCTGCTCCACGCTCTCCCATCTCTGCCAAGGCCGCTGCGTCCCGAATGTCCTACCCCACGGGTACACCGTGGGGCAACTCCCACGTCTGTTCTAGGCCTTCCGGGGCGAGCCCTCCCTGATCCCCATAGGCAGACTTGGATGTTCCTCTTTTTCGGTGTTAACGTGATTTGAAAATAACTTCCCTTATAGCAATTACCTTAAGGCATTATGGTTGTTTATTTACAGTCATTCTTCCCCGCACGAGCCTGTGTTGTAAACCCCCTCAATAAATATCAGGACTAATAAAACTTAAGTGCCTTGACTACGCTTTCAGAGCTTTTCTCTACCCAAACTAAGCCCACCTGTAATGTCTTTGCTCAACTCTTCACGTGACATACTGATCTAGACACGTACCGTAATCTTTCTATTTTCCTTTCCGGATAGGAAAAATTGGCATTTACTGCTACCCCAGTTCACCCCCACATAAATTAATGTCAGACGTCTGGTAATAAAAGTCCTTTAATCAAAATCACCCTTTTACCGCTAAAGATAGTCAAATATATATTATATTCTTACAATGGCCCTTGCCTTGATAAAGTAAGTATGACATAGTCTAAATAGGCTAAAAATGGCAACATCTGGCCTAGGGGGTCCTTGTTGGTAAACAGGGGGAAAGGTTGGGAGGCGCCTGCTTAGGTGTCAGTTCCTTTAAGGAAGCGATCAGCGATGCCCTAGAGTTGGTAAGTCACCTCTCTTTTTATATACTCCTATCTATCTTTACCCCTGTACCTGTACTTGTCCCATTGTTATAATTCTTGTCTCTAGTTTCACTTCCTCTACTAAAGACCTTAAATGCAGGGTTTGATCTTTCACTATTCTATCTCCAGCATCTAGAAGAATTTCTAGTAAATAGGCATTTAATAAATATTAATTGATAACATCGTTAAGCCTGGATTATATTATGATTCAAAGTTTAAGCTAAATTCATATGAAAATAAAACTGATGAAATAATTTTAAAAACCCAGCATTAATTAGTGAAATTATGTGGGAAATCCCATTCAGTACAGTTCTGTACTGAAGTAAACTTTACATTATTTACCAATCTTTATTATCTAAATGGGAATAAGGTAATTTAAAGTATTTTGTGCGTTATTGTTAAAATAAATTTTCTAATGTTTTTGCTTAAAGCTGAAATAAAATTGCAAAACTGTTGGTTTAATAAAATGCATTTTTGCATAAATCAAACCACTGACCTCTTTTTATGTTTTTAAAATTTGATTCATTAGTGGAATTAGCAAGGTTCTGTGCTTTTCTCACCTCATTCAGTTTTATAATTAACCAATAAAAGCTTATTAGCTTTAAGGAAGTTTTAAGAGCATAAATTGATTTATGGACACCATATGGTTACATCAAAGGATTTCTTTTTGTTTTAATCTCAAGTGAATTTTTAAGCACTTTTTTAAAACTAGAAATTCATGTTCTTTCTACCAAACAATAGCTAAAATAGAGTGATTGGTGTTTTGTGTTTTTAGTACCAAACTACCTAATTTGGTCATGAAATTCAAAGGATTTCATAATCTTATAATTGTATAACTCATTTGGTTAACACTCCTCATTTTGGATATCAGTTAAAAGTCTTCCCAAGGTTGTACAGCTAGTCAGTTAGAATCCAAGACCAAAATCCTAGATTTCCTATCCCAAGTCCAGTGTTCTTTTTACTATACACTAAATAAATTGAAGCCACTAATAGGTGATAAAGTTGTTACGGGTTATTCTGACTGGTGATTCACATAAGTAATCATATGTCACACTAATTCTTAAGAATTGTGAATGTTAGAAAACTATGTGTAATATACATTGACTGCATGATCAGACTGACATCCATAAAATTGTTACATTATGAGTAGAGAAGAACTGAATCTCACTAAAAAAATTTCAAGTTTCACTTCATTAAAAAATAATAAGCATGGCAAAATTATACATAGTTTTGAGTGAGTTTGATATGTGTTATGCTTCCAAATTTTATTTAATGCTGAGCTATTTTCAAGTAACCTCATCAGGTTGATCATGACCTCAGGCAAGAACCATCTCTTCTATCTTTGAGTGTAGTTGTACTTCAGTATCTTAAAATCTGTGGCATTCTGTCCCTTTCTGGAACTTCATGTGCTCTCCTTGCTATTTAATGTCACTTCAGAGGCTGGTGCAAAGAAAGTGACAAGGAATAGAACAATAGATCATGAAAATAAACATTTTGTATTAGCTGCCTTCTTAAAATATGGTGTTATTTTTCATAATACATGTATTTCACATAATTTTATCCTTTCAGAACTATTGAGGCATTCTTTTAATAACATTCTGCTTTTATGAATGATTTTCATAAGAAACATAAGTGGTTTCCAAAAGAAAATTAGACAACTTAGGTTGCACTAAGTTATCTACTGAAGATAATCTAAAATAGTATTTTAAAAGAATATTCTAAATTACACTTAAATTACATTAGAGTGATATAAAATCACACTTATGTGATTTTACATTAATCTGGTTTTGTTTTGTTTTCTTTTTGCATTTTACAACTGGCTATAAGGTAGCACCCTATTTGAAGAAGTAAATTAACTTGTGACAGAGGTTATGTCACCTTTAAGGAAATTCACTATCCCTTAGCAGAGAGATGGTGATTTTGATGCTTTAGGTTAGGAAACAATATCACTCTGGCTTCCAAGGGACAATGATTTATATGGAGTGGAGTGCAGTAAAAAGTAGAAGCACAGGACCTGTTGGGAGACTACTGTAGTTATGTACAGGCAACAATAGGGGAGTGTCATAAGAAACGGGGATTTGGTATACCTTTCGGAGATAGAGAACTACAAATGACTAGGTTTTTGGCCTAAGCATCTGGGTATTTTGGAAAAGACTAGGGGTAGAACAGTTTTGAAGAGAGGTAATGGAATCAAGAATCAGATGTGTGTTATGCATTCATATGAAGATAAAGTAGGGATTGAATGTTCTAGTTCAGAGCTGAGAGGAGTTATGAAATAATGTGGGATAACTTTTATTAGAGAGGGAAAATGAAAAGTTCCTTCATTGTAGAGTCTTCAAAGCAATAATGTCCTCTCCCATGTAGTTTACTCTAAAAATATTCCTGTCTTTCTGCTCACTTAAAAGTTCCTTTGTTTACCCCATCCTTTAAATATTGTTGCTTGGCATAGTTCTTAACCCGTTTTGTTGAAAGCTCTGAAGGCTATAAAAATTCTTGCAGTAATTCATGAAGACCTAGTAGAAATTCATTAATGGAAAGTTACTAAGAAAAAAAGTATTCACTGGGGCATGTGATAGAGACTAGCTTCTGTAAAAATGTCCTCTTGATTCCTCATTTAGAGAAAAAAATGGGGAAAAAATATTTCATGATAGCAGCGATTCTTCCATGCTTATGGGGAAACAGCACAGCATTACTGCTTTATAGGAGTGTGCTTGGAGAGCACAAAAAAGACAACTTTTTCAAATCCAGTTTGGTAGATATATGGGAACTATAGGTTTAGGTACCAAAGTAGTTTGAAAGACTTCGGGGTAGATTTGAAAATATGGTGACCAGAAGGATTAGCAATGAAAGATGTTTTTCTAGTACTGTCACTAAAAGGAAAAGTGGAAAAGAATGCTTTAGCTCTGAGTTAATAACTCAAATTTTAGTTTCTGAGAACTAACAGGTAATTCTATTACAGCCTTTTTTTTCTTGTTGCCTACACTATTTATTCCAGTTGCTTTTAAGTAGCGATCGTTACAGCTTTGTAGTCTTTTGTTCATATTATACTAAAAGAATAGCTGAGATAGATGCCCTATTAAGACAGCATTGATATCTGTTCAATTATCCATGCTAGTTCTATAACATAACCATGGATGCTCATTCTTTAAACTAGGCATATTTCTGACAAAAGAAACTGAAGTAATAGGAAGAATTAAGTTTTAAATGTAATGATAATGTTATATTAAAGATATTATTTGTTGGCCTAGTTAAAATCACTGGTTAAAAAGCATTCTTTATTTTGCTTAAGGGATCCAGTCTGTGGAAATCTTAATACATTATAGAATCAGTCCTAGGCTTATTTTTTTCCAGGCATGGCTGCCCCAGTGAGTAATACATAAAAGTCTTTACAAAATGATCTTCATGTGCTTGAAATATTTAGAGAACTACAATTTGTAAAATTAAAAGTCTACCTCATCAGCGTTTTTTTACAACCCTCAAGAAATATAATCTATATGTAAATGTGTGTTTATATGTGTCATCTTAAACAACCCTGCGCTATGTTACAATCTTCATTTATTTATTTACATATGTGTAGTCAACTTATGTAATCAAGCATTAGAGACATGATAGGAAAGAATGAACTTCAGAGTTGGAAGGGCCAGAGAAAATATATGCATTATCTAAGACCATGAGATTCGTTCCTAGGCATCCCAAAGGAAACCAGAAAATGTGGATCTCTCTGTAAAAAACTGTACGGAATTCATATTTGATGTTTAGATACTTGTGAATTTGCAGTACATTGCTTTTTAATTTGACCCATGAACTATATCCTTATTTGCTCACTTAATATTTAGGCAAGGAATAAACCACCTAAAGATTTCTAGTTTATTTTCCCAACACTTTGCAGATAGGACTACATTTTTAAAACATTTTTTAAATCTTCACCCAAGGATATGTTTATTGATTTTAGAGAGAGAGGAATGGGGAGAGAGAAACATCCATCAGTTGCCTCCCTTTTACACCCTGACCAGGGATCAACCAGAGAGCAAACTCACAATCTAGGTATGTGCCCTGACTGGGAATCAAACCTGCAACCTTTCTGGTATATGAGTTGATGCTCCTTCCCACCAACTGAGTCACTGGGCTGAGACTAAACTTTTTTAATTTGAAAAGTATACATGCATGTGGATATGTGAAAGAACAAAAAAACAAAGGAATGTACTTTGAAGAGTAATTCTCATTCTTCATCTTCAAGGATCCCTAGTAATTATTTTGTATGTTTCCATTTTTAAAACCTGGAGACTTTTTTGTCAGTACATATAGATCTTTTTTTAAAAAATTGATCTTACAGAGAGAGAAACATCTGTTGTTGCATTTAAACATTCATTGGTTTATTCTTGTATATGCCCTGACTGGGGATCGAACCTGCAACCACTGGCATATTAAGACAGTACTCCAACACACTGAGCTACCCAGTCAGGGCCAATATATATAGTTTTATACCGTTTTTGTTTGTTGCATCATCTGTTCCATTGTTTAAATATACCATAGTTAACTTAAAGATATATCCTTTATTGATGGACAGTTGGTTTTCCCCGGTGTCTTACTACTGTAAACATGCTGCAGTGAATGTCCTTGTACACAAATCACGTATCTAAAAGCATATCTTAAAGTAAATCCCTACGATAGCTGTTGCTAAATTAGAAGTTCTGGCATTTGAAATTTTGACAGCTAGAGCCAGGGCTAGAGTCACATTTTAATAAAATAAGATCAGTTATTACAATTGTCCTCCAGAGAGAACTGCATAATTTCCTTCAATAAGTATCCAGCTTCCTTCACAAATAAAAGGAACACAAAACTATTAACAAGAACTTATTCCCCCTCAAACTTTCTATTCTTTTTCATTTTATGTGTTTTGATGTTTAATATTTTAAAAGTCTTATTTCCCTTCAGAATGATGCCTTAGAAAATATGTCTCCACTTTTTTTTTTTCCAGAATTAAGTACAATTTTTCACATTGACAGAGAGCTGAAAACTTAACTCTGAATCTGTTGCTACAATGTGCATTCAGTCAGTGGGGCTCTTGAAGTGAAACAGACAATAGTAGCGCTCAGCCACCACTACCTACCTAATTCTTTGCATTCAAATCTGTATGTCTGTCTTTGTATGTTGAGGTATCAGCAAATATTTGTAGAGTTCTTCATAAAAATGAATGCACAAAATAATATTTAGGTGTCACTGGCCACATTATAAAAGTAAGATTTAGAAAAACTCAGAGAAAATGACATAACAACATTGCCAGAATTTATTTTCTTTGCAATTTGCTTTTTGTATGAACCTTTTTAAAGGAACAGACAACAGTACTTTTTATTTAGAATGGTTTTGTATTATGTTGATAGCCTTTTGACTTTTTTTTTAATTGGACCTTGTATTTTTGAAATGAAGTTAGGTCATTGTTTAGAGGATGATCTGGATTTATTTGAATAGTCAGGCTGAGTCTGCAAAGGCTGCATAATATATTTTGTTAAATAATAACAAAGAAAAAGAAAAACAGGTGTTTAATAAGGAAAAGCTGGCCTGTAGAAAACCCCAAAGAGGTTACAATAGCAGAGTTTAAACCAATTTTGTTTTTCAAATGTTATGTACATAGGAAATAGTTTATCAGTAATTTTGTTTGGATAGTGGAACCAGAGGTGGTTAACAAATTGTTTTCCTTTTAAAAGATTTTTTCATTTTTTCACAATGAACATGTGGGACCTTGCAATTAAAGAGCTAGTCAACCCTCTTTTTGAAAAGATAATTCCATATTCCTCCAACTCTGCATATTCTGTCTTCATCAAAGTTTTCCTTCATTAACCTCTTGTTTTTTTCTTTGGTTTGTTTGCTTGTTTTATGTGTCATTGCCTTTGTTTTGTTTCTCCTGATCATGATAGAGGCTGGTCCTCTTCCCTCTTTAGGCATGGAAATCAAGGAGTAGAGAAGGTAAATAATGATTTACAGCATCCATGTTTTTCCACCTAGCTTGTGTTAGCTGGAACAAAGCCAATTATCTTTTTTTTTGTAATTTTTTCTTTTATTTGATAAATTCCATGCAATATTCAGGTAATCATGTGAAAAATTTTATTCTCAGTCACTGCTAAAGAGGACATAGAAGAGGAAAGAATGAGGAGGGACGAGGGGACCATTGACATTTAAGTTACATTAAATTTAAAGGTAACTTTTTCAGTACTGTAGAGAAACCGATATTTGATGGCACACAAATCACTTTAATTTGTTATTGCCATCACCATTTTGTAGCCAGTGTGTCATTTACCACCATTTTTAATGTTTTAGGTGTTCTTGGTTCATTCCAAAAAGCTGACTAAATGAAAGAAATAAGGAGGATCCTCTATTTATTTATTATTCTTAACTAGCTTGTAGTATATTGTTTGAATTCCTGATGTGAGCTTCTGTGTCCTTTGACAATTTTTGAAAAGTGTGTCAAATAACTGCAGATAACCAGAATGGGAGTGAATGACTTGTGGCAAATTCTGGAACCTGTTAAACAACATATTCACTTGAATAGTCTTGGTGGGAAAACCATTGCTGTTGATCTGAGCCTTTGGGTATGTGAAGCACAGACAGTCAAAAAAATGATTGGAACCGTCACAAAGCCCCACCTCAGGTATAGTAAAAGCTCTTAGACTACAAATATCTGATTGCACACAAGCAGCTGATGTCTGGGTTTGGAGACTTTAAAGTATATTAACATGTCTAGATCTGCCATCTCCATATTGATGACTCAAAAATTTGTACCTCGTACTTTCTGAGCTCCAGACTCACATACCTAGCTGCCTACTTGACATGTCCACTTGGATGTTTCAGAGACTGGAAGGCAGAAATTTGGGAGCCATTCTCTCCTTGTTTTACCTCGCCCCATGTCCAATCTGTCAGGAAGCCTTGCCAGTTCTCCTTCCAAAATATACTTTTGTGTTTGTTCATAAACTTCTCTCGATGGGCAGAGAGGTACCACCTCTATGTATGCCAACATCATCTCTCATCTGCACTGCTGGGATGACAACTGGCTTCCCTCCCTCCATTCTTAGCCCCCTACTTCTCCAAACCACTTTCCACATAGCAATTAAAATAATCATAAATCCCCCTTGCTTAGAAACATTCAGTTGTTTCTCAGTCCAGTGAAAATAAAATATGAATAAAATATTATGGCATATAACCTTTTCGATACTAGCCTAATGTTCTTGCCATTAATGTCATACTGCTATGCTGACTTTTGCTATAATATATGATGATTAATATATTACTAATTTTTGTATTTCAGGAACTTATTTTTTCGTATCTCACATTTAACACTAATGGATGTAAAATTGGTATTTGTTATGGAAGGGGAACCCCCAAAGTTGAAAGCTGATGTCATAAATAAGAGGAATCAGACTCGATATGGGCATTCTGGAAAAACATGGTCTCAGAAGACAGGGAGATCACACTTTAAATCAGTGTTAAGAGAGGTGAGCATTTGGATCTGATTTAATTCTGATTTGAATTAGAACATTTTACTTTGGTAAAGATTATTATACAATTATCTTTAATACTCACTAGCCTTATTGTATACAGAAGGCTGCTGTGGATGGAGAAGAGAGTTTATATTTTGGAGTAAAACTGACCCAAGTTCAAGTCCTGGTTCTGGCATCTTGAAACTCTAAGGTGTTCTGCAAGATTTTTAATTTATATCTGCCTCATTTCCTATTCAAAATGAGGATAATAATGGTTTGCAGGGCTGTGGTAAGAACTAGAGAAAATATCTAAATATATCTAAATATAATATCTAAAGCAACTAGTACATAGTGGGGACTTGATACATGTTATCCTTTATAACATCTTTACCATTTAAAGAATTCCCAGAACAGAAATCTCACTAATTCAAACTTCACTCATTTAAGATTGATGGTTGTTCATATATTAAATACACATTTGTTTTTCCTTGGGGCTTTGTAATTTTTAAAAGTACTGGTTGTTATATTTTAACATATTTATATATTATAAAAATGTTACATATTTTTATAAAAGTAAGAAATTATCCATAAAATAAAATATATTATTAAAACAATAGGAAGCTATTATTATTTTGTCTCCTTCTGAATGTATATATTTTTAAAACTTGCCATGATAGTGGCATAAATAATTTTTGTCTTGGATTTTTCAGTTAATGGATCGTATCCATACTTCCCTGTGGCCGCATTCTGTTGTAAACTGTATGAGGCTACATGTATGAGGCTATAAAATCATTCCCCAGGATTGTATATATTATTTATTTTCCAGCTCTTCTATTATATGTGAAATTATGATGAACATTTTTTTGTGTACCTAGCTTTTTCTTGTGATTTGGGATTTTAAAATAAAATTACTGAAAGTGGGATAGATAGACCAAAGTTTAGGAATGATTTTATAGCTATTGCCAATTACTTTCCACCAATATAGATACAAGTAATTTCAGTACACCTACAAGAACACTGAATGAATAAGGTTTACCTTTGTGTTACTTAGTAATCAAAATTGAAGATACTTGTTGCTATAATACATATAAATACATAATTAATATGTATTGGTCTTTTAATGGTGACATTAAACATTTAACCTAGTTTTAGTCCCTCAGTAGATAGTGGCCATCATGTCTTTGCCTCAGTTATCTCTTGAGGTTTTAATTGTTTTTTTCTTGTTGTTCAAGTTCTTTATATATTAAGTATATAAACTTTCTATCAGATTTGCTTATAATTCATATCCCTTTTTTCTTTTTAATTTTGACTAAAAATTTTATTTCTTTTAAAAAGGCATTTAATAAATTAATAATCATTTCCTCCTGATATTTATTCTTAGGTGATTTTTTAAAAAATAGTTTTTAATCAGTGATTATTCCTCCTTAATAACTCTTGATAGTTGGAGAGAATATCTGTACTGGATTCTTGTAATTTTTTATATAATACCAGTTATTGGAAATAACCATGTTCCACTTACGTAGAGCATTAAAAACCCAGTTTGAAGCAAAAACATGTCCATCTCCTTTTGAGAAAATTGCTCCATTCCTATTTCTTTATTGCAGTAATTGAGCTGTTCTTAGGCATTTGTTCAGTTTACTTGTCCATTATTCATTTTCATATTTCCATCCCCTCACTTACTAGGCCCTGCTTCCTCCTAATTCATGGCCAACTTTTAGGTATAAGCACAAAAAGCACAAATTAGTCTTCTTCCCATACCACCTTTACCCTACATGACAGAGGCTTGGGGTGCAGAAATTTACAACCAGCCTTATCACAAATTCTATGCTGGTTTTTGAAGAGAGTTGGAATGACAAATGGCACAGGAATCTGAAATGACTTTTCAAACTCTTTTGTTTATTATAAAGGATACTTCCTGTCTGGAGGAAGGTCAAAGCAACTGTGATGTTATAATAAAGCAGTATCTCTAACAGAACTGTTTCCTAAAAAATAACCTTTTTGTCGACATAATACTTTGTCCTTTTGAACCTTGGCCACACTGGGCAACATCCAGCAGAGGTTTTCTTTTGTGATACAGCGTGCAAGCAATTGATCAGTCAAAGCAAAAGAGATGGTATTTATTCTATCAGTCTCTACAAACTAAGTGGCTTTGTTTCTTCACCCTACCCAGTATTCCCCACTGACAGAATTTGAGAATTTACATGACAAGAAGGAATACACTAGGCTAAAAGACTACATACACTCAATTGGGTTAAATAAACTCAATAATTCATAAACTCAGAGAGGAATATTTATGCATCAACAAATTAATAGGAACATCCTGTACAGACATGTGACTTCCAAGGAACACGCCAACAACTGACCACTCTGGTTTCCCACGATCTGAGAGTTTCATTATACAGAAGAGAGGATATGAGGAAAAGAAGAGAACTTTAAGGCCTCAGACCAAAATTGTGTAATAGCATCTTCTTTAGGAGACTTCATAATAGGTTGACCCATCATAAGAGAAGAATTTTTGTAGTTTTACACATGCAAATCTTAATGAAATTAATTATTAATCAATTAAAGATATTTCCAGAGTCTTGAAATACCATTGAGCAAAACAATGAACATTGAACATTCATTACTTTTTTAAAGTAATTTTTAAATTTTCAAAATTGAATATGGATTACTTCTTAAACAACATTAAAAATGTTTAACTTTTTATAACAGTTTTAAAACAACACAAAAGTAATCCATCATCAAACTTAGTTATTAGCTCTTCGCCAATCTTGTTTCATCTATTCTCCCCTCCCCCTATTTTCACGCTTTCTTGAAGCAAATCCCAGATACAATATTGTTTCACTCAATATTTCAGTATCTGTGTCTAAAAGATAAGGACTGTTAAACAATATATAAAAACAACCACAACAAAATTTTTGTTATCACACATAAAAGTTCAGCAATCATTCTTTAATCTCAGTAGTATTCAGTGTTCAAATTTCCAATTGTTCCTGAAGCATTATAATTTGTAAAACACCTAAATAGCTACTCGTAATATTTGTAATATAGAAAAGTAAATTAAACACTAAAAAAATAAAAGCAATAAAAATGTTCTCTGAACCCTGGTCAGGTAGCTCAGTTGGTTGGAGCATCCTCCCAACAACCAAAAGGTTGCAGGTTCGATCCTGGGTCAGAGTTATGGGTCTGGCACACAAGGGAGGCAACCAGTCAATCTTTCTCACACTGGTTTCTCTCTCCTTCCACTGTGCCCCCCGCCCTTCCTCTCTAAAATCAGTAAAGAAATCTTTAAGTGAGAATTTGATTTTAAAAAATAAAAATGTTCTTCGATTTCTGGCATCTGCTTTTTCTTTTCAGTGTCTTGAATTGCTGGAATGCTTAGGCATTCCCTGGGTCCAGGCTGCTGGGGAGGCTGAGGCCATGTGCGCGTACCTCAATGCCCACGGTTATGTGGACGGCTGCCTCACCAATGATGGGGATGCTTTCCTTTATGGCGCCCAGACTGTCTACAGGAATTTCACTATGAATACCAAGGTATGTTTTTCTTTTTGTCAGCTTTTGTTTTACAAACTAATTTTAAAAGGGATTATTAAATGATTAAATGAAAAAAATGCATGTAAAGTGTTTACCATAATGCCTGGCACATAGCAATAGCTAAATAAATGCTTACTGTTAGCGTTACCACATAGTTTGTTCTCTCTTAAATCAGTGGATTTCTCCCCTGAGGGCTTGACATGTTTCACATGCTTTGAATCAATTTTAACAATATATTATAAAACTGCATATGAAATTTATTGCTTTGACCTAGAATTTCTACTTTTAGTATTATATTCTCAAAAACATCTCCAAATATGCTAGGAAAGATATACAAGGATGTTATTTGCAGCATTGTTAATAATTACAAAAATTGGATGACCCAAATGTCCTTTGATAGGAAACAATAAATACTGCATGGATCTCAGCTAGAGAGGTACTACTAGGGGACATTTTGGTTGTAAATATTCCAGGTTGGGCATGGGAGACTACAGGCTTTTGGTGGATTGGAGCCAAGAAAGCTAATCCTCTTGTCAGTCAATTCTCTTATCTCCAAAATTGCTAAGAGCGCCCTGTAGAGAAACTCTGCCTCAGAGTGCACATAATATAAGAGGAAGCAGTTATTAAAACCATATGTATTACTCACATTAAAGATATCCAGATATATTAGTGGGTAAAAATGTTGCCAAACAGTTACTTTATGTAATCCTGTTTTTACTTAAAATATAGTTAATAATGAATATTTGTATATGTGTGGTAAAGAAAAGGTTTTTTAGAAGAATATGCAGCACATTAGTCAGAGTGTTAACTTGAGATGGTGCAATTACAGGTAATACTTTCAGTAAAATACATTTTACAGGGTTTAATTTTGTAAGGTGAAAATCTACTTTTGTATACATCAAAAAGCATTAGAGAGGGACAAAATGAATACTATAATTTTTAAGCCATTTTTGAAGCTGTGGCTTTATTTCCAGATGTTGAAGTGTTAGATTCTGTGAAGATTCTGGTGATCAGGATAATTTCCCTATTTAAACTTGTAGGAATAATGAAACATCTAAAGACACCTTCAGCACATATTTTTTTGCAGTGCTGTTTAATGTATAAATATTTACTTGTTGAAGATTAAACAAATCTGTACTTTCTTCTAGGACCCTCATGTTGACTGTTACACAACATCATCTATCAAGAGTCAACTAGGTTTGGATAGAGATGCTCTGGTTGGATTAGCAATACTACTTGGCTGTGATTATCTTCCAAAGGTGCACTAAAATTGTATTCATTTACTATTCATAGTGTGGGTTTTTTCAATACCTTACAATCTGCATAATTATGAATATAATATGGTTATACGATTAGGAATCTAATTTGTAATTATAGGCATTATAAACTATTCAATAACAAAAATAATCAGCATTTCAAGTGGCATTAAAAAGCTGGCCCATTGTGGCACTGAATGTTGTAAATGAGAATAGAGTAATAGCTATTATCATGGCTTAAATCTCAGTAAAGCATTGCTCTAGATTAACATTGAAGTTCAGCCACCTTTTTAAAGAAATAAAGGAATTACTCTTTTCTTGTATCGTGCCAATGTTAGTTTCTATCACTGTTTTGTCTATTTTTTGGTTTCCATTCTTTAGCTTTCCAGCTGTGCACATGCTCAGTGTTATTTCTGTTGCTAGGCTACATGATTATTGGGGTAAGCCATTCATCCTTCCATGCATCTTAGCATTACATTCAGTTTTGTTCATGAAAATCTTTCATTTGTACCTTAAGATGCACAATATAGTACTCTGTAACAAATAGGTTAATAAGTGAGTGGAGAATTACAAATTATGAGGGTAACTCCATTTTTGTATATCCTATTTAAAAATTTAAAATGACTTGTATTTTATGAGCTCTTATTATGTAGTCCCATTGTTATGTCCCTACTGATCATCCCTGCATTCTTACTGAATCTCTCATTATACTATACTGTATACTCTATTCCCAAGAGGGAGGACATAAAATTTTTTTTTCTAGCTAGAGCCTAGGAAAGAGGAAAACATACCAGGGAAGTCAAATTATTAACCCTAATTTCTAACTGATGTCATCAGTGACCAGATAGAGAAATCAACTTTCTTTTTTTTTTTTTTTTTAAACTGGTAAGTAAAAGAAGCAGGAGAAAAGAAACTTCTAAATCATACAAAAAATAATTATTTTATTATAATTGCAATTCTGAAATAGAAAATTTCTTTTTTCTTTATGTAATTATATCTTAAAGACTAGAAACAGCCCAATGCTGACCGTAAGAAAAAATTGCAAACTCACAGAAACCAACTTCGGCTCAAGAGGTGTTACATTATGCATTAATCTTAGCTATTTTGAATATTTGTATCCTTTGTAATCAAAACTGCCTTCTATCTATATTGTTTTTAAGGATTGTTAAGACTATGTACTAACATGATTTGCCTTAGAAAAATTTAAGATGTAGCTAAATGCTAATAAAAAAAGGGTGATATCCAAAATATTTAGCAACTGGTATGCCAAAAACATAGGCTCATGGTTGCCCTCTGTTGTGCCATGTGCTATCATTTTAGTAGCGGGATCTTGATGGGTTGGGAAGGGGATACAGGTTAGAGGGAAGACCCTTTTGACAGCAGGCACTCAGGATGCTCGGGGAATATTTTTAAACTAGTATGCCTATCCCAGTGCACACTTGCTCTATAGCAGCCCTGCTTATAAGGACATACTCATAAACTTTTATAGGAACTGGAAGACTAAAACCAGAAATTGTCATGCGAATATACATTTATTGGGTTGGAGCTTGTTTTAATTCTCTTAAGTTATTAATGTCAGGGGTTAACTTGGAACTTTCTTTTGTTTTCTTTTAATGTCTAGATTTTTAAATATTAAATGTTCACATTAAATGATCGTGATTTTTCCTGATTACCAATATAACATAAAGTTAGGTCAAATTAAACTATTATCCAAATAATTAACAAAGAAAGTGAATGTCCTCTAAAATTCTGTTCCTTCTTCCTGTAACATAACACTGTCAGTGATTTGGTGTATAAACCCTCTGACTTTTTTCTTTGCATAGATTAATAATATAATTGTTACTTAATTTACAAATCTAGATCACACCATAGGCTATTCTGTAGTTTTCATCTTACACACAGCAATGTATCTTGTACATCTTTTCCTGTCATTAGGTAGTTACCTCATTCTTTCAGTTCTACATTCTGTTGGATGGACTTACTGTACTTTATTAATTTCCTAATGATTAACATTTGAATTTCTTTTCTCACTTTCTGAAAGGGGGTCCCTGGAGTTGGAAAAGAGCAAGCATTAAAACTTATACAGATTTTGAAAGGGCAGAGTTTACTTCAGAGGTAACTAAAAATTATTATTTTCTTGTGACATTAAGCTTTTATTCTTGTTGAATTTAATAGTGAATATTAAAAAAAAATTATGCTTTCCAAAAAAGAGGTTAGTATTTTTAAACTGATTTACATTTTTATTTGTAATTACTTACTTTTATTTATTCTAAAGTTTTCCAAAGAAAGGATGAGAGTATATATTCTAAACCATACTATATTTTTTTCAATATTATTAGCTCACAATAAACACAAGTAATAAAATATCAAATGTGTTTATTTATAACCATTGGCATTTGCCACGGGCTATTTTAGACTATTTGACCACCAAGTAAAGATAATATGACATTAAAGTAATTTTATATTTAAAATTATTTTTATTATAAAATTCTTTGACATTGTATTTTTATAAATGAAATGCTTGACATGTTATATATTCAGTAAGTAACACTACACATGATTAAAATTTTTACTTATCTACCCTTTCTTCTATAACCATACATTTAGTAACACATTAATTCAAGTTAATTCAGACTGTATAATTTAAAAATTCAAGACAGTTAAATATGGAATATATTGAAATTTATAAACTATGGTATTTAGTTTTGAAAGCATGTGAACTATATTTGACGAAAGCAGTGGTTTATAAAAATTAATATTAATGATGATAGAATAGAGTGAGTAAAGAAAACATGAGGATGCTGAAGACTTAAAGCAGCCTTGTCCTTTGAGTAGGTTTGAGATGGGGAGTGCATGGAAGGAAGCTAGTTGTAGAAATCAAAAAGGAATGACCATGGCAACAATTTCAAATCACTGTGCTCTTTCCTGTATACTTCTCTTTCAGCTATAAAGCTATTGATAAAGTTAAGACTTCAATAAATTCATTATTGCTATCAGTGATTACCGTGCCAAAACAGGGAATAAGGGTATACTTTGGCATGGAGATGAGTTCAGGAATTATTTGGGAATTGTGAAAAATAATACAAAGAAGGAAAAGCAAACAAATATGGTCCTTGGCTCACTACAGATCAACCTTATTGAAACAGTTCCAGCAAATTTGTAATTTTGACATTTTATTAAATGTTAGTCTTAACATTTGAAATTATATTTCTTGTTATAATTATATTGTTTTAATTATGATTAACTTAGACTGACTTTCCCCTTATTTATTATCTTTTGAAGCTCCATTATTTATCTAACAGCCAGCAGCAATTAATGCTAATTTTTAGCAAGCTTGTACTTGGTCTTGGTGGTATATGAGTTAGAAATTCCAAAAGCTAAATACTAACTCTCAGTGCTAGTTACCACACAGTAAACTGAAAAGATAATTTCTTTTTTATTAAACTTTAACTTCTGTAAGTAGAGGAACAATTCAGAACTTATGTTGTATGATAATGTTTAACTATCCTCTTGGTGGTTTTATGTTGACATGGAACTTTAGCCAAAAATTAACTTTTATTTAGTAGACATTTTAGCAGTAATATACATTTTCTCAAAATCTTTCATTAAACAGGTAATGTTTTTGCTGTTTGCATAAGAGATTAAGAAAATGACAATTTTAAATGATCTGGATTTTAAAACAGTTCTTACCGAGAAGCTTAATGTTTTGTTTAGTTTTATACTTTGCCCTTCACTCTTATTTTGATACACAGAGGTGTTGATGTACATGACTGTTTGTTTTATACTCTGGCACTTAGAAAAAATATTTTTAAAAAAATAGATGTATATGAATCATTCTCCTTACATGTATGCCTAAGTGAAGATTCTTTTTAAAAAAAGCCTCAATGGATATATGAACACACACATAACTCTTTCCTCTTCCTCTCTCGCCCCTCTCTGACAATCTTTCTCCTTCCCTGTTGCAATTCTTCTGTCCTTGAGGCACATTTAAAATTGAGGTACATAGATTAAGGATTTTACCAGGCTAGGCCAGCAACTTTAGCTACCATAAAAGGGAAAATAAGTTGGCAGGTGGAAGGGAACAGAATAACCTGGTATTTGAGAACATGACATTTTAGTCACCTTGGTTTTTTTGTTTATTAGTTTTTTCTATTTTTTTGGTTTTGATTTTTTGTTTGTTTTTTATTGTTCAATGCTTTTTTCTTTTTAAAACCATTTTCTTCTAAAGGTTCATTCAGTGGAATGAAAAATCTTGTTACTCTAATCAACAACCACTAGTTGCTAAAAAACCGGCCCATTGCTCTGTGTGTTCCCACCCAGGTAAGGAGACACCGGAAGTGGCCTCTTGGGGCATTAGCGATGAGTGCCCACTTTTTCATCCCTGTTATTATAGTTACATTTTACATTATCTTCCTCACTAGTTTGGGAATCCTCAGAGTTAGACGTTGTGTCACATATACATAGTAGGCACTCAGCAAGTATCGGTTGAATGAAGTAATGGGATGTAAATGATAAATATAGGATAAGTGCAGTTTCAAACTATGAATCCAAATTACTTAGATCTTAAAATTATGTTTTAATATAGAAATCCATTATTTCCATAAGGGGATTTATATTTCTGTAAGGGGAAAAATTATGCTAATAGTCTTAGGGGAAAATGGAATTGAAACTGTTTCTATATCAGTGATTTACATTTATGTACTTAAGTGATTCTTAATTGTCCCATAGTGCATTTTTATTGTGTAAAGACAGTGCCTGGAAACTAATTTCTAAAATGTGTTCATCATTATTGAAAGTAGCTTGGCTTCTTTTCATTTATTTTGGTAAAAATAAATAGATGTCACTGATGCATATTAGATTAGAAAGGTCTTTTGCTCTCAGGGGAGATTAAAAGACCATGTTAGCTCAACTTTTAAAAGAAGTTCTCCTTTATCTATTTGTCTTAATATGTTTTCATTAACATTGTTACATTATAGATGAAATCATGGAAGAAATAATTTTTTTATAATCATATTCCACCCTGTAGTTTCTTGATACCTTATAAATGACAATTTTAGGTCATATCAATTATGTAGGCTCTTCCATATTCTCAAAATAATGTTGAAAGTAATCATGCTTTCCTTTTAGAGGGATCTAGGGCCCCACACCTGTGCCGCAGTCATAATTTGTTCATGTTCCAGTCATAGTTTAAAAATAGTTATACAGGTAACTGAGAGCTAGACATTAGAGAAGGTAATTAACTGTCATATTCTTTTAATATTATAATTAAGGAAACCATTTCATGAGTTATTCTAGTAAGCAAATAATCTTTTTTAATGCTAATATTATAACCTACTTTTCCTGCATTTAGCTATCAAATTAATCACAGAGTTTTCCATTGTTGATTATTATGAATGTATAATTTCAAGTTACAAATTAACACTTTCAGATTGAAGAGGGATTTACAGAAACAAAGAACTGTCATGTGATAGTAGTAGCTTAGGATCTAGTTCACCCTAAGAATTACTATTGTGTGCATTAGCCTATTCAACCTAAATGAATTGAGACCCTCCTGTAAGCTAGGTGCTGTGCTAGGTGGTATTCATTTAAAGTGTATGTAGAAGATACCTCTAAAAAGCAGTGAAAATCATACTTTTTTGTATTTCCCTAAAGGTTCACCTAAGGATCATGAATGTAATGGATGCAAATTATGTCAAACTGATCGATACTGTGAACCACATGATTATGAATACTGTTGTCCTTGTGAATGGCACCAAACAGAGCATGATAGGCAACTGATTGCAGTAGAGAACAACATTAAGAAGTATGTTTCGTTTTTTAACTCATTCTTTTCTGGCATGACCTATTTTATAAACCCGTTGTTGAATTTTTTCCATATAACTTTTGTCCATATCTAAATCAGTAACATTTCACAAAATCCTTTTCTTGATTCTGTTAAAACATTAGGCTATCTCAGAAGATAGTCATTTAATAGTTATTCAAAGTGAAATTTGATGACTGGGATACTGTACAAGGACATTTTTCATTAAATAAGAGGAGACTGGATGAGATGGTTTTAGAGTCTGATTGTATTAATAACATATATATAATTTATTTTCAGAAAAGCTTGCAGTTGTGAGGGATTTCCATTCCATGAGGTAATAACTAATTACTCAAGTATGTTTATTTCAGAAGCTTTTTTAAAAGTTTGAAGTCTCAATTCCCATTTTCTTTTCTCTTGCTAGGTTATTCAAGAATTCCTTTTGAACAAGGATAAATTGGTGAAAGTAATCAGGTTCCAAAGACCTGATTTATTATTGTTTCAGGTATCTAAAAATAAGGTCTTTACAGTATGAAGTTGGATACTAGGAAGATAAGAAGGGATAATCACTTTGATTGGCCTGAGAGGAGATTTGAAACAGACTGCTTTGTTTTGACTGCCCATGTATTTTCCAGCATTTATTTCTATTTTCATTTCTTTGCTAGATAATAAAGCCATACTTTTCACACCATAAGACAAATTACAGTTATACTATTTATTAGAAAGCACTTTAAATACCTTGTACAGCTATATTGTATTCAGGGGTATGTTGGAGGAGAGGGGCTAATGACCAAAAATATGTCAGGATCAAGTACATATATTGTTATGAAAGATAGTGTAGTTTACAAGAGCATTATGATTTGTAATCAGTTACCTACAATTAAGTTGGAATAGCCTATCACTCACTCTATGACACTGGATATGAGTTATCCTCAAAATAGAAGTAATATTACTTATCTCATAAAGCTGCTATGAGGACTAAATGATTATTTATATTGACCCCTAATGGCCAGGGAAACAGTGACTCAGTAAATTAAAATTACTTGTTGCTTATTCCTATCAAGAACAGAAATAATAATGGTAACCAACATTTATTGAACATTTAAAATTTGCTATTTTAAATACACATTTCCTGTAATATCAGTCTTCATAATCTGTGAGCTAAGTTATGTTTTACAGATGGAAAAACTAAAGCTAAGAGGGATTAAGTAATTTACTCAACATCTAGGACATATCATTCTGGCATTCAAACCAAGAACCTTCATACTGAATTATTGTGCAATATTGCCTCCTTAGGAGGCTCATTGTTTATTCTGTGAATATTCTCAATGATACTATCTTAATGTTGATTCTGAAGGAGAAATATCATCTGAGTGCTGTTTGTCTCTAAAAGATGAAAAAATCTTGTTTTATTTTTGTTATACTTAACCTTGTTTTATTTTTATTATTTTTACAGAGATTTACTCTTGAAAAAATGGAATGGCCTTATCACTATGCATGTGAGAAATTGTTGGTACTTTTGACCCGCTATGACATGATAGAAAGAAAACTTGGTAGAAGGAACTCTAATCAACTACAGCCAGTTAGGTATGAATTGTATGAAGTTTCTGCGTTTTCATTTGAGTATCTTATGATCTAAAATTTTCCTCTTAATATCTTTATAAAGATGGAGGAAAAGTCTACTGGAATAATAAATGCTTATTCAGGGCTTACAGTCAAGATAACATAGTAAGTTCATTCTTTAACATACTTTTATGTTTCAAATGCAGTAATAATAGATTTTTAAAAGAAATAAATACAATAAAAAGATAGGCTTAAATAGATAACTATTTCAGGGGGTCATAAAGGGAACAAAAATGTAAAGTAAATAGAGGAACTGAAACTGAGAATTGGTGAATCTCAGTGAAAGGTATGTGAGTGATATTTTTACTATTCTTGCAACTTTTCTAAAGGTTCGAGACTTTCAAAATAAATATTTGGCGGACAGTATCAAAGAAAAAGAATAAACTACAAAGGAAAGACAACACACATCTTTCATAACAATAATAGTTGCCAGGAGATGATGGAATAATATTTCAAAGCTTTGAGTAGAAATAATTGGCAACATAGACATCATTAAAATATCATTTACTGATTGGTAAGACATTGTCAGACCTATGAAGACTAAGAGTTTACCACTCACAGATCCTCATTAAGAGACTCTTAGAGGATGTACTTCATTCAACAAGAAGAAAACTTAACCCAGAGGGAAGATGTAGGTAATAAATAGTGGTCATTATAAAAATTGGTAATACACATTTAGCTAATTTAATAAAATGATTAGAAAAAATATGTACATAAATATCTGCATAATGCTTGATGATTACAATTTGTTCAGAAACTAAAACTTCAAAGTATGCATGTAAACGTATACGGATAACCACTAAAACATTAGGAATACAATCTCTATCTTCCAAACCACTAGGAAAATAAAACTATCAAACCAAAAGAATATAGAAAGAGGAAGGGGGAAATAGCAAAGAAAAAGCTTGGTAACAGAAAACACAAAGTAAGAAATATGAATGAGTCCCACTATGTTAGTAATCACAATAAATGTAAGCAGACTAAATTAATGTATTAAAAAATATTATATTGGATAAGTAAATAAAATTCAGAAATAATTCTCCTTATAGGACATGTGCAGAATAAAACTACACAAACCTTGAAAATAAAGAGATTAAAAAGTTTATGGGCAAATATTTGCCAAAGTGATGGTAGCAAAATTAACAGAAATAAAATAGGCTTTAAAACAAAAAGTTTTATGGATAAGTGGTATACTGAATAGTAATGAAAGGAACAACGTAGTCATAAGATCTAATAGTTATTAGCTCTATATACCTGACAATAACATTATTTTTTTAATAAATTAGCTGAAGAATAACTATGTGGTAATTCCTTATAATACTTTTAAAATATTATAAAGATAGAATAAAAATCAATGGAAACAATTATTCAGTCTATAAATTAAAAACTCACAAATAACTCATGCACTTGAACCTTATTAGATGAATTTATTTTTCAGAATTGTTAAAAACCGGATCAAAAATGGAGTTCATTGCTTTGAAGTAGAGTGGGAAAAGCCTGGTATGTATTCAGTTTAAGCAAAGTTTATCCCATTTAACCATATATGTTTAGCAAATATTGTACACATGTGTAAAACATACATATGTATATAAAAAATAGAGAAGAAACATGTACCCAGTATTAATTTCAGAGTCTACTTATGCTGTTTAAATAGGCTTTGACTAATAGTAAAGATGAAATTCTTTGCCGTGGCTGGCTGGCTGGCTGGCTGGCTGGTTCGGTTGTTGGAGTGTCATCCGGGACACCGAAAAGGCTGGGGGTCTGACCCTGCATCGGGACTCATAGAGGAGGCAGGCAGTCGGTGTTTCTCACTGGGTGTCTGTCTCTGTCATGTGTGAGCGCTCCTCTTCTCTCTCTAAAATCAATGGATATATCCTCTGGTGAGGATTAAAGAAAAAAATAGGAAAAACTAATTTTATTTTAATGTTTTGGTTTATATTTCTCAAGAAAATGCTGCTACAATCAGTCTGCTCATTGGATTTCATTGTGTAGCTGGGTCTAAAGAAATCAAGGTTGCTGGAAGGCACTGGGAGTGTTCTGCCTCCCCTTTCCTTACTCTGTAGTTTTCACAGGAATTTATAGTTGTCAACTTAATTTTATTTTGCTACAGACCGAAAGACAGTGAACTCTTTGAATTAGTGCCGAAACTGAAGGCAAGAAGAGCACAAAATATTTAAATGGAAAGTAATTACAAATTCATTTCTATCTGGCATTGAGATTAGATTGTATGATTATAGGTAAATGAGTGAGAGAGTATATTTGTCAGTGAAGATTTAAGTTATAGGTAACTTTAAAGAATGAAATTAATAAACAATTAGATAAACTGTTCTGAGCAATAAAAGGAAAATAGAAAGTTGAAGAATTTTGAGAACTGTTTAGGAACACTTCCACCCACTGTAGTGCATTTCATTAACCTAGTGTGGCTGGGCAGATCTCTTTCTAGAACTGAGTACCGTGTGCCTTCTCTCACTTATCCTTGTGGGAGCTAGCCTTTAGCGAGAGAATGTACTTTAAATTCACCTGTTTCCATTGTTTCCACTTTATTATTTTTTAAATATTTAATTTATTTATTCTTAGAGTAGAAGGGAGCGAGAAACAGAGGGAGAGAAACATCGATGTGTGAGAGAAACACCTATTGGTTGCCTCTCACAACCCAGGCATGCGCCCTGACCAGGAATCAAACTGGCAACCTTTCGTTTTGTGAGATGACGCCCAACCGACTGAGCTATACCAGTCAGGGCCATTGTTTCTGCTTTAAACTCACCAACTGATATTTTCATTAGAGTTTGGCTTCTCGTGCAGTTTTGCCCTCGTATAGGATAAATGCAAAAATCTAGTCTGCTACTTATATATCTTACTGTCAGTTTAGATATAAGCGTTCTCATTTTCATTTATCAGCTGCTTCTGAGTAACGAAGCCTAGGTATATCTTCAAAAGATTGATAACCTCTGGAAAATAGTACAGTGGACACCCCTTAACTGTGGTTGCACTTTCTGTGGTTTCAGCTTCCAGCAGTCAATCATAGTTTAAATCAAGAAGCCCAGATATACACAACTCAAAAGTTTTAAATTACATGCCTTTCTGATGAAATCTGCTTTCCAGTTCTGTCCTGCCTGGATATGAATCATCCCTTTCTCCACTGTATCCGTGCTGTATTTGCAACCCACCCGTTAGTCACTTTGTAGCCATCTCAGTCATCAGATCCATGTCGCAGTATTGCAGTAGTTGTGTTCAAGTAACCCTCATCTTACTTAACAGTGGCCACAATGTGCAAGAGTAGTGATGCTGGCGATTTGGATTTGCCACAGAGAAGCTTTAGAGTACTTTCTCTAAGTGAAACATGCTACAATAAGATATCTTGAGAGAGAAAAAGACCACATTCATGTAACTTTAAATATAGTGTGTTTTTATAATTGTTCTATTTTATTAGTAGTTATTGTTGTTAATCTCTTACTGTGCCCATTTATAAATTAAGCTTTTTCGTAAGTATGTGTTTAGGAAAAAACATAGTATCTATGGGGTTCAATGCTATTCATGGTTTCAGGGATCCACTGGGGTCTCGGCTTGTACCCCCGTGGTTAAAGGAAACTACTGTAATATTTTTGATGACCCTATCAGTCCTTTTCTGCTGAGAAGCCACCACTATAAAAAGTTAATATTGAAATCTTAGGCAACTGTCTATTCCTGTTCTTTATCTGGAATCTTAACACTTGTATACTAAACTAAAACCAACTAGCCTTATCTAAACAAAGATTTTTATCCTGTGAGCTGCTTCTGCTGCTGTCTCTGAAGCAGGAGAATTTAAAGTTCTAATTTAAAAGTAATCTCCTTCCAGCTTTTTCAGACAGAAGAAAATCAATGCTGTACTAGAATCAACAGATTATTAGACGAGAGATGTTGTAAAGCAAGATTTGCAATGAATCATCCATTGACTTAGTTTACCTAGTAAACTTAGTGACCTGGGAAAACTGAATTTTTAAAATCTGTAATTAAGGCTGGTTTACTGTATTTTTAATCTTTTAGAACATTATGCTTTGGAAGATAAAAATGGAGAATTAGTTCTACAAACAATAGAAGAAGAATCATTATTTGAAGCAGCTTTTCCAGAGATTGTTGCTGTTTACCAAAAACAAAAGTTAGAAGTTAAAAGAAAGAAAAAGGAAAGTAAGTATCTCATTTAATCTCTATTTATGCCACACACAGATGTTGTAGAAGATCTCTCTGTTCTATTTGAATCTCTATTGTCTTAAGTTTTGCTGAAATTTCTACAAAAGAGTAAGATTGTACACCTGTTTCTTTGTCCTAATGTACTTTTAAAGCTGAAGAACCAGATTAAACTCTTCTGATCTGTGTCTGATAACTTGTGTTAATAATAGTAATTATATTAACTACTTATTGAGCAACTAGTATATGTAATGTATTTTGGATTATAAATACCTTTTCTTTATTTTCTAGAACTTGGTGAGGAAAAGAATTTGATTATAACATTGTTTCCAAGAGAAAATATTTTGATATATTTTGTTCATAATTACTTACAGTTTCCAGGAATGCACTGAGACAAAAACGCAAAAATTGCTTATACAGATTTCAATCTGAACTCTTTAGTTTACTTGTTTACTCAAGTAAAATAAAACAGATTTTACTTATATTGTATTTTTTTCCTTTTCAGGCATGAGAACTAAGCCTAAAGAAAACAATCTGCCAGAGGCATATGATACAAGTTTTCAGTCACTCATAACTTTAAAACCCACATGTGAAATCTCTTCTGAACAAAATTCCCAGCTAAATTTGGAAACTTTCCCTGGTTCTGCATTACCCCAGGAATTTATTTCTGCGTCATCAGATAGCTTGCCTTTATCTGCAGATGCTCTCCATTTGAACACACAAGAACATTTTGTATCTTCTTCAAGACCTTTGGCTATACAGCAAATGAAAGCTGTCAGGAAGTCTCTGGTTTCAGAATCTAGTCAACCAAATAGCTCATTCCACAATGTGTCGACGGTTGCTGATCTACACTTGAGCACCATTGATTGGGAAGGAACTTCTTTTAGTAATTCTCCAGTTATTCCAAGGAACTCTTGCTCTCACGGTTTAAAATCAAAACTTCAAACCACCATCCCTGATAGCTTGAAAACTATGCCAGGAGAATTGTCATGTGATAAAGTGTTGGATTGGGATCTTCGAAAAACTAATCCTGAAGAGCATCTACTTTCTGGTATTACTGATTTACATCTTCAGGATTTGCCTTTAAAGGAACGAATACTTACTAAATCATCACAACCTAAGGATAATGTACAACCAGATACGGACCTGAGAACTTCATCTCTACTCGCAGTAAAAGAATCTTGTATTGACAACAGTAGTTCTGATTATCCATCACATATTTCAGAGGATCTTCTAGGAATTTATTTGCAAAATGAATCTAGGTACTATGAAGTTCTAAAAGAATACCAGCTATTTCAAGAAAACTATAAAGTGAATACTTTACCTCATTCTGTCAAAAACATGATAGTAAAGACCTCTAATATTAGGGCTGAACCACCAAATACTCCTTTCGATCATAGTAGAAAAGTTGACTTGAAAACCACTCAGAAAATTGTAATGAGGAAAAGTGTTTGCCTTGACAGATATTCCTCTGATGAAGAAAGTATGCCAGGGTTTGGGAAAGCTAAGTATGCACATGAAAAAATGAAGCAGAGCTTTCAGAAACGTAAACCAGCTCAATTCAAGAAAAATGATACCAACAAATTGATACAGGTTAAAGGAACTGAACAGTATGTCCAGGCTTATAAAACAGCTGGAAATGAAGAAAAATATTCCCTAGAGGCAGCAAAAGGTTCTCTGAACTTTTTACAGTGTCAAAAGGAAAAAGATGACGCCAGTACTTATCTGGATAGCCCTCTTCCTTTATGTCAGAGGTTAAAACTGAGGTTCCAAAACACTTGAAATGAAATTTAAAATGTTTAAGAGTAACTTAGAATTCTAGTATCAGCATTAGCAGAGACAGAGGGAAGGTGTCTAGTTAATGTTTGGCAGAAAAATATAATGCGGTTCTGTATATCAAGAGATACTTTTGCCATTTTAATCAAAAAGTGGGGGGAAGGCAGAGACAAATGTATTTGAAAAAATTTAAAAATAAAAAAGACAATTATATTTATGATTACATATATACATATATATATATGTATATATGTAATTTTAAACAGTTGCCTCAAATTTCCATTTTAAAAGGTGATCCTTGTGGTGAAAACAGTAATGTGTATTTTTAAAATATACTTTCGCCATTTTGTATATTTTTATTGACTATTCTTTAGTCATAGCTTTAAAGTGTTAATATAGTACTAGACAGAGTAAATGCTTTATCTCTGTGCTCACTTTTACTCATTTCTTGCACATGCCTCTGAAGTATTTGTTTATATTTCATCTTGCTCCCAAGAGGATAACTCTTTATAATTGTCTATGATCTTGCAATGTCTTCCATTGTGACTTTTATGAGTGTTATATTTTCTCTCCATATGAAGATACTTTTAGTATGCCCATGCAGTTTTGGTAACTTTATTGTCTTTTGTGAGGAGAAAAATGGAAAAGGAGGAAGATGATCAATATATGTAGTAAAAATCATGGTTGTAATGCTGAATAAATTAAGGAAAGCTACCTTTTACATATCTCGAGAAGTTAACAGGTATGCCAAATGGAAAAAGATTGTTAAAATAGAGTGTATAATCTGAAGAGAATTAGAAATTTGCTCAGGATCACATAGCAAATTAATAATGATGTGGGAATCAAATTTCTTGCCTCCTAATTTCTTGGAGTTTTTTTACTGTTTTTTCTTCTATAGCACTTTCTTCTTTCCCTTTTGTTTTGAAAATGAATCAATATAATGTTGAGTTCAACATCTCCAAGTATTAAGTTGTGCATTAATTCATTTATCACTCAAAAAACCTAGAGGTAATCGGATTGGAAAGGAAAAAGTAAAACTGTCACTATTTGCACATGACAAGATTTTGCATATAAAAAATCTAAGGAATCCAATACTAGGTCTGAAAAATGAGTTCAAGATTGCAGGATATGAGATCAATATACAGACATCAATTGTAATTCTATACATCTTCAGTGAATAATACTAAATGAAGTTAAGAAAATGCTGTTTACTATAGCACTAAAAGTAATAAAGTACTTTGGAATAAATGTAACAAAAAAAGTACAAAATTTATACTCTTAAAAACAACAAAAGTAATTTTGAATGAAAAATTTTAAAACCTTAAATGGAAAGACATCCCATGTTCATGGATTTGAAGACTTGATATTAAGATGGAAAACTAATTTATAGATTCAACAGAATCCCCATCAACTCCAGCTGATTTCTTTGCAGAAACTGACAAGCTGATTCTAAAATTCATGTGGAAATTTACAGGACACAAAATAGGCAAAGCAGTCTTAAAAAAAGAAATAGGAGGACTCACCCTTCTTAATTCTGATTTCAAAACTTACTACAAAGTTACAGTTATGAAGAATGTGTTTTCTTGGCATAAAGATAGACATAAATATGAATCAGTGGGATAGAATTGAAGGTCCATAAATACCCTCGCGTTTATGTTCAATTGATTTTCAACCAGAGTGCCAAGACAACTTATGGGGAAACAGTAGTGTTTCAGCAAATGCTACTGGTACAGCTGGGTATCCACATATAAAAGAATGAAGTTTGATCCCTACCTGATAAAATATACAAAAATAACTCAAATGGATCAAAGACCTAAGTATGAGAGTTAAAACTGTAAAACTCTTAGATGAAAACATAGACATAAGTCTTTGTGACTTTGGATTAGAAAATGATTTCTTTAATATGGTACCAGAAGCTCAGACAGCAAGAAAAAATGACTTAAACTAAAAACTTTGTTTGTCAGAGGACACCATCAAAAAAATGAAAAAAACAGCCCATAAAATAGGAGAAAATGTTTGCAAATCATAAAGAACTCTTAAAACTCAATAAGACTACTCAAAAGTCAGTAAAATATCTGAATAGACATTTCTCCAAAGAAAATATACAAATGTCCAATAAACATGAAAAAATGTCATCATTAATTATCAGAAAATTGCAAACCAAAACCACTATAAGATACCATTTCACACCTAATAGGATGGCTAGAATAAAAAAGAAACAAAAGGATAATTAGTATAGGTGAAATGTGGAGGAATTGGCATCCTCATAAACTGAGACTTGAAATATAAAAAGGGGGAACCACTTTGGAAAAAGTCCAGTGGTTCCTCAAATGGTTAAACATAGTTACCACATAATGCATCAAATCCATTCCCAGGTATACACCCAAGAAAAATGAAGACATGTCCACACACAAAAATTTGTACACAGTTGTAAATAGCAGCAGCATTTCTAATAGTCAAAAGTGGAAACAAGCCAAATGTCCATCAACTGATGAGTGGATAAACAAAATGTACTCTCTCCTTGCAATTGGCAATAAAAAGAAATGAAGTACTGATAAACATTACAACATGCTAAGTTACAGAAGCCAGTCCCAAAAGACCACATGTATAATTCACCTTATATGAAATGCTCCAAATAAGCAAATCTATATAGAAATAGAAAGTAGACACGTGGTTGCCAAGGGCTGGGGGAAATGGAGAGGAAATAGAAGGGAAATGACTGCTAATGGGGTGGATTTTGGTATCAGTGGGTGGATGATAAAAATGTTCTAAAATTGATTGCAGGGATGGTTGCAAAACAATATACAAAAACCTTTGAATTGTGCAATGTAAATAAGTAAATTCTATGCCTTGTGAATTATATCACAATAAAGCTGGTTTAAAAACAAAAACTTGTAGAGAATTTTGCCTGTCCAAACTTTTTTTAACACCTAAAATGTGTAAAGCCTAACATCACTCCTACATATGCACTGCCATCACCATTTTATAGATTAGAAAACAAGTCCGGAGGAGTTATTTTCCTGATACTGGAAATGAAATTTTTGGTTTATTAATTTAGTGGTTATTATATTATGCCATGCTGTGAAATTATATTCAAATTTGGAATACTTTTCAATTTTTGTGCTTTACAAGCAAGGTGTAATTTTACTTATTTCCTTTTTTCACTAAGGTACATAAAGAGCTTTGAAGTAAGTTTCACTTTGTTTTAGAAAAATGTCATGTTTGCAGAGCACTTGCTTTGTATAAAATCCTTCTGCACAAAAAGAATAAATGAAGACAGTCAACTAACTACTCAAGGCACCCACCTATCTTAATTGACCTGATGTTTTAAAATCAGTGATTATTTGCACATGTGATATTTATCTTTTAAGATAATAGTTGTATGTGGTTAATTAAAAGGGTGAAATAGTACAAAAATTAGAGAGTGAAAAAGTCAATTTCTTTTCTATTCTTAATGCCTGGACTCCAATTCTGGCATCTAAGAGCCAAGCACAGTTTCTAATCTCTTGTATTCAATAGATCCTTCCAGAGGCATTCTGTACCAGTATATTAATGTATCTGAGAAAGTAGTCCATATCAGTAAGTAGGTCTGTCACGCTCATTAAGGATATCAATGTCCCTGCATGTTTGTTTCCATAGAGATAGCTCTAAGTGTGATGTTTGGTTTGAACTGTTGGTAAATTACATTAGTTGAAGCATTTTTGATTCTCTGAGACCAACTAAACTATTGAAACTCAGATATGTTTTTAAAATGTGTAATTTTTTAAGATACTGCCACACTTTTTTTTTCTAGAGGGGCAGAACCATTTTGTGTTCCTGCAAGCAATATATTGGTTTCAGTTATGTTGAAATATCACCAAAACATAGTATTGCCAACTTTTTCATTTAGCCATTCTAGTAGTTCCATAAATAAAGCCACATCTCCCTGTGGCTTTATTTGCATTTTCTCGATAACTGGTGACATTGAGTATGTTACATGCATATTAGCCATCAATATGCCTTTTGTGAAATTCCCAATTTTATTTCTTTTTTGGCCAGTTTTTCATTTGGGTTGTTTGTCTTCTTGTTACAAAATTGTAAGTGCTCTTTATTTTTTTCTAGATACCAGCCCTTTGTCAGATAAGTGTTTTGCAAGTATTTTTCCCTAAGGCTCATCTTTTCATTTTACCTATCTTTCAAAGAGCTTTTTTGTTTTTAGCTTTTAAGTCTATTAATTTTTGTTTGCAGTGGCCTATTTAAGATATTTTTGTCTAACCCAATGTCCCAACTATCTTTTTCTATGTTTTCTTCTACAGGTTTAATGGTTTTTTACCTCTATTTGAGTCTGTGATTCATTTCAAGTTGATTTTTGCATATGATATAAGGATTTAAGAACATTTTTTTTCCTATGCAGATATCCACAATTTGTTGAAAAGACATATCTTTTCCCTCACTGAGTGGCCTTGGCTCCTTCATTGAAAATCAATTGACCGAGTAAGTGTGGGTCTGTTGCTGAACACTGTTCCTTCTGTTAAGCTATATGTCTATTCATTTCTACACTGTCTTGATTACTAGAGCTTTATAGTAAGTCTTGATATCAAGTAGTTTATCTTTGTTCATTGCCCATATTTTTCTGTGAAGTTCACCAAGGTGCCGTTGTGTTGCTAAGACTAATAAACAATGTACAACCTTAAATTTACCTTTCCATGGAATTTGAAACTGCTTTCCAAGTCAATACTGCTCCTTAGTTTATCTCCTACCTCCTTGGCTATAATTTTATACTCCTCATAGACTTAACTATTCATACTCCTTAAATACTTTTGTTCCTCCAGTTCTCTCCTCATGCTCTATTCACTATTTCTACATATTTTTCTACTGTCATGACTCAGATGTGGATCTTTAGCCAAGATCTGTTTATTAAACTAATTCCTGACATCAGTGGAGATTAAAAGTATAATAATACAGGTGGTAGAAACTGAGTTGCCGGATACAGCTAACCCAAGAAGTACTTCCCAGCCTGGCTCTAA